TAATTTATTTACTTATTTTTATATATTTTTAAATATAATATATATATATATATATAAACATAAAAAAAATGATTAGAATAAATAATAATATTAATAATAATTTTAATTATAGATTTTTTAAATAAATATGTATTACTATTTTTTATTTCATAAAAATTCAAAAATAAATTTTTATAATATATATAGTAAATAATACTATTGTAATTGCTATTTTGTAATATTTTTAAAATAACAATTAGAAAGATAAAATTAGTTGGACAATAAATAGACATATAAAATATATTTCTTTCATCTTAAAATAATATTTTTTTTCGTCTCAAAATAATAATTTTATTTTCATAAATAATCATATTATCATAAAATTATTTATATATTTTTTATTATTTTTATATAAATATCATTACTTTATACGCAAATACATTATTAATGATATTTTAATTTTTTTACTATCTATTTTATTTTCATTTTAAATATAATATTATTATTTTTTAAATTTCGAGTCAAACTCAAATGTTCTTATTGTTTCGAAATCAAAAAAATATTTTGTTAGTTTAAAAAAATAGCCCGTCTTCTAACTTGATTTTAATTTCGCCACTGATTATATATACTTTATTTATTGTTTTTAAAATATTTTAATTATTTATATACAGATTTAAATGCTAATATATATATAGAAGAGAAGTGAAAGTCAAACAATGTACGAGGTTAAAACTGAGAATTTGGACAAAAAGTGAGGTGTGATGTGAGATCGACACGCGTCCATTTCAGACATGATCTGATTGGTTAGTTAAAATAAGAGTGGGGCTGGACAGTCCGTGATCTTTTGGATGTAACTCCAGCTTCTGATTGGCCCACTGTTTAATGGTGGACCTACTCGCTCTGCACTATTTCCTGGTCAGAACTCAATTTCTACAATTAATTATCAAACTAACTTAAATCAAGTATTATTGTTTGTTTCTTTTTTATTATTTAATGTCATAAAAAGTAAATTTATAAAAAAAATTAAGTAAACATTTATGTCGAATATTTATTATTATTATTATAAGATTTAAGTAAAAATATTATTATTATTCTTATTTATTACAGTATTATTAAAATATATGCTTGTATATATCTGAGTACAAAATTGAATAATAATTAAAATATAAAATAATATTCAAATTTATGTAGATTTTGGTTTTAATATATTTATTGGGAGAGGATAAGATGTTAAATGAAAAAAATTCAGCACCATGCCGATGACATGAAATTAATTTCTCCAATTTACAGAATTAATTAAAAATCCTATTGTACATTATTATTATTATTATTATATATATATATATATATATTTTTTTTTCTTATAAAAATAAAAAAAACCAATACATTGAACTCTTTATATTTATACATCTAATCTAAATTTTACAATTCAATCACAACCCTATATTTAATATAATTTCAATTTAAACCATTATATTCAATACTTATTTTTCATTGAAATATTAAAATAAAAAAAAATATTTTAAAATTCGAAATACTCCCAAAACACAAGCGAACACATTCTCAATAATGATAAAGATATATCGTGTTCGGAATTTATTGGGTGGTCCTGGTAAAGACCATCGCACCTAATAAATAAATATAATTATTGTCGCCACATGTCGATCTTTTCACTATTTATTTGCGATGTCTCCTTTATTTTTTCTTATTGACACAACTATATATGAAAACAAAATAATTTATAGTTGATCTAATTTATTTTCTAAAATTATTGTTGTTGTCATTATTTGATATAGAGTAATTTAGGGTACTAAAATATGAGGAAAAAGAAAATTTTATTAATTGTGAATTGCATCATAGTATTGAATAATCCAAAAGCTAATATATACTCTCTCGTTTCTCTATCTGTCAAATTTATTTTCACTTTTAAATTTATCTCATTACTAATTTTCGATAAAATAAACAAATCAATGTTTAATTATTACCATAGGTTCAACACTTATTATCACTAACTTTATTACATTATTTCTCTTCGTTATTTTAATTTATAAGTAAATTTTCAAAAATACATCTAACTACATATTACTTTTCCAATTAAATATATATATATTTTTTTAATATTTGTGCCGGACCCAATTGACTAATTTTAATTGACGGAAAAAGTATTTTACAATTGAAAAAGAATAGGGTTGGGATATTCTTGTAATAATATATTGGCCCAATATATTCCAACAAGCTTAAAACAAGAAGGGTCTCAATCAAATTGCAAGATAAAAAGGTGAAATAAAATGACAACAAGATTAAAACAAAGATTCCACCATAATCATTGTAAATACAAATCGAAAAATAAAGATAAAAAGAAATTTAATTACCAAACGATAACAATGATTATTGGTAATGTCCCAATAAACACGCACTTGTCGGATTTTATAAATTGATACTGTTCTTTTTTCCCGTGTTCTTTTAACTTTGAATTAATTTGATTGTATGTTGCATGATGAATCACTTGTCCAATCCTTGTTAAACAAAATAATATATATATATATATATTGATTTTTCATAGGATAATTATATTTAATTAAGTTAATCCATTTTAGCAGTAGTTAATTTATGTAGTAACATGCAAATTACAGGCATTTTAATCAATTAACTAATTTTTTAATTGGTAAGAAATAAAGTGAGATTAACCTTTACAATATTGTAGGGACTAATGCATTAAGTATTATTTTGATGCCGACACACACACACACATGTATATATACTTACGTTAGCCCCGTTTGCATGGACTTCTACCCGGAACTTTTGATATCTATTTTAACATAATACTTCCTCCGTCGTGCAAATGTATGTTCATTTGACCGGGTACGAGTTTTAGTAAAAATGAGTAATAATTGTTACTTTTTTCTTTTATAGTAAAACAAAGTACAAAAGCGTACTGATTTTCTAATTTAAAAAGAAACGAGAATATTCTTTTTTTATGATAACTCAAAAAGAAAAATGAATATAGATTTGAATGACGAAGGGAATACTAATATATATTTATTTGTATTGATTTTTATAAAAAAAAAAATAGTTGAAATTCAAAAGTTTTTTTTTTTTTTAGGACAAAGTAATACATGTATTATAATAATAATTTACAAAGTAAAGGCACCCTTTATGTATTTAGTACAATTAGATGAGTGAACATATATTTTTACTCCTAAAAAAATAAGTGAAGGTACTTTTTCATTATTAAAAATCGAATAGATTTATTTCAAACATATCAAACTGAATACATATGGTTTGTTTGCTTCTGATTTTCAAATTGATTTGAAATAAATATTGTTGATTATTATTATTTTTCTTAATAGTATTTTGATATGATACTGTAAGATAAAATAGTATATTTTTTTTAAAATTTTTTATAGAATAATTAAAATTGATTTTAGTTGAAATTAAAAAAGAAAAGAAGAAAAAAAAGCCATGATTTCCCATGAAAGTAGAATATACGCTTGAATAATATCAAAAAGTTTGTAGTGTACATCTGCCTATATATGGCACGTTTTACTAAATTATAATTGGTCAGAAATAATCCATTTGTGTAAGATAATAATAATAATAATAAGAAATTGGCTCTATTTATACAAATATATCAATATAATGTGCAAATATTTTATTACAAAACTCACACCAATATTAATTTTTTTTTACTATTTTAAAAATATTTAAAAATTGAAAACTTTAAAAAACATGTGACTAAAAAAAACTTTGAGCTTCCATTAATAAATAAATGTCCAGTACTTAAAAAAAAAAATGTGTGATCTCAATTCTTCCCAAATACTTGTCTTACTGCAATGCTTCACACAAGCGATTATATATACAGATACATATATATGTGCGTATTACTGACGTCATCAGACACGTAAGTAAAAGACTAATTTGCATACCCATGCCATGGCAATTTACGAACAATAATACTACTCTGAAATGTAAAATGTATAAGCGGCGGGGCATATATGTAATTTGATATATGTTTTTTCTATCCCATATAAAGTGTTTATTTTTTTATTTTTTTGTTTTACATAATATTTTTTTAAAATATAATCATATACTTTAATCACGTTTTAAAATTTATAATTTATAATTTTTTTAATTTTAATTAAATTAATATTAATATATAATTATTTTTACTAATATATTATTTAATTATTTAATAATTATATTTTATCTAAATTATCGTATTTACGATGATAATAATATAGACACTTTAGTGGGATGGTGCGAAAATAACATAGACGAGGAATTACCTCTCAATTATTGACATGGCTGTCTGTCTTTCTCTTTCACTTTAGGGTGTGTTTATTTGGGGATTAGATTTTAAATCTACTATTTATTCAATTTTTTTCTTTAAAAAATATTAAATTAAATATTTATTTTTTATTTTTTATATTATATTAAAAATTAATTTTACATTCAAAACATCATATCAACACCTATTTATATCACTTCATATAATTATTCAAATTCAAAATATTTACTATTCAAATCCCAACTCAAAATAAAAAATCCCAAACAAACACACCCTAAATTAAAGAGGAGCAAGAGAAATTTTTTTCTTTTTTTTAAAAAATATTATTCCCTTTCGTCCCACCTACCAAATTCACGTTTCTGTCCGTTTCATATCAAATATCATTTTTTTTAAAAAATAATTATAAATTTTAATCTCATTTAAAATTTTTAAATTTATTTTTTTTAATCTTAATTAAAATAATTAGTTATTTTAACATTAATTTATAGTTATTTATATTATAAAATAATTATTTTTATTAATACTAATTACTTATTAATTATAATTATTCTAAAAAAAAATGACAACGTATAAATGGTAAAAAATATCAGTGTCGTTGTCGTAACGTGAACCTAAACCTCTCTCTATTTTGATCATGAACCGAATCCCTAGAAAATCTGGGTCGTTCATCCTGTTCGTCCTAAGGATGAAAATTCATGCAAGTCCACTGCTATAAAATTTGCTCGCACTGACCCACCTCATCTTCTCTTCTTCATATGTGTAATTATATATGTTCCCCTAATTCATTTCATATATATATATATATATTCTTCAATTCTCCATGGAAATAGAAGCACGAAATTAATCAAGCTGCAGAATAAGAAGAACCTAGCTGCCTCCGATCCCACCCACCTTAGAAACAAATTCGGTGATCATCTTAATTTACAATATCTGATGTTGATGATGAGTTCTTTTCGTTGATTGATTTCTGTTTCTGTCTGTCTGTGAATTTGGAATAAAAATCAGATTGAAGCGATGATGAATTGAAGGTAGATTGAAAGAATTGGATTCTCATGGATTTTCAGTACCAAATGAACTCAGAGATTCAGGCCGCCGACGGCCTTCGGACGCTCTACTTCATGAACCCTAATTTGGTAGGGTTTGCCGACGCCGACAGTAACACCGACGCCGCCGTGCAGGCGGCTGCATTTGGTTCATCGCCGCCGTGTCAGGGTCAATTCAAGATTACTTCTCCTTCATCTACGCCGCAGGACGCCGGACGTCCGTCGGAACAAGTTCCGGCCGCTGTCAATCGGTCCGCGCAGTACAATCTCAGCTGGGGGGTAGTGGATAATAATCCAATCAATCTGCCGCCGCAGCCGCTGTCACTGAATCTCCCCTACGATCATCGTCATCGCTATAACGATTGTCGACAAGAGTTGCAGTCGACGGGCGGCGGAGTGCTGGTGTCGAAATACGTGAAGGTTGCTCAGGAGCTTCTAGAAGAAGTGGCAAGTGTCCTGCGGAAGGAGACGCACAAGGAGAAGACCGTTAACGTCGTTGTTGCGAAAACCGAGGAGGTTACTGTCGCAATCGCCGGCGGTACTGATCATCGAAACTGTAATAATTTAAGCGGTGGTGGAGGATGCGATCAGCTTACAACAGCTCAAAGGCAAGAGATTTTGATGAAGAAAGCTAAACTTGGTAGTTTGTTGGATGAGGTAAGTAACTCTAATTTAATTAATTTGTTGTTAATTAGATTAGATACATCTAATTAATTAATTAGTCAAACCATTGATGAATTACTTCTTACTCCCTCCGTCCACAAACTGATGTCCTATTTTTCTATTTGGGACTATTGTCCTATTCATTTTTTAAACACAAAATTTTATATTTTTACCCTTCATTCATTTATTACTTTTAATTTCTACCATACACTTAAGCGCAAATTTGTCCATTCATAACAAAAAGACAATCACTTAAAAAAAACCGTGCAAATATACTTTAGGACAATAGGAAATGGACGAAGGAAGTAGTTTTTTAGTTTTATTGCTTAGTTTGACATCTAGTACAATAAGAGCACATCTTGTGAGAGCACGGTATTAATATAAACAATACACGGTGTTACTACACGCATCACACTGTGTGTATTTATATAATACAAATAAAATACATAAAGTAACAACCCATGTTATAATCTTATACAACAAATAACAATTGATTTTTCAGCACACTACATATTGTTATACAATACACTTAAAATTATGAACAAATTACACATATATTTATTATACTCAATATTTATTGTGTATAATAAGACTGTGTATTGTTTATATATATTACAAATGCCGATTTAAAAAATCATAATGCTAATTTTTTTCAATTCAGCAGCATCGTAACCGTCCCGTCAGAAGATACACGAATTAAACACTTATAGCAATACTAAGGTGGCACATTTAGATGTAATCTATATGCATCCACACCATTGGTGTGTTTATTCCATATTTAAATTTCTTTTTAAGCATTAAATTATATATTGTCCAAAACCTTCTTTCTTTCTTGATTTTCTTTAATTTGTTTGTCCAATTATCGTTAATACGTCCTGATCACATGTCAAACGTTTAATTAAGTCAGCAGTTAGGATCCAAGATTGTCTTTTTATGAGAAAATAATACATATATCATCACAAAAACATTTCTAATTAATCTTTAGAGAAGAAACTTCATGCATTAGTTAATTAATTATATTTGAGATAGAGACAGACACATATAATGAACGTACGTGTATATATGCAGGTAGATCAAAGATGTAAGCAGTACAGGCAGCAGATGCAAATGGTGGTGTCGTCATTCGAGCAGTTCGCGGGGATGGGATCGGCGAGATCTTACACTCAGGTGGCTCTCAGGACAATGCTGAAGCAGTTCCGCTGCCTGAAGACGGCGGTTTTGCGGCAGATCAAAGGTTTGAACCGAAGCCTAGGGTTGGAGGAAGAAGAAGATGATGATGGTGATCGGGACCAAGAGGGACAGGGGTCGAGGCGGCTGAGGATGGTGGACCACCGGGTCCGGCAGCAGCGGGCGCTGCACCAGATGGGTCTGACGATGACGTCATCCAACACTCGTACTACTATGCCGTGGCGGCAGCAGCGCGGCCTGCCGGAGCGTGCCGTCGCCTTGCTCCGAGCCTGGCTCTTCGAGCATTTCCTTCATCCGTAAGTTTTAATTTAATTAAGATAAAATTGTCCATAACTCTATTTTGTGATTAAGAAGTTCGACCTAAATCTTTACTTGCTTTATAAATTGCACGCCTCTTTTTATATTTTAAAAAATATTGAATAAAGCTTCTACTTGATTTAAAAAATGAGCATAAACTCTCATTCTTACTTTAAAAATTGCATTGCGGCCATCTCCATACAAAATAATATAGATAGGAGTAATATTCTCATCACACAAGTAGTGTGGTTTCATACAATATTTTTAAAGTATAAAGAGTTGTCATACAATTTGGGATACTTACACAAAAGTTTGAAACCACCTAGCAATTTTACCTTTAATTAATTACAAGAGCAAATATTATACTCCCTTCATCCCATATCTATATATTTATTTGCTTTTTGCACGGAGTTTTAAAAATGTTAGTATTATACTGAGATATGATATAAAAATAATAATATTTGTGTAATATATTGTAAATTGGAAAAATATTTGTAGTGTCAAGTAGATATAAAACGGATAGAAATGATAAAATAGATAAATTGTTAAGGGACGGAGGAAGTCTATATATATATATATTATATAATATATATATGCATAGATAGATAATGGTACGGAAATGTAATGGTGCAGTTACCCGAAAGATTCAGACAAACGAATGCTGGCTAAGCAGACAGGGCTGACACGAAGTCAGGTGGGTGGATTATATGGAGCTTTTATTAATCAATTATAGTCCTATATATGATCATTTGTCACTGCTATATCCATATTTCATAGATATATATAGAGAGAGAGACATGGCATAGTTGTTATTGAGAGTGCACGTGCACGTGGACATGGATGGATATGATGCAGGTGTCGAATTGGTTCATTAACGCCCGTGTGAGGCTGTGGAAACCCATGGTGGAGGAGATGTACCTCGAAGAAATCCAGAACCAGAAACAACAACAGCAGCAGCAGCAGGAGGATATTAATCATGATTATAATTATGTTAATGAAGAACAGCAGCAGCAACAGCAACCTGCAGGTGGTGCTTATGGCACCTGCAGCACAAGCACAAGCTCATCCTCCTGCCTGATCCAATCCTGTCGCAGCAGCAGCAGGCCACATCAACAAGATCAATATCATCATAGCAATCAGCAGCACACGAGCTTTGCCCACCTCATCACCTCCCTCGCTCTCCCACCTCCCACTCCCACTCCCACAAAACCTAACCCTAACCCTAACCCTAAAGATAGAACAATGGCCGCCTCCGGGTACGGGTACGGGTACGGGTACGGGGAACATATGGCAAATAATGGTTTCTCCTTGAGCCTTGGCCTCGGTGCCGGCGGGTTCGACTTTACTCGGCCTCCGACACATTCTCAGAGTCAGATCATTAATCATCGTCCTGCTGCTAATGGTAATTACGAGAATACTATTGTTGATTTCCAGGGCCACAGGATGATGATGACGATGAGGAACAATAATTACATCAATTTCCATGCTGCTTCCGATCAACAGGTGCTACACCCACCCAGTTTCGTCTAGCTCTAGTTGATCATCATTGCTTTGTCTTAACTCATCATCCTAGATATATATATATATATATATATGTATGTCTGTATACCATATGTATATTTAATTTGTTGATATCATAGAGGTAGTATATAACAATTTCGACAATTAGTGTCTAATTGCTAGATGTGTTTGTGTGTGCTCGTATTGATTAATCATTCAGGATATATATATATATATACACATATACTGTGTGTATACATAGATGAGTGTACATATATATCTTGTGATGTAATTATATATGGACGTATGTACAGTAATGCAGGGTTCTTATATATACTATCTCACTCCCTTCCCTTTTTATCTATGTTTTATTCAACCTTTAGATTTTGAATTTGAATTTTAAATAATTATATGGTACTATAATATAAATAAGGGTAAACTGATTTATACTTCCGTAACTGGTGTCCTTGTCATTTTAGTTCCATAAATGGAGCCTGTCACAGGCTAGTTTTATAAATGAAAAAATTTGGTTGTTTTAGTCTTCCGGCGCCGAAGATGCCCGCGTGGCTTGCCGGAGGCTACATGTCCGCCAGGTCAGCGACACCTAGCGGACATGTAGATTTTATTTATTTTATTTTTATTTTTTAAATTTATTTGTTTTTTTAATTTTTTTATTTGGTCCAATTGAAAAAAAAAATTAAAAAAAAAAATATATATCCACGTGTCCGCCACGTCACACCTGGCGGACACGTGGCTTCCGGCGAGCCACGCGGGTGTCTCCGGCGCCGGAGAACTAAAACAACGAAAATTTTTCACTTACGGAACTAAAATGATAAGAGGGTCTAGTTGCGGAACTAAAAAACAATTTACTGTAAATAAATATTAACTTGATATTCAAAATATTTTAGTCAAACACACTAGTTTTCTACCATGTATGAGAAGATTGTCATTACCTCCGGAAAGTGTCAGGTGCATGTACAAAGCAAAGTATGATATTTATAGTATTTTCGTATATTGATTGAAGCAATCAACACAGTGATAGTAATTTTCCATTCAGTTCCCCGACTGAAGAGATAATTAAACTTTTTTTTTTTTATTTAATTAAAATAGTAACATAGTAGCAATAATTTTTTCACTTTTCATACGGTTTTGTTTATATAGAGGTTTTTGGAATTTTGGAAAATTGTAAAAAAGTAAAAAGTTATTATTTGATTTGATGTTTTGTGAGAAAAAAAAATCTATATTTGATGCGCTTTTTTTTTAAAAAAAAATAAATAGTAATAAATAAGTGAAATTGTATTGTGTAAACCGAATCTTTGTTTGTATTTTGGGTGAATGTATATTATTAATTAAAAATGAGAATTGTGTCTTTAATGTAAAAAAATAACCCTCTGTCTTAGACAAATGTCCACTTTGGATTTTTATAATAGATTAAAAATAATAAATAATATTTTATTAAATAGTAAAAATATGTAGGATAATTTTTATATTTTTTTCTTTTTATTTCATGTATATATGCGTAATAATGTACTTGTAATTTATGTCAAGTTAAGGGTATCTTATAATTAATTAATATATGATTATTTTTACTACAGTGAAATATATTTTTGAGTGACATAGACAAATTAAAAAATAATAAAATTAATATTCTATAGTTAGGATTGAGGAAGTAATATCTTTATTAAATTGTTGATTTTCGAATATAAATATATATGAGGAGTATATATTCTATATGATATATATTTTATTTTTAATAATATTAATCCTATAAGTAGAAAATGATTAGGTGAAAACACTCATAATTTAAATTATTTTCTTTGCTTGAGTTGATTTATTATTATTACTATTATTATTTCAACTATTTGCTCAGTGAGACCAACATTGTGATTCTACACTTTTCACATATCACAATACACACACACATATTTGACTATTCCTCCATTCGTCCCGCGTTGGATGTCTTGGTCACTGTGGACACGAAAATTTAGGATAAGTATAATGAATAGATAATTAAAAATATATTAGTTAAAATAATTATTCTATAATATAAATAATTATAGATTAAGGTTAAGATAACTAATTAGTTTAATAAAAATTTAAAATGAAATTAAAGTGTATAATTATTTTCCAAAAAAGGAAAGTAACATGAGATGTGGGACGGATAGAAACAACAATGTAGACATGGTAGATGAGACGGAGGGAGTAATATTTAATAGACTACACAATATATGACATGGTTTCAAATGAGCATATAGTATATATATTTTTTATTTTACTATATATATCGAACATATTCATTGATCATCATATAAAAAAAAGGTAAAATTGCTTATAATTCCCCTGTGGTTTTAAAATTCAGCGTAAAATCTCTCTGTACTTTAAAAATTGCATGGTATCCCCTTATACTTTAAAAAACGTTGCATGAAACCCCACCACCATAAAACTTTCTTCGTGTGATAAGAAGATGATTTTCTATCTATATGTTTTGCATGGCAGGGGGTTTTATGCAATATTTTTGAAAGTATAAGCGAGCGTCATGCAATTTTTTTAAATTAATATGGGGATTTATGCTGAGTTTCAAAACCACAAAGTGGTTTCATGCAATATTTTTTAAAGTATAAGGGGACGTTATGCAATTTTTAAAGTAGAGGAGGAATTTATGTTGAGCTTCGAAATCACAAGAGAGTTATGGACAATTTTGCCTAAAAAAAAATATGAAAAATATAAAATTGTGACAACATCAATTCCCTTAAAAACTATAATTTTATTACATATATATATACATTATCCTTAATTAAATTTAGATTTTCATTTTAGCATATTTATATACACATTCTAGAAACGAAGGCACTCTGTGTGGTTGTAAAAATGGTCAAAATAAATGGAATTCATCATTATTATTTGCTTCTATTTGTGCTTCTGCACTATTATTACGATGTATAGCAATTAAATGTAAACTTCATTTTATTTTAAAAATTAAATAGAAATAAAATTATTTTCATTTTTATTTTTTTGAATACTATTTTATACATATTCAAATCTAAGTCATAATTAATTAAATTATTGGAGTCTGAGTTTTTTTTTATAAATGAACAACCACAATTTGTGTATAACATTTCAAAGCATTTACTTAATTCAAATATAGGACTGAATCCCCCTTGTGTTTATTTACGGTGTGTTCGTTTGTAGGATTTTGTCAAAATCTTACTATTCATTCAAAAATTTCCCCCAAAAAATAGCAAATCAAACACCTATTTTTTATTTTTTATATTATACTAAAAATCAATTTTACATTCAAAACATCACATCAACACCTATTTATATCACATCATACAACTATTCAAATTCAAAATTTTTACTTTTCAAATTCCAATGCAAAATCCAAACCCCCGAACAAACACACCATTGTATGATGTATAATTGATATTATCAAATAAATTTCAATAATATGATTGTTTCTTGCTTCATTTCAATTATATTATAATTTAATAATTTGTAACTGACATTATTACCATCTCTTTTCTACGGTATTGTTTTACCCTTCAAACACTTGAAAATTTTAAAAAACAAATAAAGAAGAGAATGCAGCCAAACAGAAACTGTCATGCGTACGGCAGACCCACCACTAATTGCTTGCCACGTGTCTGACTTGTGGAAAATCAACGCCATGCCACTCTTAGTGGGTTTGACCTTACTTTTGTTCGTATATAAACATTGGATTTCATCACGTAGCATATTCGATTATTCGAATGTAATTATGGACCCAAACATTAATACACACAAAGTTTTGGAGTCTTTTGAAAGTTTGAAGAAAGATAAAAATTATTACTTCCCCGTTCGAGAAGACGAGTCTTGTTCTGGGTTGAATCGAAAATTAAAGAATAATAGTAGTATTGAATTGGGAGATAGTACAAAATAGAATATAAAAGATTAAAATGTCTTCACTTTTTTTAAGATCTTAAAAAGTAGATTAGAATAATAATTATGAGTAATTTGCAAAAATAGAAATAATTTTATTATAAAGTGACAACCACGGTTACTAAATAAAAAAATATGACAATTGTTTTGGTATTGCAGTGAAAACGACGAAAATGGCCATATTCGTCTTGTGTAATATAAAAGTAATGACATTTGTGTAATATAGTGTAAGTTGAAAGAATATTTATTAAGTTATGTATATAGTACAATTATTAAATTAGGATTAGATAAAAATAAAAAATGATAACATTTCAATGGTATAGAGGGAGTACTAATATTTTATGAACAATACAAAAATTCCAAAACTGTTCATCTAAACAGAGCCTCAATTTAAGAAAAAAAAATAAAAATTTATGTAGTATAAATTTTACTCAAATCACAATTTGAATAAAGTAAGCACAATTTTTTAAAATAAAATACTCTTTTAGTCATTTGGGGTTTTGTATTAAACTAAAAAATAGTACTATTTTATTAGTCAGTGAAAATGTGTAAGAGATTTTGACATTTTTGTTCTTTCACTTTATGTAAAAAGCAATTGTACTTGTAATAGTATATTTGTAATTTAGGTAAAAGTTACGTCGTATTTTGGTATTGGTGTATAATTACTTTTACTAAAATAAAAAATAAATATTTTGAAGTGAGACGAACGAAACTGATAAAAATAATACTTTGAATTATAACGAATATAGTATTATAAAGTCTGGATATAAAGAGAGCCACACGTTTGACACAAAGAGAAAACCAAAGTAAACATTGACACAAAGAACAAATGTGTATTACTTTAAAGTTTGAATTTTTTTTGGAGTTTAGAGGTGGAAAATAGTAAAAAAAAATTAAATCAAAATAAAATATTTTTTCTGTTTCGAATCAGTTATTTATATTTATTTTAAGAGATTTAAAAATAATAATATTTTATTAATCAGTATAAATATGTAAAATATTTTTAACATTTTTATTGTTTGCAAATATAAAAAAATATATATTAAATTAAATATATATAAAAATATTTTCATTCTTTTCAATTCAAAATTCAAGCCTCAAACAAAGACTTGTTTACTTTACTTAACTTTTATTCATTTGAGACTATTTATTTCTAAAAAAATATTACATCAAATATATTTTTTATCTCACAAAAAATCAAATCAAATCAAATAGTAAATTTTTACTCTTTCGAAACTTCCAAAAACTCTAAAAATCTCGATCTAAACAAAGCCTTTATAATCAATCTATTTTATTTTATTTTATTTTATTTTTTTTAAGAAAAAAGACATCAAGATGTGTTTGTTTGGGAGTCTGGATTTTGAGTTGAGATTTAAATAGTAAAAATTTTGAATTTTAATAGTTGTATGATGTGATATAAATAGGTGTTGATTTGATGTTTTGAATGTAAAATTAATTTTTAATATAATATAAAAAATGAAAAATAGGTGTTTGATTTGATGTTTTTTTGGGGAAAAAAAAAATGATGAATAGTGGAGTTAAAATCCAATCCCCCAAACAAACACACCCCAAATATAATTAAATTAATAAGAATAAATTGATCAAATATGTCATGTTGCGAACGAAACACAAACATTTGAACATGTAATTTTTAACATAAATGTAAGACTTATTCTAATATTCATATCTATTAGTTTTCTAAAATAAAAAATAATTTCAAATTTATAATTTTCTAACATTTTAAATATTATTAACTTAACTAATCCACCGTTAAAAACCTTGAATATTTCAGGAAAGTGAACGTTTTGAAATGTATCGTATTATTATTGCCTTTTTTTTTTTTTTTTTATTTGTTACTATTATCATAATATTTGTAAATTAGTACATTACTTAATTTAACTTATGACACAGCTAGTCCCGTAATCGGATCTATTTATCATTTTAGTCTCGTAATTCTAGAATGCCGCAAACTAGTTTCGTAAGTGAAAATATTTCGCAATTTTAGTTCTACGGCGCCGAAGATACATACGTGGCACCGGTTTGACTCGCCAAAGGACATGTGTCCACCATGTCAGCAACAGAATTTTTATTTTAAAAAATTTTAATTTTCATTTTTTGTTTGAAATTTTTTAATTTTTGCAAAGAAATATAAAATAAACAAATAAACAAATTTTGATTATTTTTTTAAAAAAATGATGTGTCCGCCGGTGACGCTGATTTGGCGAATACGTATCCTCCGGAGAGCCATGCAGGTGCAATGTAGGCATCTTCGACGCTACTGGAGGACTAAAATTGCAATTTTTTTTTTTTTTTTTTCACTTACGAGACTAGTTTTCGTCTTATATACAAACGCACAATTAACTAATCTTTTTTCATGTGCAATTATTTACCCAAATTAATCCATCTACCTTTCTAATTACTCCGTCCGTCCTTCTACAAGAATCACATTTACATTTTGCGTCATTTTACTAAATATTAAAAATATTTTTATATTTGTATAATTCTTTGTACAAATGTCATTCTATTAGTATTACAAGACACTAATTGAAGTATTTTTGCAATTTTTTTCTTAATTTGTACTATATTTTGATATAATAATTAATATTTAAATATCAACACACGAAAAATAAATAAGATCCTTAGAGTCAGATGGAGGTAGTATTTATTATTTTCTTGATTAGACGAATGTTTTGAATTTGTTTGATTGTGATTTGAAATTAAATTGATATAGTATATTGATTTAAATTTTTTGTTTAAATAATATTTAATTTGATATTATTTTTTTTATTATTGAAACTATGCTAAATAAATAATACTATTGATCTGAATTTAAAATGTTAAAAAGAACAAAAATGTTAATTTGCTGATAGTTCTAAAAGTTTACATTATGACTGCAGAAGTAACGAATCACTTTTGGTTAATTGACTTGAGATTTGATTTTTTTTTGTTGGAACATTTATTTAATTCTTATACTTCATGAAAAAAAAAAAAAAGAAACGTGCATTAAATATTAAAAAAAAATAAAAAGAAAGAAAGAAAAGAGAAAGAGAGAGAATTTCATTTAAAAGGATTGATAGCACTCCAAGTAAATATTATATAGCTTTAATTTTTGTTTATACAACATTTTACAATTTTGACATTATTTAATTTTTTTTAAGAAATATTACATCAAATTTATTTTTATTTTTTAAAGAAATTTTTTGTTGAACAAATTGTTAGGGAAATAAATAAATAAAATTTCCATTTATTAATTGTGACATAAAATTCTTGGTCAATTTCGCTTTTTTTTATTCCTTCCCTAATTTTTCCTTCTATACCTTTTCCCATTCAAACTCATTCTTAAATCAGCCGCTTTCTCTTACCAAAATTTCAAATTTAACACGTCATCATTTATCAATCCAAATATATATAAAAATCATACATATTTTTCCCAGTAACAGAAAACAACGATCGGCGTAGCTTCACCGGGATTATTTTTCCGGCCATGGCGGAAATCGACGTTCCTCACTACTTTATCTGCCCGATCTCCCTTCAGATCATGAAGGATCCCGTCACCGCCGTCACCGGAATCACCTACGACCGCGAGAGCATCCAGGAGTGGCTGAGCACCGCCGGAATCTGCCCCGTCACCAAACTGCCGCTCACTCCGGACCTAACTCCGAACCACATGCTCCGCCGTCTGATCCAGGCTTGGTGCACTGCCAACGCCGTCGAACGAATCCCCACCCCCAAATCTCCCCTCCACAAATCCCTAGTTCGAAAATTAATCCGCGACGTCAATAATAATTCCACCGGAAAAGACTCGATTCGATCGGCGGCGCTGATGAAATTGGCGGAGCTCGCCGGAGAAGGCGACTGGAACCGCCGGGTCATGGCGGAGGCCGGCGCCGGAGAAGCAATGGCTTTGTATGTAAAAAGAGCCGTTAATCGCCGGGAGTTTTTGGGGTTGGAAGAAGCGCTGAGGGTTCTGCATCTGACGTGGACCGCCACGTCGGATTTGCGTGGCGATGAGAACAGCCTGGAATTAATCCGGACCGTTCAGTGGGTTCTGAAAAGTGCGGTCGGGATTAATACGGTGAGGACTAACGCGCTTTTGGCTTTGAAGGCGGTTTTTGAAAACGCGACTTTAGGTTTGAAGGATAAATTAGACGACGACTTGTTCTTTCTTTTGGCGGACCTTCTGCGCGACAGGAGCCTCTCGCCGGCGGCGAGGAAGACCGTTCTGAATGTCCTGATCGAGGCATCTTCCGGCGGAAGAAACCGTGCGAGGATCGTGGAATCCGGCTTGGTATTCGAATTAATCGAGATGGAATTAGGCAGTCCGGAGAAGAGGACGAGTGAGCTGATTTTCGGTCTATTGGCGCAACTCTGCTCCTTAGCCGACGGCCGGCAGCAACTGCTGAAGCACGCCGGCGGAATCGCCGTCGTAGCGAAGCGTCTGTTGCGAGTGTCGCCGGCGACCGACGATTGCGCGCTGTCCGTTATGGAATCGATTGCGCGATTCTCGGCGACGCGCGAGGTGGTGATGGAGATGCTGCGCGTGGGGGCGGTGTCGAAGCTGTGTATGGTGTTGCAGGCCGACTGTGCGCCGCCGTTGAAGAAGAAGGCGAGGGAGGTGCTCCGGCTGCATTCCGGCGAGTGGAGTAACTCGCCGTGCATACAAGTTTATCTTCTAACCAGAAACCCTAGATGACGTGTATAGTCACGTATGATTTTCCTGCCAATTTTTATTTTTATTTTTTGTAAAACTGATATAAAAATATATTAAAAAACGTAAATTTACACTCTTATTAGATAGGGGTATATAATTATATAATTTTTTTTTTTTTTTAAGAAAAAATGAAGTGTACGTATTAATTTGCATAGAATTTACATCCAATTACGTTTTTATTTACACTGCATTTGCAGTAATATTTAGTTGAATATACTTGAATTGATGACTATTATCATCTCCATTTTTAAAATTTAATTAATCATTTTGAGGAAACATGAATAGTTATACCTAAAATGAGTTAAAATTTTAATTTAAACTCCTAATAAGATAAATTTACATTCACCAAAAATGAGTGGATCCTACATCCCCAAGATACACAATGTATATACATACATAAATTCATTGATCCAATCAATACAAACATACAAAGCAAACATCATAAAAATAACGGTACACGATAATATAATATCATACATATTCGGACAACACATCATACAACATACAATACAATATACTATTGATTTTCATAAAATAAGCATATGCATAAATTAAAGGACATTATATATAAACGTTACGATACAAACTTCTATATAACACAGCAATGCGTTATCTATTTACGGTTAAAATGTTGATTATTTGAAATTAGTGTGTTGACTTGGTTAAACTACAAGCACTAATCGGCGCCCATACATAAAATGTAAATCTTTATCTATATAGATACACATATACATGCATATATATATAAATATTGTTTGTGTGCTAAACAAAATTATTCAATATGTTATCGTCGCCTTAAATTTAAGCAACAATACATGATTTGTATTAACATAATATACATATATTATATATTAATTGAGAGTACATAATAATAATACAAAGAACGCTATCATTGGTTCGTAAAGGAAGATCCGATAGTGTAGAAGTAAACTTATGATCGAGAAGTTTACTAAGAGCCGCAGTAATAAAATAATGGATATATTAATGTATATATTATATGTACTTCTATATTATTTATTTATTATTATTTTTTTTAATAACGTAAAAATCTGCAGTCGATATACTTTGGATGCGCTCTAGGTAAACTCTTGATCGAACATAATAATCTGCAAATTAGACCTGATAAAACATATTACAGACAAGACTGGAAACGTCAGAATTTGAACCAATAACCTCACTGTGCTGCAGGCGGAGCCCAGGAGTCCCACCCGGGTCATTTGGGGGTTAAAATCCCCAACCACCTAGACTTGTCCATAAGAAACTTATTCAACATTAGGAAAAACATATTTTCTCCTTCGTGCAAATGTGTGCTCATTTGATCGGACACGACTTTTAATAAAAGTGAGTAATAATTGTTAATTTTTTCTTTTATAGTAAAAAATAGTACAGAAGTGGAATGATTTTTTACTTAAAAAGAAAATGAGAATATTTTTCGATGACAATCGAAAAAAGAAAGTGAACATAGATTTGAACGACGGAGGGAGAGAGTAATAAATTAATATAGTATAACTCATATTTATGATATACATTTAGTAAATATAAGCTTACTTTCTGTCTTCAAAGCAATGTGTTATAATTTTGACCTTACTTCATCAATTATTGATCTTTGATTGTCAATTCAATATTATGATAGCCCAAGAATTCTACTTACAATAGATTTCATTATTTCCAACAATTAATTTTGCAATGTTCTATGATACTTTCACCCTAAAATTTAATTATGTATTCATTACAATAATATTCAAGTTCTAATTCGTACGTGTTTAATATTATTTTATTTTAGTCAATAATACATAAATTTATTTGTATGCTTTATAAATATATTTCGAATAATTCTCTATTTAGTTATAAATGTTAGGGCTGACGCGGCAACGATAATTTGGGTCGCAGTGGACCAGAGCCAATTGGAGAAAAGCTAAGTCAAAATAAATCAGCCGATAGTCAAACATCTGAGATGGCTGCCAATTAATAGTATATATGTCTTGCATGTCTTTTTTCTTTTTTATTTTTTTTGGACTATTCCTGGTCTTTAAAGAACGTTCTCATTTTCTATTTAGGCTACTTGCCATAAAACATAAGTCTAGAGATTTATTTATTTATTTCATAGTTGTGATTTGGGAAGGAGTTTTGTATTTAGATTTTTGTTTAAATACAGTAATATTTTATTTTAATAATTTGATGAAATATATATATATATATTTTTCGTTCCAAAACAATAGTTTCATTTCTATTTTTTTTAACTAGTTCTCCACTATTTTACAGAACTATCCCAATTTTTTCACAATAATTACATGAAATAAGAGTATTTTGGTCTTTTAAAAATACTTTTACACCCACTATCAATATAATACTCCCTATGTCCGGGTCACATTTACTTTTTGCGTCATTGTACGTAACATTAAAAATATCTTTATATTTGTATAATTTTTTATATAAATGTCATTTTATTAGTATTATAAGACACTAATGGAAATATTTTTACAATTTTTTTTTAAAAAAAATTGTACTATGTTTTGATATAATAATTAGTATTAAAAAATCAACACGCAAAAAAGTAAATGAGACCCTTAAAGCCGGACGGAAGTAGTACTATTATTTCTTAATTCTTGTGTTAATTCCAGATATTCTTATTATTTTGGGAATGATTGAATATATATTTTTATTGAAATAGTAATGATTTTAATTTAAAGAATAAGCCAACCATATATATATATATATATATATTCATACACTTCCACACATACTGAAGGTACATGTTGAAAATTAAAATGACTACCAGGGATAAGATTGTCAACTAACCTTATTTTGGCTTTTCGTAAATGTAATAGTTTGATTATGACATTTGACTAAATAAATATATTTGGTGACACCAACGTTCACGTACGTTGATTAACCGATTTTTGTTAACATTTTTTTAAATAAATTAATCACTCGACTCATGCATGCCTATATTTTAAATATTACTCCCTCCATCCTACATACCATGTCACTTTTCAGGAGGTTTGAACCTATGATTTCACGGTCACACCACAACACCCCACTCCACCACACCATCCGTTACGGAACTTCATTTTCTATTTTTTTTTTTTTTTAAATCTTCATTTTTCTATCTTTTATATGAGTGAAGTTAGGGTGCTGAGCTTTTTTAATTTAGCACCATACTTATGCTGTAAAACTTAATAGTTTTAATATATGTAATTAATTAAATAATACTCCCTCCGTCTCAAATACCATGTCCACGTTGCCGTTTCTGTCCGTTCCACATACCATATCACTTTCTTTTTTTAGAAAATGATTACACATTTTAATCTCATTTTAAATTTTTTAATATTTTTTTAATTTTAATTAAATTAATTAGTTATTTTAATATTAATTTATAATTATTTATATTATAAAATAATTATTTTCACTAATACATTCTTAATTATCTACTAATTACACCCCTCCTAAAATATCGTGTCTAATTATTTGGGACGGAGGAAGTATAATTAATGTAATTATATGGAATTTATTTTTAAGGCATAAATATAGTGCCGAATATAAAAAAAAATTAGCATCCTAACTTATCCCCTTCTAAATATATGTATTTTTTATTTCTTTTATATAAAAAACATTAAATCTTCGAACAAAATATCATATTAATATCTATTTTTACTTATAATTTTTAAAATTAAATATATATATATATGTATGTGGGACACATGAAAATTAAATTATGACACTACCCGGTCATTCATTTATGATACCACTAGCCTAGCATATTTTTCCATAAATAATTTGACGCATGTGTTTTTTAATACTATCTTTTATTTAGAGGTTTTTTTTTTTTTTAGATAAAACATAAATATACTTGTTGATTTATTTAATAATTTTTTTAGAGAAAATTACTACTTCCTCCGTCTCATAACAGAGTATTTATTTTTCCATTTTAGTCCGTCTCACAACAAAGTATCCATTTCCTTTTTCAATAACTGTATTATCTACCTAACATTACAAATACTCTTACAACTTACAATTTATTACACAAATGTCATTACCTTTGTATCACACATACTAATAAGGATATTTTATTCATTTCTACTTTATTCATACTACATTATAATATAATACTAATATTTCTAAAATTACGTGCAAAAAGAAACTGAATATCTAGTTATGAGACGGAAGGAGTATTATTTTAAGTACCGTGTAATAAATAATGAAAATGATTGTGGAAACAAAATTTATAACCCTATTTATTTTCTAGCTAGTTGTTCGGCTCAATCCTATTTTGTTACTATTTAATTTATTATATTTTAAACTAAACAAGTAACATCTTGACTTTAAAACATCAATTATATAATAGAAAAAATATGATAAAATAAAAGCTCTAATTAGGGTTTTGTTTGCTTGATGTTTCATTGGGTATGAAACTATCAAAAATTTGATTGGCAAAATAGATATTTTATATTATGTAATTTTTTTTTTATGAGAAATAATTTGAATTGATATAATTGATTTTATTGAGAAAAAAAAAAATAATGCAACATCCCAAGCCAAAAACATCTTAAAATATTATCCATATATTACTTAAGAATTTATTTTGTATTTTAAATTGATTTTAAATTTTGAGTTGAATAGTAATTTGTTGTCGATGTTTAATTTAAAATTTTGTGTATTTTTATTATAAAAGTATTATAACATAGAACATAAAGTGAACCTAAACTCTTAATAAGTAAAGACTTAAATTTTAAATATTCTCATTTTAAGGACTTTCAAATTTGATAAAATTACTCCCACGACATACTCCTTTCGTTCCACCACAATTGACATCATTTTCATTTTTATCTGTCCCGTAACAGTTGATATATTTCTATTTTTAGTAAAAATTATTAAATCAAAACATATTTAACAAATATACATCAACTTAATTAACTAAATATCATACAATATCATAAATGAGGTAGGACTCACTCAAAACCCCTTTATTTCTACCCCTCTCTCCTCCAAAAAATAAATATTTTTATCTATATTTAAACCTATGCATCTTTTATAAAATTGATTTATATTAATTATAAATAAACAAAAATATTTTTTTTATTTACTTGAATTATAGAAAATTTTATTATCTACAAAATGATATCCATATTGCATATATTTTTAAAAATTGATATATAATTTTTAAATATTTAAACATATATTTTAATTATTTTAATCATATATATTAATCTTACTTTAAAAATATAAATATTATTAATTATAAAAAAATAATATAATAATAACGTAACTAATTATTATTAACTAATTAAATATTATTACCTTAAATACCTTGTCCCTAATCAAAGAGTTCAATTCCGGTGGGACGGAGGAAGTATAATTTAATTATCTAAGCATGATTATACATACATATATATATATATATAAGTTACTTATATATAAATATAAGAGTTGTATTCTTTTGTGTCGAGACAACTTATTTAAATTTTTTTTACTTCTGTAAATTTCATAGGTAATTATTATTATTTAAATTTACTTGTTAGACTTTTGTGTTGTAAATGAATTGATGTACCTGTGATTGTAATTAACATATGAAGGCGTGAATTGAATCAATCAAATATCTTATATTAATAATTATTTCATTTTCATTAAGCCGGACAAACTTACTAATTTATATCCAAGAATAATTGTAAAAGTCAACTATATTGATTTATCTTCAAATTTGTCTGATAATGTCAAGAAAAATATTAAATGCTTAAAGAAATATTATGCCTTTAATTTAATTAATATTATTATTATTATTATATCTATTGTCAACAATATGTAAATTTCATTCAATAAGATATAATAAATACTATAAATATGATTTATTTGTATTGTAATATTTGGTCAACAATTAATAATATGTTACAAAATTTTCCCATATTGGAAATATGTGAAACTTTCCCTTACTGTATAAGGGTTAAGACTACTTAATTTAATAATACTCTCTCCTTCCCGTAAATTAGAGCTTTTGTATCCGATAAAGAAATTAAGAGAAAATGAATATTTTATTAAAAATGTGATCAAAAGTGAAAAAATAATAGTTTGGAGTATTTTAAAAATTTAATTAGAATTTTAAAAATAAGAAAAATTAATGTAATAAATAAATGACACTAAATAAATATTAAATGAAAAATAACAGTTAAATATTGATTAGAAATCCTAAAAATGATATAATTTTATTTGAGGGGGTGCTACTTACATACAATGATGTGATGACTTTACTATTTTACATAAAATTCTATGCATTGCAATATAATGCATAGAATTTTATTTTAGTGTTTTTTTATATATTTTTTTTCTAATTATATAGATTGAAAATATAAATATGATTTTTATTTACTCCCTCCGTCCCATTGAAAGGTTATTATTTTTCATTTTCGTTCGTCCCAAAACAAGATTACTATTTACTAATTTAGTAATTGTACTACCTACTTAACATAATAAATACTCTTTCAACTTACAATATATTACACAAATATTATTACTTTTATATTACATTATACTAATAGGAATATTTTTGTCTTTTTTACTACAATCCAATATAATACTCATATTAAAAAATCTACGTATAAAAAGCAAAAATCACCCTTAAAACGGAATGAACGGAGTATATTTTTTTAATTTATTTAATATGAAATTTTCATTCAAGTAATATTTAACCGGAAAATACAAAACATGAATGAATTGTTCTTTTTTATATATAAAATTTATTTTTGTGTATATATATTTTAAAGCATATTACATTATATAAAATAGTAACTTTTTTTTTTTTTTTTTTTAAAAGGTATAGTTTTCAGTCTAATTAATTGATGACTGGGAATCCCAATGTCAATTTCAATTGTGGGACAATATTCAACAATATCAAGTATATATCAATTTTAGAAAACATATAAAATAATCGAAGGAAAAATTGAATTAAATTGTGTAAAAGTTAGATATAAGAATTTTTATGAAATGATATCGTATAAGTACAGTGGCCTTTCAAAATAATGGCACTATGGCAGAACATTTCCACAACACATACACAATAAAATATTTCTAAAAATGGGATGAACAAAAATTCCCCAAATCAGAAAGCCCTAATTAACACAACAAAAAGCTTAACTGGACGGATACGCAGAGACCAAATGCGGCGGCACGCACGGCGGCGCCGCCCCTTTCCAAAACCTAGAATGCAACCGCAATATCTCCTTCGCCCTCTCCTTTCTCTTCCCGCCGCCCTCAATTTGTACCACCAGGCACAGCTTCGCCACCACCCCAACCTCCCCCATTTCCGTCATAACCCTACCGTTCGCCGAGTACTTGGCAATCGACGCCAGAATTCTCACCGCCCGATCGCTCGCCGCGTGCGAAATCCTGAGGATCTTCTTCGAGACGATGGCGAGCCCCGCCCCGTGCCGGAGTAGCTCCGCCCGGCCTTCGGCGCAGCCGCAGAGCTGGTCCAGCACTGTCAGGGCGAGTTCGGAGGCGCGGCGATCGGAGCTTTCGAGAAGAAGCTCGATTAGCGCGGAAACGGCGTTGGATTCGACTGCCTTAATCCGATTTCGCCCCCATGGGCAGAGCTCGGTCAGGAGCTTCAGTGCGGATTTTGTGGCGGTTGGGGATATTTTGTCGAAGATGATCTGTACGGTTTGGGTGAATATTTCGGGTTTGGATCCGATTAAATGGGTCGGGTCGGCGACGTCGTATATGGATTTCAATAGCTTCATCGTTAGGGCACGATTTTGGGGATTTTCACTTTGCAGAATTTCGATCAACGAATCCAAAATCGAATCGCTCTCTGCGAAAACAGCCTTCAAATCGGAATCGGAAATCTCGAATTCCTCCAGAATATTCAGCGCTTCGTCTCTGGAAACGGCGTCATCGTTTCTCCTCACGACGGACAGGAGGAACTCCACGGCGCCGGCGGCCTGAAGTTGATGTCGGCCGCTCTCATTCCGGCAAGCGATGGATCGGATTCGGTGAAGGCAACTGATCATCTCCGAGTTGGACGAATCCCTCGCTTCGTTGAGGAGATCAACGATCCGAGATCTGTCCACCGCCGGTTTCGGCGTGGAAATCCTTTCGTAGGAGTTCACAGTGCACCATGACTGAATGAGTCGCCGGAGATTGTGGTTAGGTGTGAGATCATCTGTGGAGACGAGTGGTAGCTTCGTGACCGGACACGTAGCTAGCTTGCCGGAGAACAACCATTTCTCTATGTTCCGGCGATCGTATGTTATCCCGGTGGCGACGGTGACCGGATCCTCCATCAATTGCATCGAAATTGGACACAGAAAATAACAAGGTATTTCAACTCCTCCATTGCCATTTTCTTCTTCCATGAAAAACAATCCAATTTCAAGAAATCAGAAGATTTGAGAAGATAGCACAGATGAGATGAAATCTGTAGTAAGGTGTCTGCAAATATATATATATATATATATAGTTAACCTTGTGTGCATGTATCAATGCAGAAGCAAGTTGGGTGAAGGGTAGGCGACAATGATCTTAACCGTTGCGTTTCGAGATCAACGGTCCAGATTCATCGCCACTGGAGTGTAAATTAAATTATATGTAGTATACAGTAATTTACTTCAACTGGGGCAAGTCAGACAGACACGGGTATTGCAAGGACACAGGTGAGTCGATAAGGTAGACTTTTTCCTTATTTATTTATTGATTATTATTATTATTATTATTATTCTTCTTCTTCTTCTTCTTCTTCTTTTTGAAGCAAAGTTTCCAATTTATACAAATTCAATTAATTGCATATGGGACAAATCACAAATGTATGGGGAGACCATCCAACCACGTCGGCGTTGGATTTTGAATTTATGAGCTTTCTCAATCTGACAGGTACCTTTGACTTTCCTAAAGTATGCGTAAATTATTATTAATATTATTTTTTTTTTAAATTTCGGTTGGGATGAGCAGTAATGGATTTAAATATAATTTTATTGTTTGACTGTTGCGTGCATTTGAGATCTCGCTTTTCGGGCTTCACAGTGACCGGAGATACCGGCACGTGACGGAACCCCGGCTGGCGGCGACACCGCTGTCGCCGCCGAGTATTCCGGACGCTTCGAGAAATGGGCTTCGGTTTAATCACGCAATTTTTAATTTACCTATTCCTGAATAACGTTCTCATAATTTTCTTATTATAACAAATTTTATGTAAATAATGATTTGAAATAATATTATTACATAATAAATATTATAATATTGAAAAAATACGTATTTCTTTCATTCAAAAATGTGATATACAGTTTTTTTCTTAACATTATATTTGACATATTTCTATATTCGATGAAATTACTAATTCAAAATATATTTAACAAAATTAGTTAATTTAATTAATTTTATAACCTATAATATCATACTTACTCAAAATTTTCTATTTTTATTTACCTTTAATAAATAAATATTTTATCTACATCTAATTTTTTTTTTTATAAAATTAATTTATGTTAATTATAAATAAATAGATATATATTTAGTTATTTGTATTATATAAAATAATTTATTTATTATAAGATGATATTTATATTATATATTTATTGAAATACTATAATTTTTACTATTTGTGAGGCAATTGGTTCAAACCCCCAACGCATGCAAGTCATTTGTTACACATAGTTTGTTTAGTGTGACTTGTCTTGTGAGACCTAGTTTGCAGGATAATAAGTTCGGTCAGAGATTTATCTAATGCGCACTTTCGAGAAGCGACTGCGGAATATATATATATATATCTATCTATATCTATGAAATTATCATTTCAATTGAGGTGGATACAAAATCAAGCCAATTATCTACTTGACAGGGGAAAGTTTTGGGATGATCTAGTGTTGTGAGGATGGACTCTGACCGCGAGATCATGAGTTTAAATTCGGACACTTTAGGTCTTATTTATCAAACATAGTTTGCCTAGTGTGATTTGCTTTGTCGGACCTAGTTTTCAGACTATCAGATGACGATTTAAAAAAAAAAGAAAAAAAAATTATCCACTATTAGTTCCCTATATATATATATATATATATATATGAATTTACAGCCGGAAACCAAAATAGAAAAAGAAGATCGAGAAAAAAAAAATATCAAATTTTTGTAGATCAAGTGATATAAGATGCTTAGCCCGAGAATGTTAAGTCCTGAGTAAGTGTGTTCCTCCAATAATTTTGTCACTTACAAATTCTATTCTCGCTTACTATTTTTTTTATAACTCATCTAATAATTTTTCTAATACTTTTATTTTAATTTTTATCCTATTTTAATATTAAAATTAAAATACTATTATTTTTTGGTTTCTATATTTAACCAAATCAATATAGTTTTAGCTGATGAATATAATATGTTATATGTTTTTATACTGTAATTACACCATGACATAAATATAGTTATATTTTTATGAATTATAAATTTAAAAATATTTTTTTTATATTACTTAATTTAAAATTTAATACAAAAAAAAAAAAAAAGAAGAAATAACCATGTTGAACTGTACTCGGTCAGATCCAATTCATTGCGCCTTTATTTGATGTATGGTAGGTTTTTATCCGTCCATACGTGTCTTTGCAATGCCATCTTTCTTCCTTTCGAATTTTCTTTTTTGACTTTTTACATATATATATATATCTATTAAAAGTAGTTTTAGAAACTTTCATTAAAATTACCATCCCATTTACAATACTGGTTGAAAGTCAAATGTCACAACTCTTTTTAAAGGCGAATTACACATTTTTATCATTTAAAATTTTAAAATATTACTATATGCATATAGCAGTAATTTATTACTCCCTCCGTCCCAAACAAGGTGCAACATTTGCTTTTGACACAAATTTTTAAGTAGGTAGTATAAAGTAGGATAATTTAGAAATTAGGTGATGTGATGGAGAGAAAAATATATATTTTATTTTTTTATTTGGATGATGTGAGAGAAGAAAGCGTGGGATGAAGATTAAGTATAATTAATTATTTTCTATTTTGGAAATATTGCATAATATTTGAAACATACCAAAAGGAAAATGTTGCAGATTTTTTGGGACCGAGGGAGTACTAAATTTCACCCATTATTAAAGCACTGCTTCTAATCTTCCTTCTCCTTTTACCTTTCTTGTTAGGTCTTCCCTTTTTATTTTTATTTTTTATATGATTTTTTTTTAAGAAAATAAAAGTGTCAAATGAGCAGTGTTGTGTAAACAGAGCTATAATAATACATGAAGATATTGTAAAATGTTTTTATATTTCCTTCATCCTAATTCATGTAAATTTTTGTTTTTATATTTTTGTAAAAATTTTAAAATATTTTAAAATTTAAATATAGTTAAAAATAAATCCTTTGATTGGGCTCTTATATTGTAAAGTTACTTATAAATCTTTGTAACTTCAAAAGCCCAGTATAGAAAGCCCAAATAAATAGTGCTGTGTTTGATGTGGCCCAGTATTTAAAAGCCCATTCAGGGCCCAAAGTGCAGTCGGCTTCCTGTCGCCGGCTTCTTTCCAAACCCCATTTCCGAGCTGACTTTCCATTTCAGAGGCGCGCAAACGACGCGCAGTTGTCCGTTGAGCTGTTGTTCCGTGCAGTCATGGAGGTTTCGCCGGATAGCGATTTTCCGTTGCCGTCAAACGAGGGGGAAGGAAGTCTTGTCTCAATCTACTCCAACTATCTTTACAATCGGCTCCGAAGCTTCTTACCTGCTTCGTTGTTACCGACCGACGGTGTTCTGTCGAGGATCGCGAACTTCTATGGTTCGTCGAGGCGGAGACGCAGGAAAACTTGCTTACCCCTACCGTTGCCGTCTGCTGCGGCTGCCGCTTCTCTCGACCGATCATCTGCGTATGGATTCAATATTGGCTAATTGTTTGCTGTTTGCTCGTCATTCTTATTTGAAGTTAGTGATACTTGGTTAGCCTTTTTTTTTTTTTTTTCCTCTGAGGTGAAATGGCTTTGGAATGCATTTTGGATGGGAAGGGATGAAAGGAGGGATAGTTTGAGTAGCTGGTTCTAAGATCCGTCTTATGTAAATATATTTTGGTTAAAAGTTGTGGCTGGAATACCTTGCTATTTTTGTAATAGTAAATTTCATCGTCGTTTTATATTTGTCAGTGAGAGTGAAAGAATATAATCGGAATGATTCTGTTCAACGTTTATTTAGTTAGAAAATAATGTATCATGCTCTACATGTAGGTTTACACCAGAGGCGTGTAGAATTTTTGATGTTATGGAAGATATTATCGGGAGCACAATTCAAAATCTGCACAGAATCCAGAAGCATTTAGATTTTTGGCAATTCAGAGCTGAGGTTAGTATGGAGCTCTATTTATTTTGTACTGGCAAGTAGCAGTTATTTTGTAACAATTTCTCAATGATGTGAAATGCATCTTCATGTTTCAGGGTTCAAATGCTCGGAAAGCATACTTCATGTTATGTGAACGGGGACCGTATGCTTTTGCTAATGGTAGTGCTCAACTGCTACGTGATTGTCTAGCTGATGTTTCTGGGATGCAGAAGCTTTATTCTTCTGCATCATCTCATATATCTGAGAGGATTAGTGTATTGACTAGCTTAAGATACTTTTTAGCTACATTTTTGGCCAAGGTTAGGCATTATTATTCCTTATTTAATTTTGAGCATTCTGAACCATTAAACCAGCATGTTATTTTGTTGACATTGGACAATCTTGTGGTATGAGACCAGGACAAATGATAGCATCTCTATCATTTTTGGTCAGAAGTATTTTAGAGCTTCATGTTCTAGGATATAATTCTAAATTGACTATAGATTCAAATATTGGGTAAAATTTATTATTTGTTGGATAATGTGTGTAAGTTAATTTGTCCTTTGATTGGTGATGTACACAGGTTTATATGGATGTTGATAAGATTGGTGAGGATCTGGTCAAGGATCCAGAGAATTCACTGCCTGCACTATTGCTTGCCATCAATGAATCATTTATGAAATTGGAAGCTTCAATTGCTTATTTTCAGTCAAATAGCCAGGTGTGGTGTCCTGTTATAGCTTATGTAACTACTATTTTTATTTCCTTGGACTAGTCGAATACTGCCTTACATTTGTTGCATGTGTACCGTATGTCATAGACAGCCTTGGTCAATTCTATTGCTTGAACTTTCCATTTACTGCTTACCCCACTTATTATTGTTATTTATTTTATATTCTGATGAGTGTGCAGATTGGCTCATCAGAGCAAGAAAGTTACTTGGAGCCTCTGATGTTTGAAAAACTTTCTGAAGTAAAGAATATTTCTCAATGGACTGATCACGATATTCGAGATTCCATCAACTTGGTTTATGAAAATCTACGCAGATTGGACTCTTACTTGTCTGTTCTTGTAAGAGTTTCCCTAGAATGATCTCTTTGGTTTTTTGCTTTTCTCATGCTTGTTTTGTTTTAATGGTTCCTTTATTATGAAACTGCCATCTCACTGGACCATTAGATAAGTTCAACTCAGAATTATAATAGGACAAAGAGCATAATGATAATCTGAAATTAATTGCTTCTTTCAACTTTTTTTACCTATTGTCTTTTAGGAAAATATCTCTTCCAGCAATGCCTATGCCTGTGAATATTGGCTATGCTAAGATAGGATTCTAGTTCAACTAATTCTCTGCAAGGTAGTGTCGTTGTTGCAAGAAATCTTATCTGGGTCTTACTATAGGCTAAATTCCTAAAATATGTGATCTTGTTCAGGTTTCCAAACATCGCAAGCCAAGGAAAGTAACTTTGTACTGGATACGTTACAGCTGTGGAATTTTGGGTGTTTCTGTTTGTTCATTGTGGCTACTTCGTCATAGCAAATTGATGGGAAGCTCCGACATTGACAATTGGATTCGTGAAGCGAAGGACTCAGCTAAAAGCTTTTGGAATGATCACGTAGAGCAGCCGGTATGTTTTTGAATCCTTGATTATTGTGTTGCAATTGATTCATGTCAGTTAGGGTGCTTATGTTGGCACTTACCTATCATATTTTCCGAATTTACTTTATTATATTTTGGTGTGATGATATAATGCATCGGACTATTCTCTTCTGCTGATGGTTTTAAACTCTCTCTCTCTCTCTCTCTTCCTGTTGCTATTATTATTTTAAAATTAGGTTCTTTCCATAAGGGATGAGCTTTTTGAAACCTTCAGAAAAAGACAAAAAGGTGCAATGGAACGGGAAGAGGTGCAGTTGACAGCTGACTCTCTACATAGGTATGCAATAGCCGAAGAGAAGAAAGCTCCATCCATTTGTTCTTGTCTATTGCACTTTTATAGAGTTCACTGATCAGCATTTGTTCTGCATGTTTAATTGTTGTAACCATGGATTAATACTACATCTTTAGCAACCTACAAATAAATTTGAATATTCTATGTAATTCACGCCCCTTTGTTATAATTTGGCAAGTATTATCTTGCTTTGATTGACTGCACTAGTTCCAACCTTGTAAACTATGACAAATAAATATTTTCCTTACATCACATATTTACTAAATAAATAATTAACTTATGTCCCTTACCAACTTTTCTGATAGTTCCATGCTAAAGGTTTTATGCAAAAAAAACTGCTTGCACATGAGAGTGCATGTTGGATGAATAAATGTACATGCATTCTAAAACATTTCGTTATGGGCATTAGTTTTTATTTATATTTTTTTTAGGAAAGGGTGATGTGTTTTGTTTTTTCCTTAATCCAAAGGAATTTAGCTGAACTTATTTTCTTCATTTCAATCTGTTTGGAAAACTTTGCTTATTAAAACCAAGTTCATTTTCTTTTGGCAGAACACTCCTAGCTTTTAGCGAGCAAACAACAGGTAAAAGATTTCCAGAGAATACTTCTGACCAGGAAATGCTTGAGATTGTAATGACCAGGTAAACTATTTTTTGCAGTCTTTAGAAAACCTTTTCTAGCAAGGCCCTCTATTTTTACTAGCATTACTGTATTTGGGTTCTTCTGGATTTCGCTCTTTAGGATAATTCATGTTTCTTTAATATATTGACATGTATCAGAAATCTTGTAGATTAAGATTGACCAAATATCTTAATTTTGATATAGTTGATTCTTCTATCAAGGCAAACCAGATCATATATTGTTGCATATCCAGCTATGCAAGCAAGTATTCTGGTGCTAACCATATGAATCAAATGTTTTTCTTATTCAAGTCCCTATTGATTTCATAACCTTCAATTCTTGAACGCTAGGGGTGTGTTTGGTTTGTGTTTTGTGTTTTCATAGTGATTTGATGTTATGTTTTTGTGAGAGAGAATCATGTAGTTTTCTCAAAGAGCGTGGGATTGCATAGTATTGAAACTTTAAAGAGTTGCTAAAAGAACTGAGCCTGGGTTGCTTGTGGTTTCTTCATACACACAGAGATATATCAATATAAGTTATTTAAGAAGTTTCATCTGCTTTCACATCAACATTTTTTTTTCACTCTTTTCAAGTTGGCATGGGAATTAGCAGATGATATTCACTTGATGAACTTAGAACTTTTAAAAATTAGCCTCCCCAGGAATTATAAAATCAAAATTGTTGCTATCATGTTTGGGTGCCATAATGACATTGATGTGATAGGTAAAATTTAAGCCTTTTGACTTTCTTGATAAGCATATGGGATGCATCTATGCTTGACAACCTATTGGTAGATGAAGTACTAAGAGATTAATTTTCAGATATGAAAAAGAACTCATGCATCCAATCCAGGGTCTTGTGGGCGGAGAACTCGTCCGTGCTCTTCTAATTCAGGTAACATACCTGACTCTGCAACATTCAATAATTTATGTTCTTCGTCATCTGACGCACCTTCTCTAATACAGGTTCAGAAGTTAAAATTAGATATTGAAGAGTGAGTTAATTCTTTGGTGCTTTGGAATCTTAATTATGTAGTACTTTTGGGAGATCATCCCTTATTGCCTGTTTTTTCTAAGCAGGGCAATGCTTGAGCTGGATCAGATCCTGAGGGCCAACGAAATTAACTTTGCTATCTTAGCTGCTTTGCCAGCGTTCTTCATCTCTCTTGCTCTAGCCATGTTGGTACGAGCATGGTTGAAACAGGTAAAACAGTTTGAGCGTGCCTCCAATATTAGATCAACAGTTTGATAGAGATTCAAATACACGTTTTGAGAATATGTAGGAGCCACAATTGATATGGGATTGTAAGATTGTTACTAAATCTTGAAATTAGGATACCCGTGCTGAAGGTAGAGGACGAGTTGCTCGTATCCAAAGAAGGCTTCTGCTAGTGGAGATTGAGAGAGCTATAATGCAGATGCAAAATTTCAATAATCAAGGCCTGGTATGTGTACCTGCAACACTAACTGTAATGCATACTTCCAACAACATTTTCGGAAAAGCATTATCTAACTGATATATATCTATAATTCGGCAGGAAAACGATGCCCAATGCATGTACGGGCTGGTGCTGTGTTTTCTGGATTCATTACACTGCACGGTAGAGGGGCATGCAAAGGCAACAGGTGAATGGATAAGGTTAGTGTGTTCTTTTCCTCACACCTCGGGTGTTTGTTATAGGCTTGGGAATAGGTAAGCATCGTATTTATGATTTTTCTGACTAATCATTTTGCATACAGTTTGAGACAGGACATGATGGATCTGGCAAAGCCGGGGCTGAAACCTGACCATAAGCTGCTCATTACGTCGCGCATGGAGAGAGCATACGACTGCTTGTCCCCGTCGTCAAGGCGCAGTTAGTTAATTCTCGAGTATGATCATCTATCTCTTAACAATTGTTGGTTTGGATTTTGTTTCAATTAAAGCTTGTGATTTTGATCTTGGTGGATACTGCTAGTAAGTACTAAAAGTAGGTTATAATATAATAAAACACTTTGAACTCGGGTTTAGGAACTATTAATATTAGTGAATGCGGAGAATTAATACCGTGCTGATTTGAATATAATGGTGTCAAATCAGCACGAACGAAATATACCAATAGCATATTTTTATTTTACACAATACATGTACGATAAAAATGTGCTATTATCATTATTATGTGCTAAAATCAACTGTTGTATTATGTGTTATCACACATGGTCTGCATCGGGATTTACCTTAACCTTTCCCGCACAACATCCCTTTTTCTTCTCACCGAGTTGGTCGCGCCTCTCCAAATACTCGGAATTCTCTTTCCACACCTCCCCATTGCTATACACTTCTTTCTTCCATATCGGCACTGTCCCCTTCACCTCATCGATTATATACTTGCACCCATCCAATGCATCGCTCCGGTGCACCGACGACACTGCGATGAATACGCTCGTTTCACCCACTGGGACTCGCCCTACGCGGTGTGCCACTGCAATTGCGTTCACCTTCCACAATGATCTCACGGACGAACAGATTGATTTTATGCACCGAATTGCCATGGGAACGTATGCCTCATATCGTAGCTCCACCACGGACTTCCCCTCAAAGGTGTCCCGCGTAGTCCCAGCAAATGTCGCAATGGCGCCACAGTGCGGCGACTGGACCAAGTTTATGTATTTGTTGATATCGATGGGGATGTTGTCCTCTAATATCTCGACTACGTTGATATCGATGGGGATGTTGTCCTCTAATATCTCGACTACATTCTTATCCTTCTCTTCTTCCGCCATCACTCTCAATGGAATCCTCCTCCTCCTGATTGATCTCCAGCAAGAATGCCTAGAAGCTAAAACAAGATTCTAAAGAGATCCAACGCCTAAATTTTGAATTAAAACAATGGAATCTGATGAATACAATCAAATCATAATCTAAACAATAAGCTAAATATCTAACATCCCTCGAATAGAAACCAACTTGAATTTACTAGAAAGTTCGATAATTTACACAAAAATGCTATAATCCAAGTATCTAAAATATCTAAAAAATACATATTATTGTGATTTGGTTTCATTGTTTTTCTCTTCTTCTACTGTTGCACTATCCGTATGTAGAAAAAATAATGCAATCTCAATTTTCACCGCCAATTAAATAGGGAGGAACCAACACAGCCAAAACAAAACATTCAATTTTTCTTTTACTAAAGCATGGCGAAGATTTCCAATCATTCCTCCTACTCGAACAAAAAACCAAAATCCTTTCAAGTTTCAACACATTAATTCAAATGGCGTAAACTTCACAAAATAGGGGGCGGAAATGATTCAATTCGTTTACTACAACACCAGCTAAGTCCGGTTATTCCTCTGACGCAATTAAACAGCAGAAATCCTCACAAAATCATCCACTGTAAATCAATCAATTAAGAACCAGAGACAAAGCAAGCCAGAATCTGCATCCACGGTCAGAAATCAATAGAAAATAAACAGGAAAACCGATCCACACAACATTGACCTTAAGCAGCCATGGCGAGAGTAGCAGTATGAGATCTCGGTCCGCGTAAGGCCTACAGCTAGCTAAGTGATATTATCCGCTCCGATTCTCGTCTCGTCTCGTCTCGTCGCTTGTCGCTTGCTCTCAGAGATTATTATTTGGCGGCTGATTCTCTGTAGCCTTTATTATGTTTAATAAAAATAATCGGGTCTTTTTCTGAATACGATTCCCAATTAAAATAATCAGGCCCGTGTAGCTTTCAATATTGGGCCTTTGGCCCATCCTTATACATTTATTTATTTATTTATTTTATATAGAGAATTTTCAATTCCTCAATCATGCCATACAATTCAGTCTTAATATTGCAAGTTAAGCAAACTTGCTCAAAATCTATTGTATATAGTAAAAATGCAAAAAGACGTACTTCAAGTTTTATTTATTAGGTGATGTTAAATTAAAATATATATGATATATCTTTTTCGTCATAATTGATATTTACTTGTAAATACAAATTTAAATTATACAAATTTATTATAAAATAAATAAATATGTAAATGAATAAATAATTTATCAACTTTTATTTTTATAAATTTTACAAAAAAATAGATAACAATTCATTTACTTTTTTTATTTATATAAAATTTACATAAGTAAGTTCGTATATACATAAATATCATGACTACATATCAAATTTTTTTCGTTATAAGTGGACTTGTTGGAATAATTCACTTTTATATTATAAGATGTCTATAATGCCAAAAAATTCAAACTACGACATCTTTAAATTTATATATCATACATTATTAGTCTAGTAGAACTTGACTTGTCGAGCCTAGTAGATTTCACAGGAGTTTATGTATAGGGTAGCGGCTGCACACTTCATAAAAAAGAAATAAAGAAAATTAACAAATATACGCTTCTTTAACTATATGTTTCTCTAGTCCAAAATATTTTAAGAGGGATGTAATTAATAGATAATTAAGAATATATCAGTAAAAATAATTATTTTATAATATAAATAATTATAAATTAAGATTAAGATAACTAATTAGTTTAATTAAAATTTAAAAAAAATTAAAAAATTTAAAATGAGATTAAAGTGTGTAATCATTTAAAAATAATAATAAAGTGACATATACTTGGAATGGAGAGAAACGACAAAGGTGGATATAGTATCTGGGACGGAGAGAATATTATAATTACTGTAAACATTAGAATTTAGGAAATATTTCATTAATAAAAAATTAAAAATATATTAATAAAAACAATTATTTTAATATAGAAATAATCAAAGATTTAAAATTTAAATAAATAATGAATATACTTGAAATAAAAAAACTAAAATATGATTAAATGTACAATTTCTGTAAACAAAATGCCATAAAATGCTATGGACAAAAATAAAAACTGGAAGTAAATAATAACTGTATATCATACTCTTTTTTAGGGTAAAGCAATATATATATATATTTTCTTGATTGACGTATATATATATTTGTTCTTATTGACAATGGAGATCTTCATTAGGATTTTCAATAATGTTTCCGCTGGCGTAAGGTTGTGTTTCGTCGCCTGTAACCGACGTGTGCAGTTGTGCTACAGCTGATCGCTGTCTTGTTAGTTTCGCCGCATTGTTTTTCTTGATCTCCGCGCCGGACGGAAGATTGCTCACCGCAATTGGATTCAGACTTCGCTTGTTTGAATTTTGTAATCGCCACGCACTGTTAAACCCTAATTTCAAATTTTTGTAGGTTCTTCCTCTCGCGATTATTATTTTATTCAATTAGGGTTTTGGTAAATTCTTTTGGCTCTAAATCATTTGCCAATCCGGCGATTTGTTTGCAAGACGCAGGCGAGAGAAGGAGAATGGCGATAGCAGCGCCGGAGCAGCTGAACGTAACCGAAGTGCCGGCTTGGGGCTCTCGAAGCGTCGATTGCTTCGAAAAATTGGAGCAGATTGGTGAAGGAACCTATGGGTAATTATTTCTTTATCCAGTCTGTAGAATTGTGAGCTCTACGTGATAGTTACAACTTCAAGTTTCACTTTCAAGCTTGATTTCTCTAATCTAATGTGGGAAATCTGGCAAGTGCAGACAAGTTTACATGGCTAAAGAAATCAAAACAGGGGAAATTGTTGCCTTAAAGAAAATCAGGATGGACAACGAAAGAGAGGGGGTACGGACTTACATCTGTTAATGATGTGGAAGATCCCTGTTGATTTATAATCGACTTACAGAATCCAATATAGGATGTCGTTTAAATCCTTGTGTGCTTGCAGTTTCCCATAACAGCCATCCGTGAAATTAAAATATTGAAGAAGCTTCACCATGAGAATGTTATCAAGTTGAAAGAGATTGTGACCTCTACTGGTAATGTTAATTTTGCTATTGTATATGCTATAAACTGTATTCTCTTGTGTTTTTCCACTGCAACTGAAGTTTGTAATTTTCATCCAGGTCCTGAGAAGGATGAACAAGGGGCACCAGGTTAATAGACTCTTTCTAGAATTGTAGTTAAACGATAATTTTTAATTGTTGGTCTTAGCTGAGTGTAGCCGTCCGAGAGCTTATCTGTTGGCAGAAAGCTAATGTTGATGGTTTTCACATTCATATACCTTTTGTGGTCTTCCAGATGGCAACAAGTACAAAGGTGGAATTTACATGGTTTTTGAGTATATGGACCATGATTTGACTGGTCTTGCTGATCGTCCTGGGATGAGATTTTCAGTGGCACAGATTAAGGTATTGTCCGAAACTTGTATATAAACCTGAAAAGAACATTGATTTATTGGTATATCAGATGGGAAGAGGAGCAACATGCCGATGAATGGGTTTTCACTATATTTTATCTTCTTTCAGTGCTATATGAGGCAGCTTTTGACCGGGCTTCACTACTGTCATGTAAATCAAGTTCTTCACCGTGATATTAAAGGTTAAAACTGAAAAGAATTATTTAGCTTGAGTCATTTTCCATTTTTTATAGTAATTTGAAGCTCTTTCCCTTTGGATTGCAGGCTCAAATCTTCTGATTGACAATGAAGGAAATCTAAAGCTTGCAGATTTTGGTCTTGCTCGATCATTTTCAAACGAACACAATGCTAATCTCACAAATCGAGTGATTACCTTGTGGTACAGGTAAACTGCCAAATACCAATTGTGCCTGAGTTTCAAATGCGCAAAACTTGAATTTATTCATTAAACGATCTGGTTTTAATCATGTAGGCCACCAGAGTTGCTGCTCGGAGCCACAAAGTATGGCCCTGCAGTTGATATGTGGTCTGTTGGTTGCATCTTTGCCGAGCTTCTCAATGGGAAACCAATCTTTCCTGGGAAAGATGAGGTGTCCATTTTTATTATTTTTTGAATTAGTTGTATACTGCAATAATTGCAGAGGATTCCTATAATAATTTGAACTTATTTATCAAAAAAATGCTAATTGTTTTTCAATTTCCTGCATACTCATCCAGATTTATGCATATCTCTATCCATAAAGTTAAAACCTCTGACAGGGTGATTTCATAGTCATCAGTTCAGTTTATATGGATTGTCTGATATGTTCTCTGCATATCTAAGGTTGTATTGTGATTTTGTGGTTTTGTTTTGTAGCCGGAACAAATAAATAAAATCTTTGATATTTGTGGAGCGCCTAGCGAAGATATTTGGCCCGGGGTCTCGAAAATCCCTTGGTATAACAACTTCAAGCATGGAAGGGCTTCAAAGAGGCGTCTCAGAGAACATTTCAGGCAGTAAGTGATAAAAGATTGGTGATTTGGTTTTTCAACATCTGCCTATGTTGATGAGCCTGAATGCATTCTTAATTTCCTTTTTCTAGCTTTGATCGTCATGCATTGGATTTACTGGATCGGATGCTGACTCTTGACCCATCTCAGGTATGCTCTTCTTCTATATACCTCTACCGAATATTTTCTGGCCAATTGCTCTTGCCTTTGAGGTTTCTCATATTAGTGTCACCCAACATATGCATGCATATCCAAGGGTAATATAAGTCATATTCTAAGAAATATTAGGGTGAATAAATTACTTCATCCACCCTAGTAACTTATTTCTACATTGTTATAAGCCCTTAACTCAATCTGATCAGGTTTATCAATGATTGAATTTATGGATTATTAATCCCTCCCTTAAAACAGTTTAAGGGCATGTTTCAATTAATTCGATGGGATAATGATCTCATTTATAACATGATTTTGCTTAATTGTACATGTGTCTTCTAGCCAAGAACCCAATTATCTGGCAGCATTATGTTTAATTATTATCACCATAGAACATTGCTGCGTGCAGCTGAGTTACCTAAAACCATTTGTGATTTGCCCCCTCTTTATTTATATAGAGAATATCAGCCAAGGATGCTCTTGATGCTGAGTATTTCTGGACAGATCCATTGCCTTGTGATCCCAAGAGGTTCGTCCCTTAAACTTCTCCGTATGCTACCTACATAAATTACTTAATTCTAAACTAAACCTGTTTCCGTCAGTTTGCCAAAATACGAATCTTCCCACGAGTTCCAGACAAAGAAAAAGCGGCAGCAGCAACGCCAGCAAGAAGAGAACGCAAAACGCCTAAAGCTACAGCAACAGCATTCCCGTCCGCCGCCATTTCAGCAGGGTCACACTCACACCCAAATACGCCCAGGTCCGAACCCGCAGATGCATGTTTCCCAACCCCAGGTTGCTGGAGCACCGGGCGGGGGCGGTCACCATTACGGTAAGCCCCGCGGACCTTCAGCAGGGCCTGGGAGATATCCTCCGGGAGGGCATCCCTCCGGGGGCTACAACCACCCAAGTCGAGGCCAAGGTCCATACCCACCTCAGGGGCGAGCACCGCCCCCTTATGGTTCTAGCGGTATGCCAGGTGGTGCAGGTACAGGGGTAGGTCGAGGAGGAGGAGGAGGTGGCCCTAACTACCCCCATGGTGGTGGTGGTGCTCCGTACGGAGCTTCTGGGTCCGGAGGAGGACGCGGGTCCAGCATTATTCCCGGCGGCGGCGGCAACCGCAATCAGCAGTACAATTGGCAGCAATGACATGGTATTATTATTGTTGTCTGTACTTTTGGCTCTTTTCTTGAGATGACAAAGCTGTTGTGGTTCTTGGCGAAGAGAGAGAGAGAGAGGGAAGAGAAGTGGTTTGATGCATTACGAATTGAGATTGGGATTGTAAGGGAGGCAGACAAAACATATGATACGCCACGATGATACTTGGTTGTTGGTATGGACCATGCTATCCTATGGTTTGGTATATAGTGTCAAAATCCATGACTCTCTCTCTCTCTCTCAACCGTATGTCGCTTTAAAAAATTAATTATAGTCCCGTAAAGAACGGCCCTGTGGTGTAGAAATGGACTCGTGATCTTGAGATTATGACTTTAAACTCGAATGTTTTCAGGTTCACTTGCAACACATGATTTGTTGTGTGACTTTTTTTGGGTCTAGTTTGGAGGCTATTAGGATTGTTCGGGAGTTTACCTAGAGCACAATCGAACACCCGAATAATAACGGCTGTGGGTTTCCATGGTTAATATAGGGTGACTTGTTTTGTCGGATCTAATTTGCAGACAATTAGGTTTGACCGTAGACTCGTGACTGTGAGATTATGAGTTCAAACTTCCGCCTCCGAATCTCAAACTTGTCGGACCTAGTTGAAGAGTAATGGCCCGGGTTCTTAAGTTATCGAAAATAAATCATATTCCTTGTGGGATCCCAACAGGTAGGCCTTTTTGTACTGATTTAACAACATAATAATTTCGTTTAAATTAAATAAGCAAATTTAGTTGAAATTGTTGTTTGGTTTGTCATATATATAGAGATATGCCTTCCACTGCCACATTTGTTTGTTGTATGCATATTTATCCAATTCCATACATTTAACTTCATCCATATGTCCAAGATATACAATACAGATTCGATCCGAAACATTAATATATACCTCCTCCGCACCATAATAATATTATATTCGAACGCAATGCAAGTACAGACAAGACAAGACGAGACAATCCATTCAAACTTGAAATGAACAAAAAACTAAGGGTGTGTTTGTTTGAGAATTTGGATTTTGGGTTGAGATTTGAATAGTAAAAATTTTGAATTTGAATAGTTGTATGATGTGATATAAATAAGAATTGATGTGATGTTTTGAATGTAAAATTGATTTTTAGTATAATATAAAAAATGAAAAATAAATGTTTGATTTGATATTTTTGGAGGGAAAATTTTGTGGGAATAGTAGAAATCCCACAAAATCCCCCAAACAAACACACCGTAAGTATAAGAGAAGAAAGAATGATCCAAGACAAGAAAGCCAACACAAAGAAAGAAAGACACGACTGAGTTTTCCATGTCTAAGACCAAGACCAACAGCTATTTATTACACACACACATTTCATCTGTTAGTATGTTAGTTAGTTTACATCCCCAAAGTTCCCCCTCCCAACAGGACAACCTATGTCCATCCATTTTGCCGTCCCCCTTCGGTTCCGTTGGCTATGTTCCTCTCTCTCTCTCTCTATATATATATATATATACACACATATACATACAGTATATCGGCTAGCCATTGTAAGCTAAACCAGTCCAAGCAGCAGGAATAACAAGATGAACAATCTTGCATCTTTGTTTCTGGTAACAACCCTTTCCTTCGGTCTTTTGATCCTCTGCAGTGCAGACCAGGCGACTTACCTGCATCGCTATCTCAAGACAAGGAGATCAACTCATTCCACCAATACTGAATTACCTGCAGAAAAGGAAGAGTTTGATGAATTTCTTTCAGACCAATCTGGACTGATGGCTGCTGACAAGATTGACACATTGCCAGGGGCCCCAGACAATGTGGATTTCGATCAGTATGCAGGGTATGTTACAGTCGATCCACAGGCTGGGAAGGCTCTCTTCTATTACTTTGTCGAGTCTCCAGTTAATTCTTCCACCAATCCTCTGCTTCTGTGGCTTAATGGAGGTAAAGATTCAATCTTTTCACGTATTCGATATCACTAAGCTTAGTGGGCATTATGATACCTATAAAACGGCTGATTTGCAGGGCCAGGATGCTCATCATTTGGATATGGAGCCATGGAGGAGTTGGGCCCTTTCAGAGTCAACAGCGATGGCAAAACTCTGTATCGGAATCCATACGCGTGGAACAATGGTGAGTTCATTCGAAAAATGTAAAAAACATAGATAGTACAAAAATTAACTTATGGACTGGTAATAGGAAGTTACTGATACCTGGAATTGGGCAGTGGCGAATGTGATCTTCCTTGAGTCGCCTGCTGGGGTAGGCTTCTCATATTCAAACAGAACCAGTGATTACAACAACACTGGCGACACAAGTACTGCCAACGATGCCTACACTTTTCTGGTCAACTGGCTTGAGAGGTTCCCACAGTACAAAACCCGGGATTTTTACATCACAGGGGAGAGCTACGCCGGCCACTATGTGCCTCAGTTGGCAAACACTATCCTGCTCAGAAACAAGATTAGCCAAACAGTGATCAATCTAAAGGGCATTGCGGTATGTATGTTGAAATAAGATGCTAAGTTTTAAGCCCCAACAGAGCGATGTATGTGAGGCTTGTATAACAAATTTACCTTTCGAAATCTTTAGATAGGGAATGCGCTGGTAGACGACACATCAATGGGGACTGGGTACTATGACCATGTATGGTCACACGCATTGAACTCTGATGAGACGCATGCAGCCATCTTCAAGTACTGCAATTTTGAAAACAACACTGCATCCGATCAATGTTACAGTGCAGCAATGACCTCTGCCAAAGAGCTGGGTGATATTGATATAAATAACATGTACGCACCAATCTGTCTGAATTCAGCGCTCAAGAATGGCTCCACTGGTTCAGTAAGTTCCTGAAACAATAGCTCTAACAACCTTAAATCAGATACTATTGTATTATTGCAGCCTTATGGATCCCTAATCATTTTTGCAGGTTACTTTCTTCGATCCCTGCTCAGATGCATACGTCACTTCCTACTTGAACACCGCAGAAGTACAAAAGGCTTTACATGTGATGCCCACAACTTGGAGTCACTGCAGGCAAGTGAACATCAACTAAACTATTTCTACAGTTTAATTCTGAATAGAAAATGAGTTGTGTAAATCTTGACTAAAATCATGCTGTGACAAATATATAATGTGTTTGATTTCTGCAGAGGGTTCTACTGGAAAGATTGGCAAAGTGATGTTTTGCCCACAATAAAGAATATCATGGCTAGTGGCACACGAGTGTGGCTATACAGGCAAGTAAAGTATTTTCAAGTACTCTTAAAGATGTGTTTGTTTGGGGGATTGGATTAGATTTCTACTATTCATCCTATTTTTTTCCCCCCAAAAACATCAAATCAAACACCTATTTTTTATTTTTTATATTATACTAAAAATCAATTTTACATTCAAAACATCACATCAACACCTATTTATATCACATCATACTCTATTCAAATTCAAAATTTTTACTATTCAAATCCCAACTCAAAATCCAAACCCCCAAACAAACACACCTTAATGTCTTGTTGTCATGTGTTCTATTTCTCTAAGACTAATATGATTCAATCTCTTACTTATAATATATTTTCCCTCAGTCACTTTTAAATTATTCACTTAGTTTTACTATGTTTTGGTCCTACAGTGGTGACATAGATGCAAATGTTCCGGTTACATCCACAAGGTATGCAATCAACAGCCTCAAGCTTCCAGTCGAGGCTGCCTGGGACGCATGGTACCATGATAATGAGGTGAGTTTAGGGTAGTCACAGAATCAATCTCCTAGACTCAAAACACACAAGTTGCTTAATTTTCTTCCTAGTTCAACATTGAACAAGCTAGAGCAACTCAATAATCATCAATTCGTAGATTTCATGTTCATATGCTGGTAAATCCTTTGAATGCTAATCCCTAGTTAAATTTGTGTCGAAAAACTCAAAAAGTTTTCAACCTGACTTTCCTTTTTTTGGGTTTTTGGGCATCAAATCAAACTAATATAGTTTAACATTTCGCTGTGAAACAAAAGGTATTCAAACAGGAAGTTACATTTTTTCGGTTTTTTTTTTTTTTTTTTTCAGTTAAATGTCATAACACACTTATATGCGCTTGAATATTTCCTATAGAAGAAAGCAAAATCAATTATATCAATCGAGCTCTAGTACGACCATATAAATAACATGCCTAAGTTTGGACAACGACAGGTAGGAGGCTATGTCGTGGTATACAAAGGACTGACCTTCGTGACAGTGAGAGGTGCAGGACATCTTGTGCCAAGCTACCAACCTGAGAGGGCACTTTTCATGCTTTCATCTTTCCTTAAAGGGGTTTCTCCAGCTTCCTAGCCATCAAAGAATATCTATCTTCAGTCAAACATCAAATAAAGCAGCAAGTATTCATGTCGCCTATTCCTTAACACAGCAGAAAAAATCATTCAGTTAATGTTTCTATATGGTAAGTACTTGAATACAAAGTATAGAATTAAGGACTTGTAAGTTGCAAGAAACCTGTCTACTTGATGTATTTCGTTCAATGAAATTGAGTGAAGTAATAGAAAGTGAAATGCAGATCCAAATAATTTTGAACATATCAAGCTTGATCTTATCTTCATAAAAGCAATTATACGAAAAACTAAAGACAAAGATGGCCCACATCAATTGGTACGTATTAAAAGAAAAACCCTACGAACGCTATGAACTGTTGCAATCAATAGAAAATGTTGCAACATCATTTCTCTTGCAGATATGGAATGGAAGCATCACATAGAATATAATCACAGACTACAAATATCACTTAAAGAAAAAGTCTGTGAACTTGGACAGACCAAAAAGGAGAAATAAAAGTACGTAAATACTTGAATGTTGCTGCCGTCCATTTGCCTTTAGAAGAGTCTGGGAATCTTGGGGAGTGCAGATACAGGTGGTGCATGGCATCAACAATTCATCCAAATGGTGCGTCACATCCCACAATTAACACTTATAAACAATGGATATGATATCTTGCTAATCTACCATGCAGATAAGACTATTTATCTGCCCTGATCTCATAAGCACAAATTTTTACAACTATATGTCAAACTGGGAAAAATGAGCTAGGCAATGCATAATGATCCTCTCTGCTTGTCTTCTGCTGAAACAGTTGGTCAGCGCAGCAAAGCTCAAACAAATACTGCAAGCACATACACATAGAAAGAAAAGTAACAAGTAACTTTGCTAGGACGGAAATAAACACACAAACTCAGCTAAACAAATTGAATCTACTTCTACCTTACGGAAAATTGATACGTTTTCCAGAAAAGACATCCATTATACAAATCTTGTAGCACTGTGGTTTATTTTAAGCCTTTCTACATGTTATTTAATCCTTTAAAAGGCAGTAAAGCTTTCATTCTGAGTGACGTTTGTAGGGTAAATTATGGACCTTTTCTACTAAGGAGCAACTAATGGGAACAAGAACAACCAGGTTCCTCAGCACCCCCGCCAGCCAACTTATAGCTATGTTCCCAGGTGTCTGTACGGCCTGCTTGTGCATGTGGGACATGCCGAGGATGCTTCTCTCTCTTATCTCCTTTTACTTGTTTCAGTGCATGCTTCAGTGCAGGCAGTAAAGCCTCCATACATTCAGCAGTAGCATTAGGGTTTCCAGGCATGTTAATGATCTGATCACAAAGAAAAATTAGTGACAAAGCAATTATACTCCTACAATAGACAACAAAAATCATATTGTTTACGTTAGATCATTTTGAGAGAGATGAGTTTGTGCAATTGGGTTGCACAACACTAAGCGAAATGAAAGAGGCATATTTCCACTTTCTGGCATTCTTCATCAGCTATTATAATAATTAGATGATATATTGGAAGAATAAGAAGATGAGCCTGTGTTTTTTATTTTATCACTTTTGCATGGTAACAAACAAATAACATTCATAAGGAATTACTTAAATATGCAACAAAAAATTACTATCAGACACTATTGGCTTACCAAGGTTGACCCTCGTATTCCAGCAGCAGATCGTGATAGCATTGCAAATGGTGTCACCTGTTTACATGGTCCTCAATAATTACCAAAAAAACAAGAAATATTTGATATGCCATAGCTTGGTGATGCAAAGGAACATGTCCACATTGAGTTTATTTACTTCACATATGAACCCTTGATTGCATTATTTATAAACTATATATGTAATAAAAAGGAAGAAAGAGAAACTAACTATGAATACATTTATAAGGCTTAAAGGACTGAATGAACATTTTTTTTCATTCAAACTTTTCATAAATTTAAATAAAATAATTATGTATGTATATGATTACTCAGCAGAAAAATCAATTTTCTCAAGAAAAATCAGAAATGAACATGGTCTTCCTGAACGATCAAGATATGTCAGTTGATTCCACCTCAAATTGAGGCAAATAAAGTTCTGAATCTCAAGGATTAAGCAGGTAACTAGACTTTGTTTTAGGTAACTAGACTTACAGGAATGATGAAAGTTAATATCAAATTTCAGTCTCACTGAGCTTTAATACAACTACTCCTATAATCTTGAGCCTCTTAAAAGCATGGCCAAGATACCTTTGCCAGTTTAATTGGCCATTAGAGATTTCTCTCAGAGAGAGAAAAGTGAAAACATTACAGCCACATTCATATAGCATCGATCGTCAAATTTATGGACGGAATTTGGCTGTACTTGCAGGTGAAAAAAGCATTCCCCTCTTAAATTTGAGAGATGTGTAAAACTCACAAATGAGTGAAAGTGTTATTGTGTTGTTTGTTTATCCATATGATAATAGCATATTTACATGTTAAAACTAGGTGTAAGTCTTTACAAGAAAAACAAAGTGGCTCATAAACAAAAACTATAAACTCCTTGCTAGGCTAACATGATCATAACTAATTCAGGTTAAGTATCCAGAAGACATGTTTTGAATTCTGTCTTTTGTATGTACACCAAATAACATAAAACAACATAAGCACAAGGATAAATAAGTGGCCACAAAAGAAAACTTTTAAAAATACCTTCAAACTCTCTTGCATCATAACATAAAGTAGACCAGGTGTCTCCTTGTGTATCACTTGTTTTGTTGCTTCAGGAGTGACATCTCTAGGGGTAAATCCGGTGCCACCTGTTTCATTTCCACTAGTTCAGAAAAACAACAGCATATTGTTCTCTGATGCTTGTTAATTATATTTGAACACAATGTTTGTATACATATGTGTACGCAATAGTATATACTATAACAATATCTTATTATAAGCTCCAAAAAGCACATCTTTTATCATGTTATAAGCCCCTTTAACTATTCTTTTCTCAAAATATATTCAATGAGCTAATAAACTCTTTAATGGCTTGCCTCAAAAACCCTTTACATTCATAAATCAAAAGTTTGGGGCTATGTTTAACTTTAGACAATGCATAGAGTAAAGACATTAGGTGTTTTAAAAAATAACTCACCAAGAGTAAGAATAAGATCTATTTTATCAACATCGCTCCATCTCTCCAGCACTTCCTTAATTTTTGGAATATCGTCTGGAACAACTTCTGTTGCAACAACTTTTGCCCCACCTAGTTTTTCTGATGATGAATTCACAACAGATACGGCCCGTGGGCCACTGCAAAATTATGCAACTCATTACTAGATATACAAATGGTTTTGGGGGAGAACAGCAGTTCATTACTACTGAAAAACTACAAGAATACTGGAAGCCAAACAAAGGCAAAGAACCGTAGGGTAGAAGTTTAAGATGTTGGTGACAGTTACATCACTTCTTAAAATGCAACAAAAAATTCAAAGACAACTTCCCAGCTTAACATACAATATAAAATGGTTCCCATGAACATTTTCCAACTTAAGGTTAAATAACTGAATCTCAGAGAAATCAGGTTAAACACAGCCACAATGTCATTCAATATACTAGATTTGTTGCAAAGTTTTCAGTGAATCCATGTTGCTCTTTCACATGGAGTTATATCAACTATGCACTTTTTCTAGCATCAATAAAGTGACCTTTCAGGAATGATGATCCAGAAAGATGTATCATGATGCAACCATTTCTAATCCAGTGCAATTTATTGCCTTTTCATAAAAATAATACTTGGCCTACAGGTTGCAGATGGATTATTTCAATAGTAGAATCTAAGTCTCCACAGATAGTTCCAATATATTGTTGATCAAATTGTTCTCAAACTATGACCTCCACACTCTTATTCCAGAAAATTGAGCCAGAGTCAATTAAGTCAGGATGCAAATCAAGATTTTCCAAGCTTCATTATGAAGTTCTAACTAAAACATCTTTCTTCAGCCAAAACAAGGAAATGACAAAGGGAAATGCCCATGTATAACTAAAATAGGAGAAAGACGAGGGGAATGAGACATAATCTGAAATGGGGTAATTTAGACAGGAGATAAGAGTGGGTTAGTACAGATGCAAAGAGTAAATCCAACTTACAGTAGCACATAATCATATTGTGACAAAATACGATAAAGGATCATAACATCATACTTCTCAAAAGACATAGATTATAGGATGAGAAGTACCTTCGATCAGGTCCACCTCCTGATGAAACTGTATCGCTCACTGTAAGAATAGCCACTCTATACTCTGGATTGTTATGAATGTCTGCATCGGTGTTTCCACTGTAGCTTCTTTGTGTCTTACTGATTGCTCTCAATGATGACAAGTTGCCACTTCCATCAAAACCAATTATATCAGAAATGACAATTGCCACCACAGTAGTTCCAGCAGGAATCAAGCTGCCTGTAGGAGGCAGTTCCAACAACGCATTTGCTGACTTCATACTCAATAGTCGACTGCTAATTTGGTTGCCAGTGCTCTCAGCAACAAATCTGACACTCATTGAGGGGCAAATATAACTACACCATGCCTTTCAACAAAATTAGACTAGGGGTAACTAGGAACCTATTAATGCAAAGGTTTAACTCATGGCACTTAAAAAGATCACATTTCCTTGAATATAACAGAACATTTGAGTTGAGAGAGAGATTAGATAAGCAGGAAAACAAAAATGATGAAGCATGAGAAGATCCTCACCCTGAATTATCCGCACTGGCTTCCCACTTGAGAGCAGAACGATGAAACTCTGGACGGATGGGATCTGCCTTAATTGATTGCTTAAGCCGAGCATGCACTCTACCAACATAGATATGTATAGTAAGAGAGAATAATAAGCTGACATATAACAGTAAGAACATAGAAAACTGAGGAAAATTTAACAATATTAAAACCAAAAAAAGAAAGATATACAACTCCCAGAAACCTTGGAAGGTGAGGTTGTTTCCATCCAGAGAGATGTCGAATTGTAGGAACCAGAAAGAGGTTGAAACAAACTAGGCAGCTAACTGGGTTTCCTGGCAAACCAAATGCAAGAACCTTCTTATCTGCCCTTGCCCCAGTTGATCCCGATGGAACCTCAGCAAATGTAAGAGGTTTTCCAGGTTTCATCCAAACCTGAATGGAAAATCATGAAAAAAGGAAAAAATATTTTCAGTAAAAGGCTATGAAGAAAGACAAGTCACCTCCAGGACCTCACACCTACAATAATTCACATTAGAGGCAGAACTAGTAAGAAAATCGTTGCTGACGATACCTTGTGAAAATATAATCTTCCTTTCTTTCCAAGCAAAGGCTTAACAAAATCCCTGTCTCCCATTGAAACTCCTCCAGAAGTTAACAGGATGTCTATGCCACTTGAAAATGCCTTATCCAAAACATCCTCAATTTCTTTTTCATCATCATGAGCTATACCAAGGTCAAGAACTTCACAATGGTATTGAACTGCTGCTGCGAGGATCATGGAGCGGTTGGAGTCCCTAATCTGCAGAAAAAAAACACACCTTAATAGGAAGGCTGCAGTTTACGTAATTCGTATAAATCGCTATTTTGAATACAAACATAAGCTCAAGCTTAGAGATAATCTGACGAATTAGCGGAACAGCCACTAGCAAGGGAAAAGAAGTAAAATACAAAAAGATGAATCTAAGGAAAATATGCTAGGGTCAATTGCTCAGGTCTATCCCAAGATCTCCATGTTCCCCATCCCAATACATAATTTTATCGTTATGAATGATATTATTCAGTGTAAACTATATATACAGTTGAATTATTCAATTAAGATTGGTGAATTTGCACATTATTATGTCCATCTTCCACTATCTGCAAACATGTAACCTAGTAATGAGCTATGAATGATGGACGTCATTGATATATCTCCACTACCTGACCACGATTCAAAGACTTAGTGGTTGGCTCAACTAGTTCATCACCAGTGGAAAGTACTGCAATTTTCGGGGTGGGATGCACCTGTAATTCAGTATTGTCAATAAGTATTTAAGAAGCTCCTTCCACTCTGCAACACAAAATCTGACGATTGACTGATATAAAAGGAAAATAGGAAGAGAAACAGACGTGATCAGATCTCAAACAGGAATACCTTCACAGAAAATACACCCGCTGTAGCAAGTAGACCAATTTCTGCAGGGCCTATACGCTCTCCAGAGTACAAAACTACATCACCTTTGGCAATATCATACCCCTGGAACACATGCCCATGGAATTCCAACGTGTAATAACAAATATAGAAGACAGGGATGGCACTATAGCAGCAACAATATATGAAACAAAATTACAAAGATCAATCATAATAATGTATTCATTGGTATTCAACACATGTTTTATGGGTTTTCCTAGTACGAATGTTACATCCAAAATTAAAAAAAAAAACTTAAAATATCAGACAGCAAGATTCAACAGAACCAAATGAATTCATAAAAAATCTGTGTGTTGCATATATATGCAATTAGAGCTTAAAATGGGGAAGAAACTACTTGAGAGTTTTAGCAGAAAGTATCACTGAAGAATTCTAACAGAAGAAACAGAATTTCCTCAGGAAGATTTACTCTAAACTAGCAACATGGAAATTCTTCATGCAATCAATTATATTCAAGAGAAAAGATGCCAGCAATATATTTCCAATGCCAGGCACTTCCAACAGAAACATTATAATGCATCAATCAGACAACCATGATTATCAAGTTGGGGGCAGTCATAGTAGAAGTTTAACTAATTGAATTCTGTAGTAAAATGAAAATTCTCATACCACTGGTCTAATATCAAGTCCCTTTGAGACCTGTTTCAATATCCGCACTCGCTTCTGATCAGAAGATTCACTCTCTACTATCGCTGTATCTTCTACTTGCACAACAGCATCCGCTCCATCAGGTATTGGTCCTGAGAATTGTGTGAATTGGACATGTCAAGTTAGTTTAATAGTCCAAAGAATGTTCACAGCTTTTAAAAATAACCTACAATGAACGAATCTGTGAAGCCACATTGTGTTTGGGTATATTATGCCTTTGATTGGTCATTACAAACTTAAGAGAGAATACACTTTCTGCTGTGCACCTACTGAACGTTGTGAAAAAGCAACGATGCTTGGAGCTAAATTAGCAAATATTCAACATCATTCTGGTTGAAGATTCACATTTAATTTTGATGGCGATACTACTAAGGTCATTACTATAACATGAGACATTGTTTCGCTAATAAAAGACATGCTAAATGAGATATACAATGGTCAGCTCTCCGGGAGAACTTTTTATGCTGGTGAGGAAATACATCAATTGCAACTTCACAATCTTGCTTGGCATTGGCCATTTTGGCACACATTTTAGTCCCTTTCGAACTTAGCACTTAGCAGGTCTATTGTTTCCTAACTCTAATGAAATGAAAGAAAATTCCTAGGCAAGATTTGACAGACTAAATTCTGAACTTCCAAAACTCAGGAAGAGCCCATTGTCCAGCGATATCAGACACGAAAATGCTAAACACAAAACAAAGATTCTTAAGCACCGGAGCACTCACCTCCTGTTGTGACATACGCAACTGTTCCAGGGGTCAACATGATGTCGATAGCATCATCCCCTGCTCGTGCCTCGGTAACAACAGGATACTCACCAGGACCATCTGAAGCAACCACAGCATAACCATCCTAGACAACATAAGAATACAATAATGACACCAATGAAACCATCTGACCATAACACGCGGAAACTCTAAATCATATTATCAGGGAAATGGCATTTATTCATTGAATTAAAAATCCCAGCAAAACGAAATGAATCCTGAAACCCTTCGTAAACCCATAAACCAAAAAATCAATGCAACAGTATACTTTTCAATAATGTAATGCCAGCTAAAACCTAAACCCCAAATCTATCGCCCAACATAAACTCATCTTTCACTTCTCCAATAAAAACAAACACTCGAACACCAACTCCGCCAGAACAAAAAAAAAAACACAACAAAAACTCTTTTTCAAAGAAACTCCACTATTAGCTCAATCAAATGCACAGAGAGCGTTGAAATTCCAAAATTAAAAACTGAACTGTGACCTTAATAGACGCAGGATACGGCGGAAGAGGATCGGGAGCAACCACGTCTTGTGCTAAGACTTTGCCCAACGCCTGGTGCAGCGGCACAGTCACCGGCGGCAGCCTTTGCGCAACCCTAAGTATTATCTCCAGGGCCTCCTCCACGGACACCATCTTATTAGAATCAGCCATTTCGGAAAATCAACCGGGAATTAGAGAAAGAGATTGATTTATACTGTGTGGTGGGGTTTTATCTTGACTTGGGTGGATTCTTTCGACTAGGGGATATATATATAGTCCGAGAATCTCAACTGAGCTGTAGATTCTGATTGTTCTGTCTGTCCTGCAAGAGTATTAATCAAAAATCATTTTTGTCAAATTCAATATCATAATTATAATTTTGGTATCGAAAAAACATGGCTGGTTGAGCATGAACACGGGCCGTAATGATAACATCCCCATATTCAAGTGCAAGATAATCAAAACGCTCACCATAACCATGTTGGTTTAAAGAATTGATTTCTCATGTTAAACATTATTGTATTTTTATATATATATATATATATATATTTTTTTTTTCTTAATTTTTTTTAATTCATTTTTTTATTCATATTTTGATAAATAAAAAGAATTACGGAAAGAAAAAAAAAAAAAAAAAGAAAGAATATGTTCTTTTTATACGATATATATTTTTAATTAATATAGTTACTGAGTATCATACAATATATATCCGTATTAAATATATATTATCATAAATATATATAATTAAGTAAATTTCATCTAATCAATATTTAACTACAAATCAAAATCATCAAACATATGCATATTATTGTAAACAAAAAAAAATTATATAATTCTCTAACAACAAACAAAAAAGTCAGAATTTGCAATAGTGCATAAAAAAGTAAAAAATAAAAAATAAAAAATTCTTTTTTCTTTTTTTATAACAACTACTTTTTAATTTTAAACACAAAATCCAAATCCTCGCAAGAACACACTCTACAATTTTTTCCCCCACGATGACATATAAGGGTTGGCATTTGGATCTGTCGCCGCCATCATCGTCGGGTACATCTCATTTGGCCGAGAGAAGGGAGCGCCATTGTTGGACATTAATGGATTGTTCATCACATTACATCCTTCAAATAAAAATAAAAAAATGTTAAAAAAAAACCAAAAAAACCAAAAAAAACACAAAACATTAAAAATCATAACTCAAATCAAACGAGGTACCTGAATTGGGATTGAAGACCATTGAAGATGATCGATGATGCAGAAGAGACAATGATGGCAATGCTTCTTCCACAAAGAATGGCGTTTGCGGCGGCGGCGGCGGCAGCGACGACGATGGCAAGAAAGATGACGATTGCGGCGGCTGCTGTAGGAGGTTCGACGACGATCGCTGCGGCACCAATGACTGCGGCGGCTGCAGAGATGGAGAAGCCGCCGACAACAACGACGATGGCAAGAAAGACGACGATTGCGGCGGCGGCTGTAGGAGGTTCGACGACGATCGCTGCGGCACCAATGACTGCGGCGGCTGCAGAGATGGAGAAGCCGCGGACAGCAACGACGATGGCAAGAAAGACGACGATTGCAGCGGCGGCTGTAGGAGGTTTGACGACGATCGCAGCGGCACCAATGACTGCGGCGGCTGCAGAGATGGAGAATCCGCTGACAGCAACGACGATGGCAAGAAAGACGACGATTGCGGCGGCGGCTGTAGGAGGTTCGACGACGATCGCAGTGGCACCAATGACTGCGGCGGCTGCAGAGATGGAGAATCCGCTGACAGCAACGACGATGGCAAGAAAGACGACGATTGCGGCGGCGGCTGTAGGAGGTTCGACGACGATCGCAGTGGCACCAATGACTGCGGCGGCTGCAGAGATGGAGAAGCTGCCGACAGCAATGACGATAGCAAGAAAGATGACGATTGCGGCAGCGGCAGCAGCTGTAGGAGGTCCGATGACGATTGCGGCGGCACTGGTGACGGCGGCAGCTGCAGAGATGGAGATGCTTCTCGAGGAAAGCGTGGTAGTAGAACATCGTCATTGTCGTCCATTGTAGTTACTGCATTCTCAGCAACTCTATCTTCTTGATCATATTTGTTGAATAAAATATTCCATTCAGCTACATCTTCATCAGTCAAAGTAGTTCCCAATACGTAGTCTTCACCATCATCTATATAATTCCCATTTCCATTCCAATTTGGATCGAATTTCATTAGATTTTGAGCTTGATCCGAACACCAATCCATCTCCCTAGGATCGTTTCGGGGGTGACAAGTAGAAGTAGAACATTTACCCGACGAATAATCCGAACCCGACAACGAAGCCATGGGCGGTGGTTGAAATTCGATCAAGTTCGGATATGGATTGAAATCGACATTAGCATTAGCATTGCCATTGACACCCGAGTTGACGAGAGGGAAGATTGACGGCTTCGTGTTGTATTCATAACACTTAAATTCGGGAATTTCCAATTCCCAATTATTCCACGTCCCTGATTTTCTATAGGCACCAGCGGTGTTTGTGCTCGTGCTGGCACCGTCGTTTTTTTTACCGTTACCCCAATTTATTTTCATCTCGGGTGGGTAAGTTGGTTTTCCTTGTTTTAGTAACTTTTTAGCCCTTGTGTTCCAGAAATTCTTGATCTCGTTATCTGTTCGCCCTTTCAGCTGCACAAAAAAAAAAAAGGTAATTCTCTTTAAGTCGTGCGACACGAAATTTAATAAAAATAAATAATAATAGTTACTTTTCCTTCGATTAAAGTGAACATAGATTTGAGTAATAATATATCAGTTGAATAAAACAAATTCAAAAAATAACAAGAAGGTGAAAATTACTTACATGGCTAGCCATTTGAGCCCAACTATTTCCGTACATGGCGTGGAATTGAATTATAAACTCCTCTTCATCTTTGGTGAAGGGAGTTTTCTTGAGGCCGGGTTTCAGATGATTTATCCACCTTAGACGACAACTCTTTCCACATCGGGCAAGTCCCATTTTTTCATGAACGTCTTTCCAGTTTCTTTCACCATATTGTTCGACGTACCTTTTTAAGACCTCGTCTTCTTCGGAACTCCATTGACCTGCCTTTAATTCCACCCGCGTCGTGCTAGCGGTGTCTCCTCCATTGTTACCGTTACGCTCTTCATTTTCGATTCGATTGATTGCCATGCTCATCTCCTACATATAATCATGAACACGATCAAGTGTTGATACCATCAAATAAAGTTTAATCTAAATTTTCGTTTTTGCTTGCTGTGGTGATCATCTAACAAATCAAAGAGACAATCAATTAGTAGACAGAAAATGATTTATAAACTACCAAATAAAATTGAATCTAAGAGTGTTCTTGGTTTGTCTCCTGTAGATTTCAGGTTTTGTTATTTTATGTGAAATGGTAATTGGAGGTAATGTTCTGCAGGATGATGGATCTTCCAAAAGAACTTCCAAGAAACAGAAGATTTTGTTTTTTCGATCCTCCAAATCATTAGCTCTATGTGTATATATATATATATATATATATATATATAACAGCTGATTCTTCATCACTATAAAAGCTTCTTATTAAGAATTTTGACAAAAATAAATTGATTTATAATTAGTATTTTGATTTTTTTAAAAAAAATAAAATAAAATAAAATTAGTGAGATATAGATAAATAAAATTAATTATGCAATATTTTTAATTAAAAATAATTTATGAAAAAAAATGATTTCATCAAATCGTAGGAAATAAATCTCAATTTAAAGCACACCCTTATCCAACCACCGGCTGCCATCACTAGACGCAGGTTTGATAATTTTATGTTTTTTTTAAAAAAAAAAAAATTTGCAAGAAATTGAAACATAAATCAAATTGTTAAAAGTTCTATTCAGATTTTGCCGATTTGAAAACTAGCAACTTATTGGAATCGAATGAGCAAATCTACTTCTAAAACAAGGGAAAAATCAATTTTACAGTATTATATCACATCATACAACTATTCACATTCGAAATATTTATTGATCAAATCTCAATTCAAAATCCAAACCCCAAAACAAACAGACAATGAATTTAAAAACAATTGATAAAATTGAATCTAATTTTTTTTAAAACTTCTATTTATATCACGTCGTACAACTATTCACCTTCAAAATATTTACTATTCAAATCTCAATTCAAAATCTAAACCTCCAAACAAAAATTTAAAAACGATTGATAAAATTGAATCTAAAATTTTTTTACTAACCCGGTTTTTCATGTTTTCGCCTTCGCTTGCCATGAGATCACCTAACAAATAATAAACACAAGGGTCAAAATAATAATAACAAACAAATAAAAACACGTGTTCTTGTGTGAGATTTTTAACCTTGATTCGAGAGTACATTAAATAATCAAATCAAACATCTAATTTTTATTTTTACATAAACACCTATTAATATCCTATTCTATAGCTATTTCTAATTCAAAATTTTTATTGTTCAAATCCCAAAAGCAAAATTCACACCGAACACACCCTAGGGTTTAAAAACCACATAATAAAATTGTATACAACAATACTCCAATAATTCAATTGTTTGTTAAAATCTTATTATTCATCCAAAATTTTCCCCTCAAAAACATCAAATCAAACACCTATTTTTTATTTTTTATATTATACTAAAAATCAATTTTACATTCAAAAGATCACATCAATACCTATTTATATCATATCATACAACTATTCAAATTTAAAATTTTTACTATTCAAATCCCAACTCAAAATTCAAACCCCAAACAGACACACCCTATGTGTAGATGATGATGTCATCGAAATATTGCACCAAAAGAAATAAATGCGATGAATATACATATGTACGATACCTGAAGTCAACCACAGAAAGAGAAGTATTTGTCTTCTTTTGATTTGAGAAATATTTGACTTTTGATTTGGTTTGGAAAATTTTGGTTTGAATTTAATTAAACATGATGTATTTTCTTTAGAAGATAAAAAATAGTAAAAATTTAAAATTTCGATAATAAAAGAAACAAACAACGGTGCATAGGTATAAATAGACAATACGACAGTCTGATTTTGTCGAGTTCACGTTATAAAAAGAATTGTACGAGGAAGTGTGTATCTAGGTTATTTGGTCTTTTTAATAATAATAAAAAATAAATAAATAAACTGATATTAATATCGATAAATTACTTATCTGATCTATGTGTTTATATCTCATCTCATAATATTTAAGAATGTGTGGACCACATTTATCCTTAATGTAATTCTAATGTTGTTGAGAATTTTAAGGAAATTTTAAAATTTGAATGTACTTATTTGATTTTATATATAATAGTATAATTATTTTAAATATTAAAGTTAAGATCTATGTTTTATTTAAAATATATTACATCAATTTTTTAATTAAAATTAGCAAATTAAAGAGATAATTTAAAATTTACTCCATATGATAATGTATTTCATTTTTTATCCACAAAACACCAAAACACAAATAAAATAAAATAAAATAAAATACATATTTAATATATAATTTAAAAAATAATACTAATAAAAAGTAAGATTGTTTTAAAAATAATTAAAATATTAATTTTAGATACATCGCTTTAAATTGAAAAAAAAAATATGCATGCATTGAGTGGTGTTTAATACTAACTTCGTCCCATACCACATACTGTGTTTGCTACACTGTAGACGGTATTTTAGGAGGAGTGTAATTAGTAGATAATTAAGAATGTATTAGTGAAAATAATTATCATATAATATAAATAATTATAAATTAAGATTAAGATAGTTTAATTAAAATTTTTAAAAAAAAATTAAAAAGTTTAAAATGAGATTAAAGTGTGTAATTATTTAAAAAAAAAAAGAAAGTGACATGGTATATAAGACGGGTAGAAACGGCAACGTGGACATGGTATGTGAGACAGATGGAGTAAGATATTTGAATTTATTCGATTGTTATTTAAAGTTGATTTGAAATAATTTTTTATTTAAATTTTTGTTTAAATATATATTTTAATGTTATATTTTATGATAAAAAGTAATATTTTAAATATATATATTGAATAAATACAACAGCAAATCTTTTAATATAAATTAAATAATTATAAAAGAACACACGCACTCTTCATAAATTTATAGTTTTATTTTTTTAAATGAAATAGCGGCGGAGAGTTATAGTAAAATTGCTAAAATATCCATTTGTATATATTTCAATTACAATGAATGACATCATGAGATGGAGTTATATTGTTACAACATGTTAAAATGATACTCCCTCACTTCCGGATCCCGTGTCTGCTACACCGTAGACACCGTATTTTAGGAGGGGTGTAATTAGTAGATAATTAAGAATATATTAGTAAAAATAATTATTCTACAATATAAATAATTATAAATTAAGATTAAAATAACTAATAAGTTTAATTAAAATTGAAAAAAAAAATTAAAATTTAAAATGAGATTAAAGTTATAGTAATCATTTTCCAAAAAAGGAAAATGACATGGTATGTGGGACGGACAGAAACGGCAACGTAGACATAGTATCTGGGACGGAGGAGTAATATCTTAGATGATTTAAATGATCGTCTCATCTTACGTCAGTATATAAAATTGACATATTTAGGCAAAAATAATTGACATATTTAGACAAAAAGAAAAGTATCCATACATTTTCATGCATTTCGATTCAAATTTCAAGTCCAATAATTGACAAAATGACAAGACATCACAGTTCGATTTGTCATAAGCTAATTGATAGTCAATTCAGCACAGGGATGGCGATGTTTTAGGACATTTCAACGCGCCGGAAGACTTGGTGAGCGCCCTAACGGTCTTCCCGTCGGCGACTTCAAATACCTGGTGAGGTCCGTACTCGGGCTTCATTCCGGTATCCACATCTGACGAATCTGTAAACAATGCCCCGTTTTCAAACACATCGTTTACCGATCGGAAATTGCACGTCAAGCACATGTTCCACATGATCTGCAACAATGTTCGAAAAAAAAAGAAAAATTTAATCTTGTTTGTTTGGAGGATTGAATTTTAAATCCACTATTCATCACATTATTTCTTTCCAAAAATATTAAATCAAACACATATTTTTTATTTTTTATATTATACTAAAAATCAATTTTACATTCAAAACATCACGTCAACACCTATTTATATCACATCATACAACTATTCAAATTCAAAATTTTTACTATTCAAATCTCAGTATTCAATAAAAATATGGATAATTGTATTGCATGAATTGTGTTGTTTATTACTATAACATATTCTATGTTTTATATTAATATAATACAAATAATTACATGAACAAATAACACATGCTATAGAGATGAACAATACATAGTTAAGGAACAGACGGCACACAATCGATATAAATACAAATGACACAAAGAGCGTTAAATAAAAATATGTAATTGTACTGTATGAATGAAATTCGTGTGCTAAAACCAACAATATATTATGCTATATATTGTCTTTGTTTATGACATGTATTGCTCGTTCTATATTAACATAATATAAATGCAACGCATAACAAATGTCATAATCAAATACAACACAATCTATAATTGGTTGCAACACATAAGATATATTCATACTGCACTATTACATACTTTTATTTAATATAATACTCCCTCCGTCTCATATCTATATATCTATTTGTTTTTTGCACGGAATTTTAGAAATATTAGTATTATATTGGGATAAAGTAGAAATAAAGGTAAAAATACTAAATTAACCCTATTAGTATTGTATGATATAAAAGTAATGACATTTGTGTAATATATCGTAAATTAGAAGGGTATTTGTAATGTTAGGTAGATAGTACAATTAATAAAAAAATGAAATTGATACTTTGTTATGAGACATACCAAAATAAAAAAAAATGGATAGATTGTTAAGTGAGTATGTGTTGTGTTAAACAAAAAATTGAGTTATTTCTATATTTTACGTATACTAAATGGGAAAATCAGAATTGTGTTGATTTGTCCATTCAACACTATAATTAGTCTGTAATACTCTTTCCGTCCATTAAAATTAGTATATTTGAGTCTAATACAAATTTTTTTTTTAAAAAAAAAATTATTGAAAAAATGATAGGTAGTAGTTGAAGGTATTTTTGAAAAATTAATTAGAAATTAAAGTAAATGAAAAAAAAAAAGAGAAAAGGGAATGTGATAGCCAGTGACATTGGTTGTAAACAAGCTTTGAACGAATGATAATAATTAAATACTTCATCCTTTTCAGAAAAGATGTCTTAGTGGGAGTGAGTACGAGAATTAAGAAATAACAGTATTTAATTGAAAGTGGATATAAAGTAGAAAGTAAAAGGCTACCTTTACTTTTTGAATGATTTTAAAAAGTAGAGGTTAGAGTAATAATTAAGGGTAATTTGGAAAAGTAAAAATAATTTGATTATAAAATGTGGACCACCAATACTAAATAAAGAAATAACACAATTATTTTGGAACAGACAAAAATGAAAAAACAAGACAACTCTATTGAACGAAAGGGAGTACTAATTTATTAACTTTGTCAAAATTAGTAACGAGATAAACAGAAATAATATAGTTGCGACGTACCTCTTTTCTTTCTCCGCGCGCAATAAACAAGTTAGCCTCGCTCTTTATGCTCGGGTCCATGCTCCCTCCCATGGCGTATAAGCCCCATCCGAGGTACAAATTGTTGACAACATGTGCGTATCCGAATCGAATCCTCGGCATTCGCTGCCGGCATTGAGGGCCGAAGTGGTTGAAGACTACGGTGACCTTCATCCCCGTGTCCCTCCGGAACCCGTCGTTGTGTCCTAACAGCATAACCTTGTTTTGGAACCTGAACCAGTTGTTAGAAATGGTGATGTCCGTGGAGCCTCTCGTGACGTCAATCAACCCGTCCTCGCAATCGTACAATGTGTTGTGATCGATCCAAATTCTTGAGGATGTCACCATTCGGATGGCGTCCCCGTCGACTGGGCCTAGCCGCACGATCTGGCCGTCCGGGCCCATCGCCTCGCCCGCCGGCTGGGCCTTGCAATCGTGGATCTTTAGCCCGTGGATTATCACATCGCTCACCTGATCGATTCGATCGAATTAGTTAGGTCTTGCATACAAATTGTTACGTTAATTATTACATGTACAATGATCGCATGCATGCCGTGTAGTATATACGGGAGGGGATCGTCGGCCCCCTTGCTTCTCAGTCTCTTACGTCTCCTCTAATACAACTGTGTGTATATACATACAGTATATATACAGTGACGGAATTAGCCTTTGAGTTTTGAGGCAAAAAATATTGATTCATTTTTATCAATTCGATTTTTTTTTTTCTCTTTGGTACACCGGGGTAAAGAAAAAAAAAAAAGGACAAAAGTATTACTTGTGATTGGTTTCCGATTTTACTATTTTTAACTTTTTTTTTTCCAAAAGTATTAAATCAAACACTCATTTTTTATTTATCTTATTACACTAAAATTTTACATTCAAAGCATCACATCAACACATATTTATATCACATCAAACAACTACTATTTCAATTCAAAATTTTATTATTCAAAATCAAAATTCAAAACCAAAACTTCACATGTAAACACACTAATGTATTAGGAATTGCAATTTTTATTATAACTATATAAATTTTATTATTTTTTACTAAAAAAATATTAAATATTAAAGAAGAATTAATAAAATTATACTACCTCCGTATGGCTCCAATGTCTCATTTATTTTTTTTGTGTCTTGATTTTTTAATATTAATTATTATATCAAAATATAGTTAAAATTAAAAAAAAAATTGCAAAAATATTTTCATTAAATGTCTTATAATACTAATAGATGGACGTTTGTAAAAAAAAAAATATGCAAATATATAGATATTTTTAATATTAAATACAATGACGCAAAATGTATATATAACTTTAGAAGCGCACAGAAGAAGTATAAAATTTATTATTTTTCACACACACAAAAATAAAAACTAAGAAATTGAAGTGGCAAATTATTAAAAATATATAATTTTATTAGTTTTTAAACTTTAAAAAAAATAAAATCATATTTTTGGTATTTTTTGGACTAGGTTGGTGACACCCAAGCCCCACATAATTTCGTCCATGTATATATATATATATATATCATTTTTTGTTAGCGTGTAAAAATTGCGTACGATATAGAGGGCCGGGAATCTCATCCCATATATATATATATATATATATATATTTGCAAATTGCGACACGTACCCTTCGAAGTAAAAGGCAGGCGCCCTTGGCAATGTGAACCTCGGCCCCTCTACCATCAATGGTGGTGTGGCTCTTAACAAGAAGAGGTCTCACAAGCATGATCTCCATATCCCTTTCAAAATCGATCCAAACTTTGCCTTTCAAACGGGTCATCGCGAATCTAAGCGTTCCGGGCTTCGGGTTCAACGCATCATCGCTCGGGTCCGTGACCGTGTACATTGTCACGTCCGGTCCCGTGTTGTTTGTCATCTTCCCGGCGAACCCAACGGAGCACGTCGCCAATTCTTGTCGACACGATCGCCAATTAGGGTTTGCCCGCCAACACTTGTCGATAACGTTCATGTCTTCGATGGATTGTCGGGCCTGCACCGGGCCCGGGCTCATCAAAATGGCCATTGAAATGGCACATAGAATGTGCCATTTTGTGCCATAATGTGTGCCCCTTGAAGACTTGTGCATTCTTGGATGTACCGACAAGGTGTCGATGCGAGGGGAAATATGTTTATCTATAGATATATACATATAATATATGTATATATGCATGCTTATAGATAAAAAGGGATTCCCTCAAGAACAATGGCATGGGATGAATGAGGCTTTTATAGATCCTAAAATGAGCTTTCTATATTTTCTTGAGGTTAGGGTTTGAGGTTGAAATGAGTGGACTATGTATATTAACCCCTTTTAAAAAAAATTATATATAGGTATTATAGTTATCTGTTTGTGGCTGAAAGAACTTGGGAGTGTGTTATTTTATTTTTTTAGTTTGAAAATTTTTAATTTAAAAATTTAATATTAAAATAATATTGAATAAAATAGTTTTGTATATATATATATATATTTAAAAGTATATAAGTCTAAATAATAAAGTTTTAAAGTTTGCCCCCCCCAAAAAAAAAAAAAAGCTTTTATTGGTATTTTATTTTTGGGATTGGTTAGGATGGTAGAATTGAAAAAAAATTTCAACTCTACACACAGTTATATGTTATATGTATAAATAATACTCCCTCTATCCCATATAATATGTATGGGTGTATTACCGTAGACATGAAAATTTAGGTAAAGTATAATTAGTAAGTAATTAAAAAAATGTATTAGTAAAAATAATTATAAATTAAGATTAAGATAAATAAATAATTTAATTAAAATAAAAAAATTATAAAATTTAAAATTTAAAATGCGATTAAAGTGCATAATTATATTTCCAAAAATAGAAAGGACTGGGACGGAGAAAAATAGAAAATAGGGACAAATTATGTAGGTCGGAGGGAGTACATATTATTATATAACACATGTTGTGTATCATAAATGTATAAAAATGTGCTGTTTTTTTTTTAAAGAGTATATTATGTGTTAAAATCAACTTGTATTTTATATGAGACTATAATATGTGTTATTAGTTCACATGTATTATATTAACATATACAATGTATTTTCTATAATTACTATGTTTTATCAGCACACCATGTGATGCTCAGCACAGTGGTAATGCTGAATGTCAATTCTAACATTGTAGACGTGGTCTTTATTTTTATTTTTACTTTTTAAAGTGTGTATTAAAATAATAATAAAAAAAATTGCCTGTTTGATTTGAAATTTAATATACAATTTTAAATCAAAATTAATATTATATATATTTTTTAATTAAAATATATTGTTTTTTTCTTATATAAAATAATAAATTAAAATGCTATTTAAATAAAATTTAAATCAACGCTAAGTGTCAAATAGCAAACTTAAATTTGCATTCCATAAGAGAAAACAAATAAGTTAAAAAGTGGAACTCAAAATTTTAAGAAAAATTATTAAAACTTAAAATATAGTACTATTTCAGAATTTTTAAGGCACTCTGCTAATTAATAATTTCTAATTAACAAATTAAATATAATTAATAAATATGCTACGCATAAAAACAATAATGCGATTTTAAAGGACAAATTATGCAAACTCAGAGGTGCAATGTGGAAGAAACAAAATAAAATTGGAGTTTATTGCAATGACCAAGAATCGTCTCCCGTATCCCTAATTTTCGCCTTTGAATTCTCCCAAAGGAAGATAAAGGAAGAAATTGGCAGTAATTCGGAGCAGAGTCATCATCGTGAGTTCATTTTTCTCTGCAGAGAAATCTTGTAGTTCCATTTTTTGAGGTATATCTCGACTCAATCTCGATCACACCCTATATTTTGCAAATTCCATCCATTAATTTACGTTCTTCATCCATTTTTAACATTTTGCCGTTTCGGGAATTCAGCAGTCATTTCACCCAATTTCCGTTAGAGATCCCACCAAGTCTTGGCTTTTTGTTTGTCCCATTTTTTTTGTCGTATCTTGTTTGATTTCATTGGCGTACCATCCGATCGGTCTAGGGTTTGTGCAATAGGCTGACTTTCTTGTTGTCCAGGGTGTGATTGAGTTGGGTATTTGTTAGATTTTTATTGAATATTTTTTTATTTTTCTGTTTTACGGCTTTTGAGTTTGTTCATTTGGCCGATTGGGTGAAATTTCTGTGTAAAAAGGTTGATCCCTGGAGTTTTCCTAGGCGGTGGATTTGTTATTGGATTCAGGAAAATTCATTTTATGGCATTTGAATGCCAAGGAAATACAGAAATAGAATCAAAAGACATTTCAAGAAATCATTTGGGTAATCTTCAATCGAAGAAACTCGAAAAGCGCATTCTGTCTAACAAGAAACAGGTTGAATCAAGAGAGGCTGAAATTCCAGAAGGCGTGTTTGTATTTAATGCTAAACATGGGATGTGTTCGTTTGAGCAACAGGAGGACAGCCGTTCATTTCTTGACCTTCCTCCTGCATTGATATCGGAAATCCTTAATTTCCTTGACCCTAGAGAACTTGGGACCGTATCTTGTGTGAATAAGTCTTTGTATAGTCTTGCCACTGAACATCAGGTGTGGAAGGAGTTTTACCATGAAAGGTGGGGTCATCCAGTAGCTTCAATCAATTTAGGACCTGGGTGTTCAAATGAGAAGTCATGGAAGGAACTTTTTGTGGAGAGAGAGTCCCGGAGCAAGAGTTTTAAGGGGCATTACAGCATCGACACACTACATGGCCATACTGAAGCTGTTAGGACAGTTTTTGTGTTGGATTCCAAGAAGCTCGTGTTCACATCAGGGTATGATCAGGTAGTGAAGATGTGGGACATGGAGGAAGGCATGTCAATAGCATCATCACGACCTCTGGGCTGTACTATTCGTGCAATCGCAGCTGATTCAAGGCATTTAGTTGCTGGTGGTACGGATGGATTCATACATGGTTGGAAAGTTGAGGATGGAAACCCTCACTTGTTCGACCTCAGAGCACAGCATAATGTTAACAACATGGAATTCCGAGTTTGGGAGCACAATGGTCCAATAACTTGTCTTGCACTGGATTTTAGTAAGATGTACAGTGGTTCTTGGGACATGACGATACGTGTTTGGGATCGATCTTCTTTGAAATGTTTGAATGTCTTGGTGCACAATGACTGGGTTTGGAGCCTTGTTCCTCATGACACTACAATTGGTAGCACTGCAGGTTCCGGTGTCTACATTTGGGATACTAATAGTGGTAGTCGTCTAGGAATCATTAATGGCCCCCATGTTGGTAATGCCTATGCTTTGGCACGAAGTCACACAGGAAAGCTTTTGTTTACAGGAGGAGAAGATGGTTCTATACACATGTTTGAGATGTTAAGAAATTCCAAGTGCAATATCAGGAAGATTGCTACTTGGATTCCTCACAGTGGACCTGTATATTCTCTTGCATTTGAGTTCCCTTGGCTGGTTTCAGCCTCCAGTGATGGGAAGATTTCACTTATTGATGTTAGAGAGCTGCTGAAGAGAAAACGTACTACTGACATTACTTCTAAGGCTTACACTTTTGACCAGAAGAATGTAGAACCTCCACAGAGAATGCTGCATGGGTTTGGAAGCAATTTGTTCTCAGTTGGGATTGGTTCTGACCGAATTGTTTGTGGAGGTGAAGAAGGGGTTGTTAGGATCTGGAACTTCTCACGAGCATTGGAGATTGAGCAACGTGATAGAGCTTTGAGAGGTATGAAGCTTGAGAAACGGATGAGACGACGGAGGCTCCAGCTAGAAATGAGTACTAAAGGTGGTCAAGATGAGCAATGTTCAGTTGCAGCCAAGAAGAATCAGATGAACACTGATAAGAGTGGTTGGCACGGCAGGCGTAGAGTAAGTGGGAAGCTAAAAGCATAGACATGGATGGATTATAGCTTCCTGATTGTTTTCATACTTATACATTTTTAATTGTTTAGTCTTAGGATTGTTGTGGCCATTACCTGCCTTGCTTTGGAACTTTATCTGTTTTAGATTATTATTTAGATAGTTTTCTGATGGTTTAATGTCTTTTTTCTATTTTTTCAAAAAAAATAAAAAGGAAAAAAAGGAGAAACTTTTGACATCTTTTGTTATGTTGCATAACTCTCTCAACTACATCACTGCTTTCATTGTTGACAGTATCTGTTGGTTGACGATCGTCTGAATTGCATTAACCATTTGAATGCAGTTTTGATTCTGAACATCCCTTGGTTAAAAATAAATGATAATATCTACAGTCGAGTTGAATATGTATATTTGAAGCTACCTATATGAGTGAGGAAGATGTTCTGTAGTTTAACATTTGAAGTAGCATTGTATGAATGTTATAGATTTATTTGGGAGGATAGATCTGAATATGAGCAACTTTTTAAAAATAGGAAGGATAGTTAGAATATATGTGTATAGACTGTCCCACAGAAATCACATGCCTGCACAAGGCATGCAAAGTGTTGTAGTTTAGGGTCTCTATGGGTTAGTCCTATTCTTTTGGAAATAGTGGCTTCAATCTCTTAACACAATTTAAGACCCCAATTTCACAAACAAATGAATTTCTAAAGATCTTTAATGGAATCCATACATCAGACTGTTATTATTGTCAAAGTGTAGGAGATGCAAGAAGATACACACCTCACTTAAATGAAAATTGAAAGAAATGAATACATCGTATAGTTAACACAACAAAGATGTGAACATAACAATTGATAATCCAATAAGCTTAGATGACGATGGCAGATTGCTTGTAGGGCTTCCATTGGTCTCATTTCCGGTAGATGAACTTGGCGATATAGCTACACAGGTAAAAAGCCTTGTGAAGTTAATGTGCAAAAATGAATAACCTACAGCCTACAGCCTACTTCAATTATTTTGATTTTAAAGAGAAGAAAGTATATAAGTTTACCTGGTGAAGGGCTTGGTGCTAGGCCTGGTACTGGAACACCAATAACTACATGGTGCAAACAAACAAAATAGTTAATTACCAAGTAGGAAACTTTTATTGATCAATATGAACTCTGATACACTTTATTCAGAGTCAGTTCCTTTAACATCTGTAAATATTTATCAGATTTCACCTATTAAAGCAAGACACGTGTTGCCGAGGTTAAAAACAAACACTCTTCTGCTTCTGCTAATATTGAAGCTGTTGGAGGGTCTTTTAAAATTTTTGCCTATGCTTCTGGATTCTAATTATTTTACAAAAACTAGAGAACAGTTTTCAGTTAAAAGCAGTGCTTCCTACAGTTTCATGAACAGTATCAAGATTCAAGAAAGTATTTTTAATAATTAAGCTTGTGATCTTTTCCCCTAATTAAAATTGATGAAATAAAATTTCCGAACACTCTCACAGTTAACTTTCTCTGAGTATGAATTCATATATAAACATCATTATTACTAATGATTCTTTTAACTAGACACAAAAAGTTATACTTTTATGCAGTGTTAGGATTTGTGAGTCTCCTATTTCATGTTCAAAATTCCTTTTCTTTAATTGAGTGGCTTAACTTACTCTCAAGTTAGAATTGAATGGTCACTAATCTTAACTCTCACCACTAATGTCCAAATTCATAACAACAAAACATATTATTAACAGGAAAATCAAAACCTTAGGTGTACCTGAACACAGCTGAGCAGAGGCGGATATATTGCAGAGAGTGGATAGTTTGAGTGCTTTATTTGTATCAATATCAGACAAACCAAACTGGCTTGAATTAGCCAAGAATTTGCACAGGCAAACCGGCTGTGTGCTGATCAAATCTGATACTTCATGGCAACATAGTGGATCAGGCTTTGTCAAGTTACTGTCAGCCTCTACATAGCTTAGACAGTCAGCCATGTTGATAAGTACTGACATGCAATCCGTCTCTGGGGAAGGCGCCGGGGCTGAGGAAGGCGATGGTTCTCCAGCCGGTGGCGATGCTGCCATCACTGTGATCAATAGGTAAGCTATGGTGATTGTGGTGGTGATGGTGGTTCTGGGCTTGATCATGGCTACTGGTACAGATCTTTTCTTTGCTATTAATGATATAATATTATGTTGTTTTTTTGTTTTCTGATCTTGATTAAGATGGCAATGCTGGTGGTGTTATTAAAGAAGTTATGGAAAATTCTTGTGTGTTTAAGTTAATTTTAACAGCTGGCAATTAGGAAAAAGTTGTGGCTATGTTAATGCTAAGGGGGAAATTGGATGATTAATTCATAGGGCAGCCTATTGTACCAAACTATGGTTAAGTTATTAGGTTAGTGTAGTAGACATGGAGGGCTCTTGTAGAAGCTATGGTGCCATAAAATAATGTCAATTTGTAGACAGGAATTGGACTTAAATTAAATATCCGGTGGTTGGATCATCTTAATCACCCTACTTTTTGATTCACTTTTGGGGGTTGCTGATATTGTTATAGAATTGTGAATACATAATGAATTTATTTTGTGAATGGTTGCAAGGAATAGTTCTTAATATTCTTGTTTTTTTGAAAAAGGTGAATTAGTCGGGTATCTTATCACTTCTTGTCATCGGGGCTTATTTTCTTGTTTGTTTGATCGTAGTTGGTTGCATTAGCTAGAGGTCGGTGAACTTTTTAGAGTTTCTTTGTTTTGGATATGTGTGTATTCTAATCTAAATATGATTGAATATGATATTTTGTGACCGAAAATAGTATATTTACATGAATAATGTTGGTTGCATTAGCTTGAGGTATGTGAATATAGAATTTGATTGTTTTGGATATGTAATATCATTCTTTGCAGAAATCTTGGCCTGCATGTGATGTGGACCCATTGAATGGTTGCCCACACGTTTGAACAGAGTTATGGCTAATGCTAGGGTTTGCAATTAGCTGGAAATTTTAGATGAGAAAAACTGAAAAAAGGTATGAATTATTGGATTTCAATATAGAGTGATTTTTGTGTACATCTCACTCATGAATATCAATGTAAGGAGTTTTTATTTACTTAAGTGAGAAATACTTGTATATAGATTAATATTTCTGAGAGAGATTAAAAAATTAAATAGTAGAAAATTAATGAGTGAACAACTAAACACACCCTCAGAGGTATTGCTATTAAATTATTCAAGGAAGCAGTGTGTTTATTTTTATTTTTTTAAAAAATATTTTATTTTTACTATTTATTAGTTTTAATAAAAATATATTATTTTTCGTAAAATATTAATAAAAAATACTTTTTAAATTAAAACTCAAAATACTATTTTAATTTCAAATCAGAATCATACAAAATTGTTCCTTTATATTTTTCAGATAGAGATTTGTAGAATAAAAATTAAAAAAAAAAAAAAAAAACTGAAAAAAAAAAAAAAAATTGTTTTTGATCTGATTTTGGTGAGAGAAAATATAATAAATGTAATGTTTTTGAAAAAAATTATTGAATATGCAAAGTTACAATTTGGGGTTTAAATTTTCGATTTATGTTAGTAAATTTGAATTTAAATGATTATTTGATGTCACAAAAATTAAGTGATTGTTGAGGCAGTATTTTAAATGAAAATTTAATTTATCCTAATATAAAAAATTAAAAATTAAAAAAAAATAAAAAAAATTTCTAAAAAAATTATTTTTAAACACCGAGTTTTATAGGTACTTTTTAAATATAGACTTTAGATCAGCATAAAAATAATAATAATAAAAACATAAATCTATTCTTTTATTAGTTTTTATTATAAAAAATGAAAGAATATGCTATCACTTAAACTCGTGTAAAAGATATATGAACAAATGTTTTTTAACTATGGAGAGAGTAATAAAAAAAATATATTTACATTTAAATCATAAAAAATGAAAAAAAAGGTTTTACATTGTATTTGTTTGGGTTTTGAATTTATTTAATTTTTTTTAAAAAAAAATGAATTGAAAATTTCATGTGATATTTTAAAATTATTCTCTCCGTCTCGAATATTTTATTCGTTTTACTGTAAATACGAGATATGTATAATTAGTAAATAATTAAAAATATATTAGTAAAAATAATTATAAATTAAATATAATAAAAATAATTATAGATAACTAATTAGTATAATTAAATTTTAAAAAATTATAAATTAAATTTAAAATAATATTAAAATGTGACAAAAATAAGTTGGACGAAGGGAGTATATTTTAAGATATTATTCGTGTATGTTTAAATTGAAATATTGATGTAATATTTTTGGTAAGAAAATACTATAAATTATTATAGAAATTAATATTATATATATATATGTAAAAATTATATGTTTAGTAATGAATGAGATTGTGTATTTGAAATCGATCCTAAAAGCTACCATGAACGGTCTAGACTAGTGTTGATGCCTTTTAAAAAGATTACTCCCTCCGTCCTATGTAAAATGAATGTATTATTGTAGATACGAAAATTTAAGTAAAGTATAATTAGTAAGTAATTAAGAAATGTATTAATAAAAATAATTATAGATTAAGATTAAAATAAGTAAATAGTTTAATTAAAATTATAAAATTTAAAATTTAAAATGCTTAAAGTGCCCAAAAATAAAAAGGACAAGTTATGTGGGACGGACGAAAATAAAAAATAAGAACAAATTATGTGGAACGGAGAAAGTAATATATTAAATATATTTATTATTTTAATATTATATATAGTAAAATAATATGTATTTTTAAATGAAAACACAAAATAAACACAGCAGTGTTTTTTTATATAATTGCTAATGAAAAGAAATGGAGTATCTTTCCTCTGCTTTATTTGGATTGCGACACGTGTCACAATCTGAACTGCCGGAGCATGTGCACCGCGCGTAGGGTAGAGGAAGCCCTACTCCGCTGGAGATGTTTCAGTATACACCCGGTCCCTCTCGCTCCGACTCTTTCTCTCTCTGCAATGTCGCCGTTGGCCATCGAAACGCCGTCGTAGCATAAACCCTAGGGGTGAAGCTCGGTTTTTTTAATTTAAGCATCGAAGTAGGGGGTTAACTTGCTTTGGTCATTTATAGCTTGGACGACAGGTACATCTTTATCAATACAATGGAGTATTATACTTTGGGATTTGCAAGTTAGAGGCCACGAGTTAACTTGACATGCTAATTTGAATTTTATTTTTTTTACAGAAGTATGGACATGGTAGAATTGATTGGAACTTTAAGTAGGATAGAGTGAATTTATTCGTTATGACATCTTCTTATTCTACTGGAGTTGGATCGTTGGCTTAATTTTCTGATTTTGAAGTAGGGTTTATGGAATTGGGAAATATGTGTATGTTGTTGGAATTCTGAAGTAGGGTTAGTATGATTTTTGTGTATCAATGATTAAACCTAATGAAATGACCATTAAAGATGACAGGGAAGCTATGTGATTTTATATTTATTTGTATTTAATTTCCTTGTCACCTTCTTCATGTACATGCAGAGTTCTCTTTCATGATGCCTTCGATTTTAAGCAGTTTTCGATGTATGGTTGACTGTGGGAACATAGACCTTACGTTTTGATGCTAGCTCTCACCTAAAGCTTTATAGATTTGGAGGATGTGATGCTATAGAAGAGATGTTGGTAATTGTTGCCATAAATTGATTGGTGTAGAAAACGGGAAAATGGCTCAACAACATGGGGGGGTCACCGATGATGGTGACGATGATTCCAACGATGGTGGAGAAGTGGATGCTTTTCAACGCTCTCTAGTTCAGGATGAGCTCGGGAATTTCCCAGAGCCACATGTTGGAATGGAGTTTGATTCCGAACATGCAGCCAAGTTGTTTTATGAAGATTACGCAAGTCATGTGGGATTCAATACACGAGCGAGCTATAATCAGTCAAATGGTGGCAGCACGGTTGCATCTCGAGATTTTTTTTGTTCCAGCAACAGTTTGAATAAAAGAGCTTCTGAGAACTGTAAAGCTTTACTTAGAATTGAGTTGAGAGGCAATAACAAGTGGATTGTAACAAAATTTGTAAAGGAGCATGTCCATGCTGGTGTGAGTCATAATAAGGTGCATCACCTCAAGCCGAAGAAGCACTTTGCAGAAAGTTTCAATGACATGGATGGACTTCCAAGTGGCATGATGTATGTGTCCATGGATGGGAATACTGTTTCTCCGGAGGTGAACAATGTAGGGAAACATATATCCGGTTCAGGATTAACGCCTACTGTGAAGCACTTTAACTCATCATGCTATTCACCAATGTGTTCCATTCGAAGAAGAACACTAGGTAGAGATGCTCAGAATCTCCTCGACTATTTTAAGAAGATGCAGGCTGAGAACCCAGGATTCTATTATGCCATACAGCTTGATGAAGAGAATCGCATGGCTAATGCATTCTGGGTTGATTCTAGGTCAAGAACGGCTTATAGTCATTTTGGGGATTCTGTTGTTCTAGAGGCAAAGTACATTAAAAATCAATACAATGTTCCGCTTGCTCCGTTTACAGGGGTGAACCATCATGGTCAGATTATATTATTTGGTTGTGCACTGCTTCTGGATGAATCTGAAGCTACATATATATGGCTATTTAAGACATTTTTGGCTGCCATGAATGATCGTGCTCCCCTCTCACTAATCACAGATAAAGACCGAGCCATACAGGTTGCAGTTGCCCAGGTGTTTCCGGATGCTTGCCATCGTGCAAGCCAGTGGCATATGTTGAGAGAAGGTCAAGAAAAAATGGCCCATGTATGCCGTATGCATCCTACTTTTCAGGTGGATCTGTACAACTGCATCAACATGACCGAGACAATTGAGGAATTTGAATCATACTGGTTGTCTATACTTGACAAGTATGACCTGAAGAAGAATGTTTGGCTTCAATCTATGTATGATGCCCGAAGGCAATGGGCGCCCGTTTATTTCCGAGACACTATCTTTGCCACTGCTTTCCCAAGTTTAGGATACGAGAATTCATTTTTTGATGGCTATGTGAATCAGCAGACTACTTTGCCAATGTTCTTCAGGCAGTATGAAAGAGCTTTGGAGAATTCATTTCAAAGAGAAGTGGAAGCTGATTTTGATACTATGCACACAACCCCGGTGTTAAGGACACCTTCGCCTATGGAAAAACAGGCTGCTAATTTATATACGAAGAGAATATTTTCAAAATTTCAAGAGGAGCTAGTCGAGACATTTGTATATACAGCAAATAGGATTGATGGAGACGAGCTTAACAGTACATACAGAGTTGCGAAATTTGAGGATGACAACAAAGCATATTTTGTATCATTGAATATACCAGAAATGAAAGCGAATTGTAGCTGTAAGATGTTTGAGTATTCTGGCATCCTCTGTAGACACATTCTGACAGTTTTTACTGTAACTAATGTACTCACCTTGCCATCTCATTACATCTTGAATCGGTGGACAAGAAATGCTAAAACCACAGTTTTAGGTGATGATTGCAATGAGCTGCGGGGCCATGAATCTCTTACAACAAGATACAACTATCTATGCAAGGAAGCAATTAGATTTGCCGAGGAGGGGGCTACAACAACAGAAACTTGCAGTTCAGCACTCCTTAGTCTTAGAGAAGGTGGCATGAAGGTTTCAAATGTTAAATCAAGCATAGCAAAATCTATACCGTCGAGCTCTCAGGTATTTGGTCTTGGTTACGATGACCGAAGATCATTTGTGGAGAATTTGGAGCTGGCCCCTTTACTGTGGCCACAACAAGATGATGTAGGAAGACAATTTAATCTTAATGATGCTGGTGTTCCTAGTCAACTCATGTCCAGTTCGAATGTCCAGCGAGTATCGCCTGTTTTGCTTAACCGCAGCAGTCATCTCAGTGATAATACGGTATGCAAAAAACATATGTTTGTCAAACTGATTTTTCTGTGAACAATTTGGTTTAGTTCTCATTTGATTTTATTTGTCTGCAGGTTGCTCTTCCTTGTCTTAAGTCAATGACTTGGGTAATGGAGAACAAGAACTTGACTCCAGCTGATAGGGTAGCAGTAATAAACCTTAAAGTACGTTTTTGCTTTCTGATCTCTTGTTCGGACTAGGTAAAGTTACTAGATTGACCATTTGGTTGTTGGAACAAATTCTGCTGTTCTTTATGTGTTTTACGTCAACTTAAATTTTTCGTAAATTTGAATCTTATTGGGTTAAATAAGACTACAAACATTTATCTCAATTATGTTACTATCTACTGTGCCGTTGTTAGATTTTACTTCATGATTTTGAGTCAACTTTTGGCATATAGTGCTGCTGTCAGAATCAAATGAAGACACTGCCGTGATTTTTTTCTCAAAAAATTTACCTCTTTATTCCTCTTCCAGTTACAAGATTATAGTAGGATGCCTGCAGTAGAATCTGAGGTGAAGTTCACGCTGTCGAGGGTCACACTGGAGCCCATGTTGAAGTCCATGGCCTACATCAGTGATCAGCTCTCTACCCCTGCCAATAAGGTTGCCGTCATCAATTTAAAGGTTAGTTATCTACAAACTTAATTCTCAATTTAATTTAATCGATAATTTTCGTTTTGTGCCACTTTTACACAGCTATGTACAATGTGTCAATTTTTCCTTGTAATCATGGAACTGTATGCAAGCAAAGGATTTGCTTGTGGGATCTGCAATAGCCATGATGTTGAAATTTTCATGAACTTCTAGATTATAAGTTCGCTAAAATAATTAAAAAGGAACCGGGAGTATCCGTCTAGATAAGCTATAGGACATAGTTGGGTCTGAGATGGGTTCAGGAGAACCCCAACCCAGAAGCCTACAGTTGTGTTCTTTTGTGGTACTTTTACGACTGATTTTTACTATTCTGATTTTTATTGTCTCTCCAAAAATATCAAATCAAATAATTATTTTTCTTTTTTTATATTATACTAAAAATTTATTTTAAATTCAAAAATCGCATCTAACATCTATTTATATTGCATCAAACAATTATTCAAATTCAACTTTTTACTATTGAAAAATCCAAACCCAAAAACCCATACCCACAAACAAACACACTTACAAGTTTGACTAACTACCTGTTTGGGGTAAATAATCTTATCTTTTGTGCACATATTTTCCCTTGACTCACCCTCCCCAAAAGTAAGCTTTATTTTCATGATTAAAAGGACTTTTTCTGGCAGTCTAAATAAAGCATTATAATCTTCTGCACTTTATGGCACAAACTTTGTATTTTTACTTCTCTAGTGTTCATGGGATTCCACTCTTTTTTTTAGTAAGTTTCATTTTGCTTTGATGGCAAGCATCCCCTCATATGCTGATGTTGTGTACTACAATTTCTTAAGGAAAAAAAATAATAATCATCTGTGATCGGGTAGCAAACTAAATGCATAGTTGTATCAATAATAAATGTATACCGACGTGCTTCAGCTCCTGCAAATTCACTATCATGTAGAAAACTAACATCATCCATTTTTGTGCAATAGCCACTCTATTAATACACTTGACTTGTTTGTTTAGCTTCAAGATGCCGAAACAACATCAGGGGAATCAGAGGTAAAATTCCAGGTGTCGAGGGATACTTTGGGGGCCATGTTGAGATCAATGGCATACATCCGTGAGCAGCTTTCAGTTGTGGTAAGATTCATTCATTCCTTGTTAACGATGCATTTACTTGCTCATTGAAACTCACACTTACTAAGCTTCGAGTAAAATTAGTTCTACATTCGATCTTCTACACAAGGGCTCGGTCTATTGGCAATATCCATCTGTAATTTGCTTTTTTATCATTAGGAAGCAGTAGCTATGTATGAGTAAAAAACTAGAGATTCTAATTCTTGATGCAGACGTACAACAGTCTGATTGTGTATGTAATCCTGACAGGTTGACCCGAAACAAGACAATCCAGCCAAAAAGGCGCGGAAGTAGACAATGGTTCCTTCAGTCACGTGGATTCCTCATTATCTCAGGTGCCTTCCTGTCCTGTGTATGTAATTCATGTTTGTAGATGTGGCTTTTCTTGAATCTTTGTCCATAGATGAGCTGATTGATCGCCCTCAAATGTTAGAAGATGAGAATGTTGTTTGAATTATGTATATATGTGTGTATGTATTATGTATATATGTGTGTTCGCCCTTAGTTAAGTTCTGCAAGAACTAGCGTTAGAGCGTGCTGCTATAAATACACATATAGTGCCAAACAAACGCGTGCAATCAGAATTCAGTAGGATTTTTTTTAAATTTTTTTAATTTTTTCCCTCTAGATTTATTGTATGTGTTATTTTATTTTATTTTATTTTATTGTGCTGAATAATGCTGTTCAGCCTATTATGTATTTAATGGCAGTTTATATATATATATATATATTAATATATTAGTGTTATACTCATGCGATATGCACGATTTTATTCTTTATTTTATACTCTACTACTTTATTGCAAAGAAGTATATAGCATTGAACAAAATAATTTGATTGCTATTGTAAAAACTAATTATTATTATAATTATTTGGATTTTGTTCTTTTAATATCTATTTTTGTATTTATATTTCGATTTTTTCAATAGAAAAGTTATTTAATATAATGTTTTATATGCAAGTATATATAGATATAAAATCATAAGATTGTATATATATATATATATATAAACTAAAGTAAACTTTATATTTTTATTTTTGTTATATGTAAGACTATTTGGAACCAATTAAATCAACAATTCTTCGAGATCACATAAAATCTCAACAAACTTTTTATGCATCCATACCAATTCCCCTATATAAATAGCTTCAAATAAATACCTCATAAATATATTTAATATTTCTATTCATTATTTAGGTTTCAACTTTATATGGAGTGAAATTTTTATAATAATATATATTTTTTTTAATTTTAAAATTTTAAATTTGATTATTGTCTATAGTAATTTTAAAATTTGATTTTATTATTCTTACTGTTATATATTTTTATTTTTACTAATCGATTTATTTATTTTTAGATGAAAAAAAAAAGGAACAAAGAATACTACAATCTATATGTATCTTTTATGTGTGTTTTTAAAATTAATTTAATTTTTAGTTTATATTATAATTTTTTTAAATTTATTAATTATATTTATTTTTTTTGTATGCAGGAATAAATTGAAGTAAAAAAAATAAAAGAGAAAAAAGTAAATATATATATTGAAGAGTAAGAAGAAATTTCAAGGAAAAAAATGAAAAAAGTGTGGGGATGGGGCGTGAAAGGGATGGGGTGGCGGCGAAGATGTTTTTTTAAGGTTTGTTTATTCATTTTTAAAATTTTAATTAATATATTTTGTATATAAATTTTATTATATATACTTCCTAATAATATTGCTCCCTCCATCTAACCTATTTATATCATTTAAAAATAATTATACTTTTTAATTTTATTTAAAAATTTTTATTTAATTTTTTTTAATTATAATTAAATTAATAATTTATATTATCTACTAATTATTTTTATTAATATATTTTTAATTATTTACTAATTATATATCCAACGTGGGGAGGAAATATAAAATAAAATAAAATACAATTTATCTGTATATTAAATAATATTTGACATAAATTTATACCATTTGTAAATTTCGATTTTTTTACTTGTTAAATAATTTGTAAAATTATTTTGGACTATGAATAAAATAATTACAAATATAAGAGCAGAAGACCTTCCTGAAATTTCCTTATGTTCGTTCCGAGATTTTTCTGCGATTCTCCAGAGTGACCGGACCATCACGAACAGTCCCGATTTCGGTTCAATCTTCGTCATCGCAATCAGGTATTCCACGGATTTTCTTTTGAAAGTGATTGTTCAATTTCGGCGTACAAAGTGTGGGAATTTGTTGTTGTCAGTGAATCGCGTGGATTTTTATCGAGGATCAGTATCGAACAATCGATTGAATAATTAGGTTTTCGTATTTGGGAATTGGATTTGATGATTGGAGTTGTTCAATATGTGGAGTGTGGTGGAGTATGTGCAAAGAGCATGGCCTTTTCTCATGCTCAAAGATGATCTGAGGGCGTCGGATAGGATTGTTAGGAAGTTGCCGATACCCGACAGCACGAAGCACTTCGTGTACGCCATTCGCGACCGCGAATCGCAGGCCGTGATCTATGTATTGTCGGTTCAGAATTTATCCGAGAGGTCAGCTGTAGATGCGGAGTGTTTGATTAGGGCGATTAAGCCTGACGCAGTTGTTGTGCAATTAGGGCAATTGGGGAATTCAGAGATTAGCGATTTGGTGGAAGGTGGAATTAGATTGATCGATGATGGCGTGAATAAAACTGTAGAGAATGGTGGATCCATGGATGCTGTCACGGCTGTTCCGACCTCTGTGTTCGAGGTTTTGAAGAGGTGTTTCGTGCACAAAATTAGTCGAGAGAGGTATGAGAATGCTGCAGGAAGTTTGGTTTTGAAGGAGATTTTCGGGGTGAGCTTCAATGGCCATTTTGTTGCAGCCAAGAAGGCTGCCGAGGAAGTTGGTTCTTCGTTCTTGATGATCGAATCCCCTTTTGTGAAATGCAGCACAGCTGAAGATGGAGAGGCTGTCGAATTGGGCAACGGTTTTCGAACTGCATTTGGTTTGCAGCCAACAAGTTTGGTTCCCGGAAAGATTGGCACTTCAAACATTGTAAACTCGAGGGCTTTCCATATAATGGATGATGTCCAGTTACAAAATTTGAGATTATTGTCCTCAAATTTGGTTCATCCGAATCCCAATCCGAATCCCAATCCCAATCCAAAGTCTTCATTTCAAGATGCTCGACCCCTACTTGATTACGAGGCTCCACAGTTTGCAAAATGTGTCTACCCTTTGCTTGTCGATCTTCACGACATATTTGAAGATATACCTTCTATGGGAACTGCATTGGCTTGTGCACAGAAGATGCTTTCTGATGTCAATAAAGGAGAAGCCATTGACACCCGCCTTCTTTCTGAAGTTTATGCATTTCAGATTGCTGTTGAGGGGCTTAGAATCGCGTTGAATAACGCTGGCCGGTTAATAAAGAAGCCCCTTTCGATCAACTACAGATTCTCTGATCTCCCTGAGGAGGAAAAGTCTCACGCAATTCTTGCGCAAACTCTTCGAAGCCAGACCAGTAAGTATAAGTCAATAGTTGCGGTTGTCGATGCTAGTGGATTATCTGGGCTTAGGAAACACTGGAACACCATCGTTCCATCCGAGGTTAAAGACATGGTGGAACACCATGTCATGAACTATGGGGACGATGATGATGAAGAAGATGATGGGGTCCAGGGTCATAAAAAGCGATTTTTATCGGATAAGCCTATGGTGGCGGTTGGAGCAGGCGCCACTGCCATTTTCGGAATCTCATCCCTTTCAAAAGTTGTCCCTGCATCGACTTTCATAAAAATTGCAACCTTTAATGTCCCGGCTTCTCTAAAACTTGCATTAACGCAGACGCAGAAAGCTATTCTGTTTGCCATGGGGAAGACGACGAAAGTTGCAGCCCCCAGTTTGATGAAGGGGTCGTCTGCCTTAAAGGCTGCTGCGTCTGCTGAGAAAATCCGAGCAGTTGCCCACGGGGTTATAGCCTCTGCGGAGAAGACGAGCTTGTCTGCAATGAGGACGGCATTTTATGAAATAATGAGGAATAGAAGAGTGAGGCCGATTGGGGCTCTGCCGTGGGCGACGTTTGGGTGCAGCGTGGCGACGTGTGGGGGGTTGCTGGCGTATGGGGACGGGATCGAGTGTGCGGCGGAGTCGTTTCCGGTGGCGCATTCGATCGCGAGTTTGGGGAGGGGGATCAAGAGGTTGCATGAAACGGCAGCGGTGGTGAGGGAAGCTGAGAGTTCACGGATACAGAAGTCGATCGAGTCGATGTTGGGTAAGTCCAGTTCAGTTCAATCAAGAAGTTGATAATGATAATAATGATGATGGTAATAATAAGGAGAATGATAATAGTATTATTACTACTGAGAATGGGGAATGGGGGTTGGTTGGTTGGTTAGTTAGTTGTAAATAGAATTTTGGAAGTGATTTTTGTATTTGATGGATGACAGCCACCCCTCTGCCTCTTATTATTTCTTATTCCTGAGTTTTGTATCAGAATGAATGTCTTTTCCTTTTTTTTCTAATTTTATTATAATAATTTGGTAGACGAAAAGTTTATTAGGTCCGTCAAAATATGCCACATTAGGCTATTCATGTAGCACGTAATTGAAGCAGCTTGTGATTATGGGGTGTCATATTTGCTAGTTGGATGTTGTTATATTAATACTAGTGTTCTAGTAAGTAGGATAACAGAAAATATACATATACATATATATTTTGTATATCAAAATAACTAAATATAAATTTGAAAGTATAGTATTTCTTCGATTTTCTGGCCCAGATTGTACAGGCTTTGGTCGGTCTGTCAATTTGGACTCAATGTGAATTAGCCGCGAAACAAAGGCATTGGGGCCCAATCATAAACATTTAATTTTATATAAACCCAAATATAACATGTGTTCCGTGACATCAGTATTAACATATATAATCTTATATTGAAATCAAATAAATATAACACGTGTTGTCTATGCTATTATTGTGTGCTAATTACTGCCAATCTGCACATTTATAGCAGCCTCAACACTAACATGCATCAAATGGATCATTTTTCAACATTAACATTCACTTACACAAACGAGTAGACTTCGAAAATAATCACCTTACATAACCTGCATTTCTTTTACATAAATTTTATTTCAATAATTATACCACATCATACACAAATACGTGACACGAAATATTAAATTTTACCATTAGTCTTTGGAAAGTCAAATTAAACATCACATTTTTCACTAAGAAAAAAGGTAATAACAACTTACAACATTAAAAAGGAAAAAAAAAAATTGAGTCGAAAAATCTCATTACACCCAACAACTCAACGTAGTGAAGGACTAATCCTCCCCATCTCAACCTCTAGACTAGAGTGAGAGCATTTGGTGATGATCGTATATCATAGCTGAGTATGAGGGGAGAGCCAAGAATTACCCAGAAAAAATCTTTCCAAGTTCTCAACACACACATACATGTTCCACATTATTTTTTCGATAAATTAAGGAATGCAGATTCAGATTGAGATTGAGACAGGGGAGGAAGTTTGGTTATTTGAGACAGCCAATACCTGCAGTAATCTGTAGCTGCTGCTTTTTTTAATGGAAAAAACCCAAACCCAAGCATATGGCTTGCCCCTCATTGAGCCTTACAAACTCCGGTAATCTATGACGGTCACTTCATCATCTGGTGCATCCAAGTCGTTGTAGCTGCAAAATTGTTAAATCCGAGCAAGAACCTTGTTAGTTAAACAATATAGCAGTAATGTTATAATGACCATCCAGGTTGACATAAAGTGTCAATGTCTGTGGAAATGTAAATGTATAAGACATAATTGAATTTATCACTCCATAAACTGCATGATGAATGCAATTCTTAGCAGGTTTTTTAAATTTATGTGGCCTCCAAGTCCCCCATAGTTTTATATTTTAAAGCTATGTCAATTTATTGTGCAAGTTTCTAGCCAAAAAATTTGCTTACTTATAACGTCATTCTTCAACATAGCCAAGAAGGAAATAATGGCCGAGTAAAGCTTCACATGCCTCATATCTCCCAGGTACCAATAGTTGCAAGTTCTACCAATCACTAATTTTTCTAGCACAAGTTTAAGCTTTGTTAAGAATGTACCAACTAACCTTCGCAAGCGCCGAGGATCCTGCCGCATATTTGGGGGTAAGATAATCGGGGAAGGACCACCTAACTGGGGGCCTGATCTACCATTTCGGCCTCCTTCAAATGGGGCAGGACCTCCTTGTTCTCGGAACATTCGCATAGCTACTTCAGGGGGTGCAGGAACAAAAGGGCCAAGCGGTCTGCATAAATAATTGTCTTCAATCAGGCATTACGTTGTAAAATATGCATGCGGGCACAAAAATATAATATAGCAATTATTTAGAGGATGATAGAGCAAGAGGGTTAAGTAATACAAACTAACCCGGCACCAGGAACAGGCATCAGCACAGGAGGGGGCATATCTGAAGCAAAAGCTGCAACAGGAATGCCTTGACCAAAGGAATCAAACATTGGTTCATCAGGATTGTTGCCAGTAGCGCCTTCATCATTGCCAAAGTCCCCAGGCTGGGGATCCTCAGGCCTACCGAACCGCTCATTGCCATTAGTCCGGTTATCACGTTCCCGGCGAATGCCTCTTTCATCTCTCATTCTATTATCAGGGCCAGGCCTATGTCTTTGTAGCTTGTCCTTCTGAAAATGGAACCCAGGCACATCACACAATTTTGGTATTTCCAGAATTATAATTTTGGACAATCATTCATTAACTGAGTCCTACCGGAAATGATGGTTGCATAACAGGTGTCCCTCCGGGAGCATTTTCATCGCTGCGATTGAAAGTTGTTAGTACATGCAACTAAAGAATTGTGATATACATAGCAATGGCTGAATAGTGCATACTTCATGTAGTTCTGGAAATACAACTCTTCACGCACTTTCGATGTGAGTTCTATCACAAGTTCTGGGTGTTTCAACTTTAAATGTTTGTGAACAAACTCTGCCGCATGAAAGAGCTTTGTACAGCCTTTTGCTCCACATCCATATTTCCATCCATATTTTTCATCCCTAATTTTCCGAACATATGGATCTAATGCTTCAGCTGCAGCTGCATCTATTTTTTCCTTTCCAGACATTACTTCAACTGGATCCGAACCTTTAAGCCTCCCTTGCCAATAAGAATCCAGTTTCTTCTCCAATTCAACACCATTATCAACTGCATCCAAATTCTTGACATCTGTTCTAACATGTCTCAAACCTTTGGCCTCATTTGACTCAGACAAGCCATAATAATCAACTCCATGAATACGCCAAAGATAAGTAAGAAGAGTGTCCAGAAGCTCAATGCCCTCGAGACCTTTTATTGCATTTAAGCCCCGTATGATAATGACTGGACCACTTGAGCTTCCATGCGACTTATCTCTGCTTGTTCTATCATTATCAGCACGACATAACACATTGTCTTCAATTCCTTTTTCTGCATCAAGCTTTCGTACGAGAGCCTGCGCTTGTTCAATGTCAATATGAATTCGTCTCGACTCAGAAAACACTGGATGAGCCTTTGAAGCAGATGAAAGGTCAGAATCTTTAGCACTGCCACGACCAGGCCGCTTTCTTTTGCCGCTTGCATCTGTATCATCATCAGAGTTAGGCTCACTGGACTGTTCTGTTCTGTTTGATGAGGGGGTAAAACCTGGACCTCTGTTAACATATGAAACTTGGTAAGATTAACATAACACAAAAATAGTTACATCAAACCCCATATTGGTGAAGCAGGCCTTACAAATCCAAAGTCCCATTCTGCAAATCAAGCTGAAAATCCTTGGCCAACTTCTTTGCAAGTTCATTCCGCCTACAAATTCAAGTGACGGAAATTTTCAACTAAATTCCATTGAGGTAGCAGGCATATACAGAGGGGCATTTAAAAATCATTTCACACAGATTGTTCAAGTACAAATTAACCCAAACAAACATCCATGCAGTAAAATTCATGTGCTTACCGGTCTATGACGCCAACCAAGTTTGTAGGATGATACTTGTTCTTCAACCTGAACAGAGATTAACCCAAAAAAAAGACACTTGTGTAAAGCAACAAATGTAGTTGTGAAGTGTACCTCAAAACAAAACATAATCAATCAAAACAACATAGTTACCATTCTTCGTCCTTATGTGCATTAAAATAAGTTTTTTTCTGAGTTGTTATATATTCTGTCCTGTACTCCTGATACCTGACCATGCAATTGTGCTCAACCAATTAATAAAGTTAGTATTGAAGCAGAAACAAGGAAGCTAACAAAAGAAACATACAAACTACAATTATTAACAAGAGAGAGAGTGAGAGAGAAACAAGAAGAGCTAAATCAATGAAGTGAAAAATCGCCCATCTAACCTCCGCTCAGCTTCAGCTGGTAGGATATCATCTTCAAGCTCTTGAATAAACTGCTTATAAGACATCATTCCCTCCCTAAAATGAATAGACAGCTATCAGTAAAACAGACTTAAGATCTAATATTGCAGAAATGTCAGCAAGGCATACTGTGGAAGTTAACAGCAAACTATCAGTCACATGCAAATGCAAGCAGAATGTGTTGCGAGTCATAAAAAGATACTATCCACCCAATGAACAGAACTAATCTTTTTGGTATAAAAAGCATGAAATTCAGTTAAATATCCTTACCACGCACAACTTTCCTAATAAAAAATAAGTTCAAATTTTTCAATATGTTTAGAGCAGCACTTAAAAGGCTGGACATGATAAGCAGATAACAGTCTCAAGTGCAGTGTAACTCAAATGTCCCCAACCTTCAAAAACATTTTGGTCTAAACATCATGGTGAGAAACCAAAAAAAGACAACTGTAACCCATTAAGAAGTAACAGTGCTAGCATGAACAAACCGCCCATTCAGAAAAGTGAATCCATTTCTGTACTTTGAAAGAAATTCACACATTGAATGATGCATACCTTTGGGATCCTCCCATATTAAAAGCATCAGGAAAACCACCACGGCCAGACTCCCAATCTGCAAAGTGGAATATCATATGCAAATGACAAGGACAAGGAAGTGCCGCACAAATTCATTTTTAGAAGTATCCCATCCCTCTTTTCAGAAAGTACCAAATAAACCAGATGGAATGTTTGATTGCAGAGAACAAAAAATTATTTTTAAGAAATATACAACTTGTGTGAGAGTATCACAACGCACTATGACCCTATCACTTGTACTTTTTGAAAAATTCAGTACCTCTACACTTCACAGCTCATTGATGTATGGGCACCCTAAGACAAAATTCTACTCTTTCTCAAATCTCAATAATATATGATTCATAGTCTTGTTTTCTTTTTTTTCTTTTTTTTCTTTTTTTCTGTCCAATGGTTTATGTTCTAAATATACAGAAATTGAACCACATAAAACAAAAGGTTACAACAATCACCATTGAGAATGTAATTTGACTGTGATGTTTAGATTTGCATTACAAGGTTTAAAAGAGGATCTAGAGAAGTGATCTTAACTTAACCAGTTACTATGCAACTTCTGAAGCATCATACGAATTATACAGATAACTCATTGTAGCTTAGCAATCATGAATCTGTCTGTGAGAAAGATGTTTTGAAAGTGCAGTAGACTGCTTACAATATAATGCATGCATTCATGCACTTAAATAGCATGCCAACATCACATAAGACTAGGGGTGTGCATCGAAAAATGAAACTCATAATTCAAATATTTGAATTCGGTTTTTGGATTATTTTTTTTAAAATTCCAACCAAATTCAATTTCAAATTCATATTTCCCAGTTGGAAAGTAATTTGAATTTGGTATTTATCAAATTGATCGAATTCAAGTTGTACACAATAAATTTGAATTCAGTGAACTTCGTGTTTTTTTTTTACCAAATTTAGTTAATTTATTTGAAATATCATATTAATATAATTAAATCAAATGAAACCAATTATTATAGGTAAATATATAGTAGTATATCTAGATAAAATATTATATTTTCATAGAACAAACACTATATAATTCAAATATAAGTATATATAATATTAGAAACAATAATCAATTAATTAACTGAATTTGTAATCAGTAATTAATTTCAAATTCAAAAAAAAAAAAAAATGAATTAATTTCAAAATGATGAATTCAGCATATTCGAATACCAACTAAGTTATGAAACTCCCGATTCAATTTTTTGATATAAAGTTAAAATCGATTGGTAAATCGGAAATCACTAATTTTGCACACCCCTACATAAGATAGATTGAGAAGTTGAGCCTAACTAAAGTACCAACATCAGCATGAGATGACTAATAAGCATATAATGAAATACACATTAGAAAAGAAAAACATGCACAAGCAAACATCAAAGGTTTGCAGGAATACCAGATGGACCACCTTGATAGCCGCGGCCCATAAATCGTCCATGAGACTTTTCATCAGGATAACCAAGTCTGCCCCCCATCTCACGCTCATATCCTCCAGGAAAATCATAACCAAACCTGAATAGAAACCAAATGTTATTACCATCTATTTGTACATTGATAGGTGTGCTCTGAATTGTAACCCAGGGATATACTACCAGACAAGAGAAAAGGCACAAGACAGTTTTTTCTCACCAAATATAGCATAGTAACCTGACTTGGTGAGCAGAAAAGTAACAGGAGAGATCAAAATGTGTATATATATAGGATTAGTATCTGTATATGGTTAGGCAGTTTGAAATGTAAGTTTCCAACCACAAAGATGGCTCCAAATCAAAATTGAGCTCAGAATGTTGAAACCAACATTTAATACTGGTATCACCGCCCAATGGTACTAGCATTACATGTATACAAAGAAAATAGGGAAGAATACATGCACCCTTTGAATGTCAGTTCCACAATGAATAACTATGAGTGGAAATTCCAATATGTTGCATACATGAGAATGATCTATTCATTCATTAAGTTCACTTATCAGTCCCAGCTCCTCCAATCCTAGGCGCTTGTGACAAAACCATACCACAAACAGAAAATGCAAGTATACCACCAGACACAGCCAACCACACACACAATAATCATGCAGTAAATAGAAAGCTAAATAGGAAGCTTCACCACCAAGTGTATAAGCCTGATAATTGAGTAACTCTATATGTATCCTGTTCTATCCTAGCGACTGATTGATCAAGTAATTGACTGAAACAAGCTACTACGAGCATGAATAATTGAACATTTACAGGAAATGAACCAAGGCAAACCTCACCTTCGGTCTCCTGGACCATATCCTCCTCTCGGACTCCCCCTCCTTCCATCATGAACATCGTCCCTCCTTCGCTTATACGGAGGAAACGGCGGCGATCTCCTCGGAGGCGGAGAATGCGGACCTCCGCCACGTCGGTCTCGATAGGGCGGTGGAGGAGGACTTGGACTCATCCTTCCTCGCTTATGATAATCCCTGTCGCGTGGCGGCGGCGGCGGAGGTGGTGATCTATTGCGATCGTAGTACTCGCGACGCGGAGGCCGGTCGAGGTCACGGTCATCACGCCGCTCTCGGGGGTCCCGTTCTCGTTCTCGAATGCCTCGGCGCGTCGGCTGAGGCGGAGGCGGCGGCGCCGGTGGCGATGTAGCGGCGGCGTCGGGTACAGCGGCCTCAGAGGGAGCGGCATCGGATGGCTTCTCGTCGTTGGTAGGTTCGTCGGTGTTGGGTTGAGGGTCGGCAGTTTCGTCGGCGGCGTTTAAAACCTCGGCCATTGGCAACCGTCCGTCAGATTTGCGGCGAAACCCTAATCCGCCAAACTGACGGGATGAATGAAAACTGATTTTGAGATGCTGCGGAGGAGGTTTTTGTTTTGTGAGGACATGACGACAAATGGAAAGCTCAGAAACACCGTGAAATGACATTATTGTCCTCACCCACTGTTCCGTTAACTTTCCGCTTTTCTCCCAGTCATCTGTTTAATTTTGGCGTTAAATTTATTTATTTACTTCCTCCCTCCCACATATTATGTCCACGTTTCCTTTTACATACTATGTCATCTTCCAACCAAATGATTATATACTTTAATCTCATTTAAAAATTTTTTAATTTTATTTTTTTAATTTTAATTAAAGTTATCTTAATCTTAATTTATAATTATTTATATTATAAAATAATTATTTTCACTAATAATTTTTTAATTATCTACTAATTACATCCCTACTAAAATACCATGTCTACGGTGTACTACCAGACAAGGTATCTGGGACGGAGGGAGTATTATTTTTTATGAGAAAGAAATATGTTGTCTCAATTCGAAATCGCACACAGGCTAAACCCGGACTACCGAACTACTACTTGCAAACTAGGCTCCATCCTGTGTTTTACGTCAGTCTATTAAAATCATATCGCGAGCTGCAATGAGTTAGTTGGCAAAGGCACTTTCAAAAGTGCGGACTGCATATGATAAAGTGGCTGAAGAGATTAGTGCATATAGGATGGTTCGACATAAGAATAAATCACCATCAACAAAGTATCTGGTCAAATAGCCTGGACTACCCGAGTCCGAGATGAATTGGAAGCTAGCTAAAGACTTATGGCAGTTCGAGGAATTTGTCTGAGGTGATTCAAGTGGAGGAGGATGTCCCAGACCTAGACCGAACCAGTGGCCGAACAATACCGAGGAAAATGCAAAAGGTCGCCGAGAAGGGACCTGCTGTGTGCAGAGGCATGGAGGCTAGCGGAGATTCTTCCAGGCGTTCCAAAACCTTCCGGAATATTCCGAAATCTCTGGAATATTCAAGAACATACCATGTGTAACTTTGTAAAAATAAATACAATTTTTACAAACTTTTTTAAAAAAAAAAAAATAATAGTATTATTTAATTTTTAAAAAATATTATATTTAATTCCCTCCCTGATGCTGCTCATTTGATCATATATAACTAATTGTTATTTTTTTTTACAGTAAAAAAATATAAAAGTATAATAATTGTTATTTTTGTTCGTGTAATTCGAAAATAATTTTTTATTTTTAGTAAAAGTAATCTACAAATACTAAAATAGTTTTAACTTTTATCTAAATTACAAACATTCAATTATATATATAATCATTTTATACATAAATCAATCAAGTAAAAATTTCAAAATTTCCAACACATTAAAATATGTTTCATTACAATAATAAAAAAAAAAAGATAGTATAAATTTTAAAATGTATCAGCTGTATTTTACGTGGGTTTTAATTTTTAGGTTTGAATTTTTAATAGTAAAAAGTTAAATTGAATAGTTGTTTGTTTGAATGTAAAATAAATTTATAATATAATAGTATAAAAGAAAATAATTGTTTAATTTGATATTTTAAAAAAAAAATTTCAATAAAGAACAAAACTTAAAAATATATTTGTAAGAACCTTTCAGTTGTATTCTTTTGTAAATTTTAAGATTTTTACTATTTAAATTATTTTTTTCTCAAAAAACATTAAATCATATCATTATTATTTTTTAAAAATTATATTATAAATTTATTTTACATTTAAAATATCACATCAAATAACAATTTAAATTCAATTGTTTACCAATAAAAAATTAGTCCCAAAAAGTAAAACGTACAAACAAACACACCCAAGTGATTTCTACAATTAAATGTAGCCAAGGATAATAATGTCTTTCTAACTGACCCATTTCACCTCCCCATCTTCTTCCGTTCACTCGCAATTTACGAATTCAATCAGAAATTGGGGATTTCCAAATTCTCTGCTTGAGAGTTTCATCAACCTGAGGTAGCATCTGCGTTTTTTATGTGAAAATTTGGCAGAAATTTGGCTGAATTTTTCTGATCTGCTGAAGAAACAACCAAAGAGGAAAGAATCGGCTGAAAATCAAGCAAGGGACGGAAATGGTGGTGGAGGGTAGCATTACTGCGGAGGATCTATCGACGATAGGAGGCATCGCGACAGTGTCGCTGCTTCACTCCTTCATTCCGACGCATTGGCTTCCGTTTTCCATTGTAGGCCGAGCTCAGAAATGGACGCTCTCTCGTACTCTTCTCGTTAGTAAGTGATGGTGGTGTTTTTTGGTCGTGCAATGTTATTTAATCTTTTGTTTTGTTAACGTGATTCTGAGTTGTTCTATAGAACATTTAATTTATCTTTCTAGTGTGAGGGGAGAAGTAAAACTTTCCTGGATTTGATTGTTATTTGAGATCCGTGACTGCAATGTTTTGGATTTGGGAAGGAAATTGAAACTGGAAGTGAGATCAGTCTGTTTCTCGACTGATTGTTGGACTGTTTGTTTTGTGTGTGTGCAATGGAGGTAGATTACATATTGTGTTATGCATTATTGGGAAGATTTCCATAGGAAGAGATGTGGTTATCCAAATATTAGAATGATAAATTTTAGTTTGGAATTTCAAAGGAGATGGGAAGTGTTTGGATAGTTATTGATTTTTTCAAAGGAGTAGCATAAGAATAAGCTAGGATTTGTAAAGAAAAATCAATCTTCTGGCCTGGCAAAGAGAGCAATTAGATGCTATGCAATCTTGATCTGGTGTCCTATCTCCGAAAATAGGATAATCAATAATTCGAAATCTTATAACTCTGTTTTGCTTGTTATACGACAGTTTGAAAGTTTGCAGAAAGTTGAAATGTTCACCAATAACTCATTAATCATTATTGTTAGCTTGTTATAGCACTTCTTGATTTCAGTTGAGCAGTTGGTTGGAATTAGTGTGGCCAAACAATATTTAACTAACTTGAGAAAATTTTGAACAAATAGTCTCAATTTTATGATCCTTCTGCAACATGCCATTTCAGTAACAGTTTTCAACATCAATAGAATTGCAAGTGTGATTGAACATCGGATTTATCGAGATAGCACTTATGAAGAAATGAATGTCTGAATGCTGTAACATTAGAAAAACGGGCCAATCAATACCTTTAGTTGTTAGTCTATAAGTTATTAATATATTTTCTACTTGGAATTTCATTGGTACTGTTTCTGACATTTGATGTCTCGACTGGTCCCATTATTTCTCAACATTCTTTCGGAAATGCGATCTCTAAGTAGACAAAAATACTCTTTAAAGCATTGAAATTCCAATTGAGTATTTGTGTGCAGCTGCATTTGGAGGGGTATTGCATGTCTTGTCGACTTCACTGCTTGGCATAACAGCGATCACCATAACTAATACTATAGCAGGAGAGGAAACTGTGCATAAACTTGCATCACTGTTGCTCATAGTTCTTGGTGGCAGTTACGTCATATTGTTTCTTACTGGAAAAGGCGGTCACAGCCACACCCACAACCAACCTATGGAAAAAATGGCTGTTGCTGGTCTTGTTCTCGTCCCTGCATTGTCCCCTTGTGCGACAACCCTTCCCGTTTTTCTTGCTGTTGGAAACTCATCCTCCATGATGGTGCTGGCAATCATAGTTCTGCTATTCAGGTATCGACTATCTTTTGCACTTCTCTTCATTAATGAACACTTTCAATTGGACTCATTGCATGATTTATATAGTGGCAAGTATAACCTAAAGGCATTTTATTCAATCATGTATTTGTCCACATACATCTATCTTTGAAATTCAGGATCTAGTCATTCTCCCTATTCGAATTTGGAACCATCACGTGTATTTTTTATGGTATGTGTGTAGATTTATACATTCGCCTAAATATAAATATATATATATATATTATCAAAATAGATTGATACAAGCAAAATGAACACAAGACCAAATTCAATTCCTTTGCTATTAACTTCAGCCAATTTGTACATGAAACTCTTACTATCGAGATAATGTAACAAAACAAGGAAAATCTTCCTGATGTTTTTTCCAGACCAAGTGTGATAAATTACAATGATTTTTGGGATTACTGTCGATGGTCCCAAAATTTATCTGCCTGCATGTATTAAATCTCCGATCACTCCTATTTAAATAACAGCTCGTCTTAAACCCTCCGTTAAACATATTTTGATTTTCTATTGCAGCACAATCACAGTAATGACATCACTGGTGGCTCTTTCATTCTATGGTGCAAGTCAGCTCAAGTTCCACTGGGTGGAACGTTATGACAAGCTTCTAGTAGGTTCAGTTCTGTGTTTAGTCGGAATTCTGACCCTTTTATTTCATGATCATGATGGGGACTCGAGTTCATCCCTTCATCATTCACATAGGAAAATCATTGCTTTATAATAACTATTTAATATGTGTGCTTAAAAAGCTTGATATGCTGAGATTGCTTCCAATGGTTTCATAATAGTAAGAGTAGTAAAAAGCCTCTTGTTTAGTTGATGATGCCTATAACTTTACCGAAGCCTTTTTCTTTTTATATTTTGGACCCAAGCACACACTTATACACGCCTTAAGTATCGTCGTGTGTATTGGTTGTAATGAAACATAACTGCCATCCTTGTTACCTACTGTATGCCTTTGCAATGATATATCGAAATCTTGTCTCCGGGTTTTGAAAATAAATGGCATGAATTTTGCCGGCCCATTGTAAATTAAATCAATGAGTCTGTGAGAATCTCTTTAACAAATCAATGCATTTCATTTTAGTAGTGTATAGTTTGTGTTGAATAATTTCTGTTTATAAGGCATATCAGTTCTCATGAAAAAATATGATTCATTTTTGGATTAGACTCTTGCAAGTTTTATTATATACTGACCTACATTGTGTGTTTCTTTTAACACACATTTTTTTTAATTATTATTTTATTTAAATTTAAAATCTACATCAAATCTTCTCAAACCAAACATAAAAGAACGGAAAGTGTTTCTTTCGGTTGGTTAAAATTTGGTAAAATAAAGTTTGATAAGGGATTTTGTATAGCAGAATTCAAATAGTAAAATTTAAAAGAAATTTGATTAAATAAACAAACCCCCGGAAATTTCTCAAGAGTGGAAATCAAGTAACTATGTTTCTTTAGGGGAGTTTGGGGAAAGTTGGGTTTGAGTTTGATTTTTATTTGAATTTTGGGATGAGTTTGGATTTTGTTGTTTCTTTTGTGTTGGGGTTTGGAGAGTTTTGATGTGTATTGATTTGATGGATAATGAATAAAATAATATAAATATATATTAAATTTAATTGATAAAATTTATTGTATGATTTGATTATGAATTTATATTATACTCAACATATATATTTAAATTTTCTATTTATTTATATTATAAAAAATTTTATTCAATACAAAATACAAAATGACATATATATTATATATATATTTCATTTAATTATAATAAATATTACATAAAATTTTGTTTTATTTTTTAAAAAAAAAAAATTAAAAAAAAAAAGTTTGACGCCCATTTTATTGTGCAGTAAAATCGGCGCAAAACCCCTTGAGAAACATTACCGTAATCAATTATGCATGCTAGGGGATATGGGCTTATTGATTAATACTTTTGAGAGGAAATATATATATATATATATATTACTCCCTCTGTCCACAAACTAATGTTGTATTTCTATTTTTATACACAAAATTTACTCTTTTATCTTTACTTTATTCACTCTTTTCTTTTATATACACAAGATTAAGGGCAAATTTTCGTCCACAAACTAAACGTCCTACTGTCTTTCTATTTTTATACACAATTTACCATTTTATCTTTACTTTATTCCTTCTTTTCTTTTATATACACAAGATTAGGCAAATTTGTTATTTTATAACAAAAACTCTAATTACCTAAAAATACGTGTAAATATCAAATAGGAGATTAGAAAATGGACGGAGAGAGTACTTTTTAGACCCCGAACACATAAACCCGAATCTGTGCGGCTGTACTCGTACTTCAGCGTAATGACTAACGGACAGGCATCTTCGTACAACACACAATGAGCATGAAGCATATATCTTAATCTTTACCGTTTTATGCATAGATACATATATACATATGTATAGTTATATATAATATCAGGGTATTCATTCCTGATAAGAAATGTAGAACTCTGTTGAATTATAATATATATTATATATATACAACATAATATAAACAAAATATGGATCTATATATATGTATGTTAAAGAAGCCACGACACCAAGAAGCACATTAGTGATGTACAAGTCGAAGCTGCAAGAGCTCTGTCAAGAGCGGAAATGGGCGCTGCCCAAATATAGCTGTCTCCAACGAGGACCTAACCATTGCCCGGAGTTCGCCGCCACCGTGGTGGTTGCCGGAGCCGCCTTCCACAGCCCCGGCACCACCACATCCCTCCGGAAGGCCCAAAATGACGCTGCTCATATGGCCTTTCTACATTTCACTTCAAGTATGTATTATCTTTACTCTTCAACTCGACTCGAGTTTATATCGAGATATATATATATATATGTATAAAAGAAGCCAAACTCGAACATTTTCGAGCTAAGTGAAACTCGTTTGAGTTTGTCTTGCAGAGGCTTCAAATGAAACCATAAAGCCAAACAACGCGAGTCAAAATGACTTCAAGAAGAAACTCGAGATGTATGCTATGGGGAAGAACCTCGACTCCCCAATATATCATACTGAGAAGACAAAGGATCTTCGCTACATGACTCTAGTCTACGTTGGGAACAAGTGTTATCACATCAAGGGGCACTATGAGACACCATACGAATCGGAACATGCAGCCGCACAAGCCGCTCTACTGTCCTTATCAGCCACAGATGCATTTCAAAAGGTAAACTATCTTAGTAATATGTGCCTAATTGGTTCTAAGAAACTTGTGTTCTGTTCATGTATGAACTCAAACGAATCCCATAGTTAGTGTATTACTGTATGAATTCCATATCGATATAACTGAATCAATATATGCTAAAGAACTATTGAATTACTAACCAGAATAAGTGAATGCTTATTACCTTTCTAGGATGATCCACGCTCGTATAAGATTCTACTACACGAGCTGACAGAAAGCCAAGGGCTCAATTTGCCCGAGCACACAACCACAGTGAAATTTCAGGTGTCGGAGTTCCCTACATTTACCTCCACTGTTGAAGTGGAAAGAGAGGTCTTTAAAGGGGCAGTAGCAAAGACCAGTGCTGCAAATGCTGCAAACACTGTACTTATGGAGAGTAAGTTAGTTCCCCAATCACTTATTCAACAGCTTTCACGTCTAACAGCTGAGTTCCTTTTCCCAGGAAAGCTATTTCAGCTGCAGTTGGGATCGATAGAAAATTGTGATTGTTCTAGAGAGAATTCAAAATCTAACGAGTCTCAATCAAACATCAGTTCACATCAAGAAAAAGAGACTCGGCAGCAAATAAACAATGGTAATAAATGCATGCCTCTACTTCACTAAGATTTTATACTACTTTGAGCGCTACAGTTTATACTTACAACAGATTCTAACTATCACATCAACACAGAAAGAACAGTCATGTACAAGACTGTTGGGAAGGCTACTTTACCGAACACAAATAAGCACAAAGAAAACAATGGCATCAATGATTCTGTAGATTCGCCCTGTTACTCAACGGATGGGAGTCGGGTATGTTCAGATTCTAGCATGGAAAGGGCCACAGAAATGGAAAGCTATTTGCTATGTAACAAGGTTCGGGTGTTCACATGCATGCCAAGCATGTTGTTGCCTAAGGGAACTGTCATACTTCCTATCACAGAAGATAAGTGGACAATCGTGAGCCTTGAATGCCCTTGTGCAAAAAAGATGTGATTGAAGGAGAGCTTGAACATTTCTATAACTTCATCCATGCAAATAGGTAGAGTTTTGCAATGTTATGCAGTGGTGTAATTTCAAGGACAGACTATCATAATTTGAATCATTAGGCTAAGAAAATGCAGGAGACATCTGCTTGGAATTATTATTCTCACACATTATCAAAGAGATAATATATGCATCTTAACTGTCATACAAACACAAGATAAAATATCATACCAACTACAGAAATCCGAGAATGGAAAGGAGTTATTCATGTGAACCTTTTAGTCCTCTGTCCCCTGAGTTCTTTGCGGTTGGAAAGGTTAATCAGGGTTAAATCTGGAGGAAATTTCTCCGCTTTCAAATTGAATCTGTGGATCAGGTCAAGCAATGGTTTTATAATTCTCAAAGTGAGTAACATAGCACAACCAGGGTACAAAAGTTAGAGAGGCACTAATAATTAACAGGTTACAACTTGATGTTCAGCCCAAGTCGGGGATTTATGCGTTGAGACCGAGGATCCAGTTATATTGCCACCTCTTGGAAATTGGTTGTAATCAAGTCTTACCTTGCACTAAATCATTTATGGCTGCATGGCCATAAGTTATATCAGCAGACCAGTCCCCTTGCATGTTGAGAGCCACATGATTATCTGTCTTCATTTCCAGCAATAAACTTAGACAAAGGAACATTTTTCTTCTAAAAATCTTTAATAGTACAGCACACACTGTTTTATACAAATCCTTGATAGAGCTTTATCAGAACAAGCCAATTGTTAAATTGTTACAGTTCAATGAAAGGTTCCTATATTGGTAGAAAAACTTGGCTAAGAACTTACATTAAGCCACCTTAGTTACTTTAACTTAGTCATTTCTTATGCCTTTATTCTCCTCCATGAGGTCAATCTTCACTCATAAGAAGCAAGCGTTTAAGTTCCCACAAATAAGTATTTAAACTTTTTACTGCCACTCTTAACTAATTTATAGCTTAGTTAGGAAGCTGCGATATGGAGGATAGAGGAGCTGAAAACATGCTTCTTGATCCTACAAAATAACAATATGATAAAGGGCCTGGTCTTGCTCTTGGCAGCACATAAGCTTGTGAGGCATAAAAGGGTTTTCCATCCAAAGATTCATTGTCAGAACTCAGAAAATCATTTACATTTTACATCAAGCTTTTTTGCGATAACTGTAGATTAACTCACAAAGTCATCATTCAGAAACAAAGATCAATCAATAACAGGCAAATATTCAACATGTTTCGCATGAGATTTCACCCTTCTGAAGTTGAAAATAACAGTTCAAATATGTAGTCATTAAAGCAAATGGATGTGTCAGGCAGTTAATGAATAAAAATCACAAATTCGCAGCTAAAATGAAGTTTAACAGCTACCCAACTTTCCTCTGCAAGCAGTATGGAAACTACTTTACAAGAACTAAACAGTGCTCAGAGATCACCTCAGTAATAGCCAACGCGACTGGCATCAGCTCTAGCCAGCGGCTCAGTTTCAGCTCCATTTCCAAGAAACAAAATCCTGCCATTACGGCGCACGGTAACCTCTCGAATCCGTCGAGCAAGACCAGTTAAGGGATCATTGAAGAGTTTTGTCTCTAGATTTCCTTCCACATACAAGATAGAACCAGGTATTAGAGTCTTCATTGCAAGCTCCCCCAACTTTTCCGGATAAATTGAGACCCTATGCCACTGCACTGCACAGCGATTTGCATAGTCCTTAGGCTCTTCATTATCCAAAGGCCTCCTATTGTTTCGAATACCCCCAGTTCCCAGGGAAACCAGAGTTACAACATTTCCATTCCTCAGTTTCTTCTGCATAGGAGCTTGCCCCACCTGACCAATCAGTATTGCCTTGTAAATGCCAGGGTCCAAGCCATTTTCAAGGAGCCTCTCTGACTTAGGCTGCTGCTGCAGCAACGGAGAAGATTCTTCTGGGATATTTGGTGATTCTGACACAGAGTCAGAATCTGACTCAGTTTCAGTAGAGGACAGGCTTTTGGTGCAGAAGGCAGCAACAGAACACGGATTTGGCACTAAGGAATTTCCTCTATACCTTGAAAACACCACACCAGCCAGTTTCCTCGAGAGAGAAGATGCCATTGATACTTTGAACCTTTGAAATGCTTTGCTTCGCTGATTGTTGCACACAGTGAAGGAATAAAACGAAAGAACATCATAAGTTCAACGTATTACAGAGAAAATACTCAATTCATTCACCCTGCATATAGCTGTCAAAAATATATATATTCTTCAAGCTTCTCTGTTCCAAATATAATAAACTCCAAATAACTTAAAATAATTTCTAAACATCAATCAGATAAATAAATTCAATTGAGCAGTTAAAATAGAAACAAAAATTCAAAAACTTAGACGCGGACATAATGATATGCTGTAAAACAGACCACTATCATCCAAATCAATCCTCCTGAAAATACCGCGTTCAACGAACCTAAAGTCTTACATTATACAAGTACTTTCAAACGCTGAATTATCACCATGTATCGCTTTCTCATTTCGAGATCCACCGGCTAATATTCGATCATTTCAGTCGAATAACAAAAAGAGGTCTCAATAGAGCTTAAAATACCAAATAGACGAAGAGATTACAGCAGAAACTCACGATCAAACGCTTTCCGAGGACGGAAGAGCCAACTCCGGCGAAACCAGCCTCGACCAAGTGAGGAAGAGCTCACAGCCAGCCAGGCGAAGAAGTGGGGTTTAACGACATAAACCCTAACCCCAGACGTTACTTCTATATTTATGGAATAGTAAGTAAATATAGAATTATTATTATTTTTTCTTATAAAAAATATTAAATTAAAATGTTATTTAAATAAAAAATTAATTTAAATTTCATAATTTACTTAAAATATTTTGCTTTTTTTTTTTTATCATAAATAATTAAAAAAATATATTAATAAAAATAATTATAAATTATTAAAATTTTAAAAATATAACTAAAATATATAATTATATTTTGATAAAGAAATTAACAATTATATGAAAATGGATTCTTGGCACGTTCTTTTCCACGGCAGCACTTTTTTTCTTCTCTCTCCTCTGTATATATGTGTATTTTTTTACTTACATAAAAAAAAAAGAAAAAATAAAATAAAATTGATGTCTTGGGCTGTCGTTTGGCTTTCGCTGTCCTCCGGCATCATTTCGAGTAGACGGCGCCGTTTTGACCTCAATGGCCGCGCTTCTTCCATGAGTCCATCGATGCTCCCTTTCTCAATATGACTGATCGCCAGGTTCTCTGGGGTTTTTCTTTTCTCAATGCGTTCGATTTCGTTTCATGTTTTTCTAATGTGCCTCGTATGAGGTGAAATTGTTTGGAGGTTATTGCTTTCGAGTTGGTATAGTTGGGTGGGGCTTTAATTTTCCTGAAGGTATGAGCTGCCGATTTTTGCTCTAGGGTTTTGATGTATACTGTACTCGAGAAAAATGAAGAAATTGGAAAAGCAAATTAAAATGTGGGGGAAAAAGTGTTTTGGGGATAGATTTTGGAAGTGTGTTTACATCTATCGGATGCATCGTTGGGGCTTTGTGTTTGAAATCTTTTGTTAGTAGAATTGTTGCAATCAATAATCGACATTGCAAGTGAAGATTTATTGGAAACACCACTAGCTTTCCCTTTATACAAAGTTTGATCAGTTTCTTAAATTCATAACAAACCCTAGACCGTAATTTGGGAGGTGATAATTTAGGTTTCAGTGAGTAGATATCAGGTTTAAAGAACTATGCTGTGTAGATGTGGCACACTTCAATGTTTTTAGTGTTAGACAACAACCTATTAAAAGTAAGAAATGAAACACATTTGAACCTAGTAGCTTGACACTGTTGATAATCCGGAAAGAAAAAAGAGATTGTGAGTTCGAATTCGCACTGGGCACTATGTTAAAAATGTGGGATAGGTCTTCATCCCCAAGTAAGAGGGTTTACGTATTCCAAACTAAATAGTGAATGCAAATTAGGCAGCCTTGTAAGAGTTCTAAATACCAGATCGGATTAGAAAAGAATCTATTAAGAGTAAGATATTAAATACATTTGAACCTAGTAGCTTGACATTGGCGATAAGATGGAAAAGAAAAGGACATTATGAGTTCGACTTTCACATTTAAAAGAAATGAGAGATAGCACTTCGACCCCCAAGTAAGAGGATTTAGGCATTCCAAACTAAATTCGGATTAGTCAGCCTTTATTCCAAGTTGTGTTTGTTCAAGTAGTTAGGGGTGATGTGATACAACGAAAGCTAATGGAGTGGTGAGAATCTGCAATTCTGTCTATTTCAGGTGTTGCTTTTTGGATCATTTACAGAAGATGAGATCAGATTGATGCAATGCCAACTACAACAAAATGATGTAGGAATCAAATTTGGTTCCATTGACTCAGAAGATTTAAGATCCGCAGGCTTTTTCCATACTAGAGCAGCAGATCTTTGTTCCTGCAAAGGATCTCAGCTCCCTGAGCCAGCTGATGCACAGAACCATGTGAGGCTTAAGAGGGTTGATGATACGGCATCAGATTCCAGAGTTAATTTATCTGAAGAAAATGGATTCATTGGTAGCGATATGCTTCCTAAAAACAATGGTGTTGGATTCTTTGAGGATTATGGATTATCCAAAAACTCAACTTTTGAGCAGCCCGGCATCCCTAGTTTACATGAATTATCTTCCTCTGTAGAAGATGTTGTTTTGGATGATTCCTCTAATGGTGTCCACATCATGGACTCCAGCCAACACGTCTTTAAAGAATCAAACTCAAAAAATGTTACTCATAGGAATTTTCTGCCTTGTGGGTTGGTTAACATGGGGAACCTATGTTTTCTCAATGCCACTCTTCAAGCGCTGCTATCATGTTCTCCATTTTTTGACCTCTTGTTTGAGCTGAAAAACCGTGATATACCCAAGGTAGCATTTACAACTGTTGTGCTATAGATTATTTTCTGGCTTAAGGGCAACTTGTGACGGTTGCATTTCTCTTTCCCCAACTTGTAGAATGGCTTTCCAACACTATGTGCGTTTGTTGATTTCATCTCCGACTTTGACATGCTCCCTGATTCAATTTGCAAATTGGATGGCAAGAATGTTCTTGGAACCGGAAAGTCATTTCGTCCAATCATGTTTGACTCCATATTGAAGAGTTTCACTCCGGATATTCCTGACAACTTATCTGGCAGGCCTAGGTTTGCTTTTATTGACTGACTTGTTTCTAGCTGATCTTATGCTTTGTTGATTGATTTTTCTGCAATCACTCATGTTGCGAAGAAACTGCACTTTTTCTTTTCTTTCTTTCCTTTTTTTTTTTTTTTTTTCTGAAACAACTCATGATTTTCTTGAATGTGTGTGCTGCCATATTACATTTGGACATTGTTATTTTTTTATTGCAGGATCACTAATTACTCTTAATAGTGAAGTCAATACTCAAAGCTGAATAATTTTAGAGATAATATCAGGGTGTGAATTTCATGTTGGGAGGAGCAATTGTTAGAATTTTTACCAGTTGCATTTCTAATTGAAGGAAGTTTCAAGTTTTGAAAATTTCCATTTTATCATTAAAAGCATTGTACTATTAGATACATAGTTGAATATCCTCAAGCATCAATAATTATATTTTAGTATGTGTATTGATTCTTCTGAATTAAATCAATTTTGTTTTCATTATTGTGATTTTGCTTGACTTTCAGGCAAGAAGATGCTCAGGAATTTCTAAGCTTTGTGATGCATCAGATGCATGATGAATTGCTTAAACTAGATTGTAAAGTTTCCAATCAAAATGGTAAAACTGCATCATTGGTCTCATCAACAGATGATGAAAGTGATGATGATAACTGGGAGACTGTTGGCCCAAAAAACAAATCTGCCATCACAAGAACTCAGAGTTTCACACCATCAATGTTGAGTGCCATTTTCGGTGGTCAATTAAGGAGTGTTGTCAAAGCAAGAGGTAGGTCAGAATTTTGAGTACCTCACTTAAGTGATTATCTGCTTGTTCTTCATTCAGTTGCTTTTACATTGAACTTGATTTGCAACTGCTTCGAACTTGCAGAAGTGTATTAGATTCAGAAATTGCAGGCAAATTGCTTGGCATTTTTTGAAGTATAGCATTACTCTGTTAGGGGACAATTAACAGGATTAATGAGCGTTCCTTCGTAGAATACTATCAGCTGAGAAGTATTTGTGCAACATTGCTACCTGGAAAGTTTTTAAATTTTAACTATCCCATTACTTCTTCCTTTATCTGTAAGCAGGGAATAAGGCATCCGCTACAATACAGCCATTTCTCCTGCTCCATCTTAACATATGTCCTGAGCCTGTTTATACAATAGAAGATGCACTTCGGCTGTTTTCTGCACCAGAAACACTTGAAGGTTACCGAACATCAGCTGCTGGAAAGGTACATTTAATTTAAGCTTGTATCATCCAAATATTGCATTGCATACAAAAAGGCTGAATTTGTTCAGAGTATTTAATCATAGTAAAACTGTTTCAGAAAACCGTTGTTTTTTCCTTGCTATTTTAATCGAACAGCTATCTTTATATTATAATAGAAAAGCACACCATTCTGATTAATCCCAGGCTGAGGTGGTCACTGCGAGTAAATCCATTAAGATTTTGGAGCTTTCTGAGATATTGGTTTTGCACTTGATGCGTTTTAGCTATGAGAGCCGAGGAAGTACCAAATTGCATAAATCGGTGCATTTTCCACTGGAGCTTGTTGTTGGCCGCGATTTGCTTGCCTCTCCGTCCTCTGAGGTGAACTTTGCTCCTCTTGTTTTTTGTTTGCTTTTACCACATCTATCGATATATTTTCTATTTGGCTATCAAAACTAATAGTTGAATGCTTGTTATGTGTTCTTTTGGAAGAAGTGATAACTAAACTTACGGTTTGTCTAGAAATGTTTCCGGGAGTTTTTTAAAAGTTGGTGTTTGATTGACATTAACAGGTGTTGGATGTGATGTTTTCAATATATAATAAATCTTTGATGTAATATTTTAAATGAGAAATAGATTTGGAATGTGATGCTATTTGCCAAGAGAATTTTTTATGAATAGTAAACAAATTTGAGAACACAAGTAAACAGAGTTGGATCAAACATATGTAAACAAAGGCAGCTTCATTTTAATATTATATGTAAACTTAATCATTAAACATAATTTGTGCAATAATGTTTAGACAATATGTTTATGCAAGCATATCAAATGAAGTGCACTATTAGAAGGGTTAAAATTATCAAGTACTTATTTATATTTTTTGCTTATAGAGTTTGCCTTCTCATTCATCCGGTTGTTACAGGGTAGAAGATACGTACTCGTGGCTACAATCACTCATCATGGAAGGGACCCCTCAAAGGGCCACTACACAGCCGACGCCCGCCACCCAAGCGGCGAATGGCTGCGCTACGATGATGCTTCTGTGACACCCATTCCTGAGAGCGAGGTGCTGCACGATCAAGCGTACGTCCTCTTTTACAAACAAATGTAGCTAAGTAGTGTATCCGGAATTATCTTATCCGATTCATGTACATGTACGCTGTTACGAGATTTGACACATGAGTATAGATTCCTGGCTTATTTTATGACAATAGTTAGTCGCCATCAGTCTCCGCCCTGTCCGTCCCCCCCGGACAACTCAACTCGGTGAAGCTGGTACTCCGAAAACCGGTTGGGTGTTGATGGCGAATGTGGTGATACAAACTGATATACCTGCCAAAAATTCAGGTGAGAATTCCTCTTCCAAAATCTCTTCATTTGATTCCGGGAAATAGAATGCATGATAAATGTGCATTTTTATTTTTAGTATAGGTGTAGTTTGGAATTCTGGAAAGAAATCTTACATATTTTTCACTTTGTGATATTGATAGTTGATTTTATGAAACTAGTTGTATTTTATATTATTTGAATTTTTTGGTAATCTTGAATGAAAAGTATGAAAATGCTGTGGTAATTATTTGATGGTATAAATTTTTAGATTAGTGGATTGGATTGAAAAGTTCTTTTAATGTTAATGAAATCAATATATTTTTGGATGCAACCTGCACTTTGTTGTATTATCATATAATGTATAATGTGTAAATAATTTAAAAATATATTAATAAAAATAATAATTATATAAGGGACCGACGGAAAAAAAAAAATAATTATATTTTATGTGAAAATGTGGAGTGGAGGGGCTACGGTTGTTTGAGGATTGGAGGATTGGATTTTAAATACACTGTTTTTTTTTTTTTCAAAAAATATTAAATTAAATATTTATTTTTATTTTTTATATTATACTAAAAATCAATTTTATATTCAAAATATTACATCAATATCTATTTATATCACATCATTTGGATTTTGAGTTGGAATTTGAATAGTAAAAATTTTGAATTTGAATAGTTGTATGATGTGATATAAATAGGTGTTGATACGATGTTTTGAATGTAAAATTGATAGTAAAAATTTTGAATTTGAATAGTATGTGATATAAATAGGTGTTGATGTGATGTTTTGAATGTAAAATTAATTTTTAGTATAATATAAAAAATAAATAATAGGTGTTTGATTTGATGTTTTTGAGAGAGAAAAAAATAGGATTGAATAGTGAAAATCCAAACAAATCCCTCAAACAAACACCCCCTTAATTTGTCTATAAAAGATGTGATTAAATATATTTAGAAAAAAAAATATAGTGCAATTATTTTTTATATTTATATCAACAAATTATTTATTTATTTACATAAATAATAAATAAATATTTTATTTCAAATCAATTTTAAATTTAATCATATAAAAACGAAATTTTATTAATAAAAAATTCAAATTGATTTAGCAGTCTGACGATTCAATATGAATTTTTCGCACAGCCCTAAAGATGGCGTGTGAGGTATCACGTGAGGAGTAAATGAATTGTAGGGCCAAATTTGGCAAAACAGAAGGCTTAACTGCGGTAGTGGACTAGTGGTAGAGGTAAAGCTGCGGAGACCTTCGAAAACCTATCAAGCTGGCAGGCACCACGCGATTGTCACGTGACGTCTATTTAGGTTGTGTTCGTTTTTGGGGGTTGAAATTTGAAAAGAAATTTTGAATTAGAACAGTGGTATGATATGATATAAATATGAGTTAAAATTATTAAAATTATTGTTGAATTAGAATAGTAGTATCATTGTACTTAATATTAAAATTATTTTTATATTTGTATAATTTTTTATACAAATATCATTTTATTGATATTAAAAAAAATGGAAGTATTTTTGTCATTTTTCTTTTAAATTTGTACAAAATTTTGATATAATAATTAATATTCAAAGATCAACCTGACAAAATAAATGAGACTCTTAAAATCGAATATAAATAGTAAATATAAAAAATAAAAAATAGATATTTAATTTGATATTTTTTTAAAAAAATAAATTAATAAATAATAAAAATCCAAACAATCACATTCTTAAATGTTCGGATAATTTACTCTCAGTGACATATTATTACCGTACAATGTTTGAATAAATTTATAACTATAATGTACAGTTACCACCATGCAATATTCCCACTTCTTCATGTAACAAATATCTTTTTGTTAAATTATTTATTCATTATTATTGTACTATGGCTCATCATTGTTCAATATGAATTGGTAATAATAACATTCTACTCCAACGAAGATACTTCTAATTAAAGAGTACTATATTTTCCTCTATTTTCAACGATAAAATAAAATACTCCCTCCGTCCCATCTAATATGGGTGTATTACTGTAGACATATAAATTTAAGTAAAGTATAATTAGCCAGTAATTAAAAAATATATTAGTAAAAATAATTATAGATTAAGATTAAGATAAATAAATAGTTTAATTAAAATTAAAAAAATTATAAAATTTAAAATTTAAAATGCGATTAAAGTGTATAATTATATTTCAAAAAATAAAAAAAACAAGTTATGTAAAACGAACGAAAATATAAAATAAGGACAAATTATGTCGGACGAAAGTTTGTCTTGTACGCAATTAAATGCCACTGTATTGATCAGGGACGTGACATATTCTCTGTCCTCTAATTTCACCATCACTTTCTCACACATAATAATAATAATAATAATAATGCATGAAATTTGGTTTTGGTTACTTTATTAATTTTTATTCATGTGATATTATTTATATTTCAAATAAATTATATCAAATATATATATATTTTTTTTATAATATATCAAATTAAATATTAATTTTTTATTTTTACTTTTTAATAGGATGTTACAACGAAATTTCCTAATTTGGAATTATAGTTTAAATGTAATAGCATTAATTTGTAAAATAAATAAATAAAACAGAGCAAAATTAAAGGACTTGTGTAGGAATAGCCGGTCATTCATGGGCTGCGTAGACCAGATTGATGAAGGCTGCATGCATGGTTGGTTTTAGTTACCTGGTGTCCAGGTCCTGGGACCTCTTGTCTGTTCCTCAGTGTGCCTGCACGTGATTAAAGTGATTTGAGGAAAGTGAAAGACGGGACCTCACGGGCCAAGACGCGAGAGCAAATCGGACGGTGAGGGTTTCATACATCCAACGGCTGTTATCTCTTATCCAGATGGACCACATCGGTGCCGTCTGTAGAGAATCACACCGGAGATTTAGCTCACTCTCTTTCTCTCGTCTTTAAACTAATTCAAAAAAAATATCATTGCTCACCTTGCACGCTTCATTATTTTATTGTTAAATTATTAATAATAAATTATAGTATTATTATTTTTTTATTATATATATATATTGTATTATTGATATTTTAAATATTTTGAATAAAATATATTTAATATAAATATAGTTTTATAAATAATAAAATTTTATATAAATAAATAAAATAAATATGATTAATTTTATAATCATATTCTAAATAAATTTTATAAAAAAATAAATTTTAAATATAAATAAAATTATTTATTTATAAAAAAATGAGATAAAAATTTTTTTTTGAACGAATTTATATATAAAATATTAAAAATTATTAAATTAATTTATAATTATTATATATATTTAAAATAAATAAATTTATTCAAAAATAAAAATGATCTTTTTATGAGTCGAATAGAAAAAAAATGTAATGAAACGAAAAGAGTATTAATGTTATTAATGGAATGCAATACTATAGCGGTGATCGATAACATCATACATACGTGGAGCAGAGCAAAATGTACGGCTGAGATGTGATGGCATGAACAGCTGGAATTAGCGGATCACAGCTGGCACCACGTACGATGCGCTACACTGGAACGAACACGCAGCCATTACGTCGCCGTTTTGCCTCTTCTGCTGCACTGGACCCCACACACTCTGTCTTTATTCTTGTCCTCGCCCTTCTATTCATTTTTATATTTTATTATTATTTCACATTATTATTTGTTTTACAGATTATTTTAACTGAATTCCAGTTCCGTGCCTGCCTTCGGACGTGGTTGATTTCTCTATTTTGTCCCTATAATTGTCGTTCGGAAAGCAGGGCTCTCAAGGGTAAATACGTCATATCAGGAAAGGAGTGATTCATTGTGGTGATGTGTTGTGAAACCGGTCAAACTAGAATCGACCTCGCAATGTCAAAAGGTCACAAATCCGGAATTTGGGCTTTCCTCTAGGGGTAAGCTCGTCATTTAACATCTTACCCTATAAATATCCATCATTTCGCTTTCCTTGGCACTGCAGCTGCTGCGCGCGCGCTCTCTCTCTAGAATTTCGCCGCCGGTCAAGTTTTTCTTTTCTTCACGGTGGCGAACGGAGGAGAAACTGAGGATAGAGGAAACCGCCTAACTACGCCGGATTTGTGCTCTACACCGGTCGCGTTGGGCGAAAGCTTATTTTGCTGTATCGCTGCCCGCGCCGACGAGGTGTCGGGGAAAATCGGATCGTTGTCTGGGATCGTTTGGAGTGGAATTCGTCTTTTTTCTTGTGGCTGATATGGTGGTGTGGCTTTGATTATTTATCAAATGTGAGAAAATAGGAAAATAGGGTTTTGGCGGTGGAAGGCATCGCAAATGGGGAAGTTGGCGGCGGCGTTGGCGGTTGGATGTGCCGTAGCGGCGTGCGTGGTGGCGTCGGTTGTCGTAGGAAGGAGTGTGAGGCGGAGGAGGGCGTGGGCGAGGGCGTCGAGGATTGTAGAGGAGTTAGAGGAGGGATGTGCTACCCCCGTTTGGCGGCTAAGGCAGATTGTGGACGCTATGGCGGTTGAGATGCATGCTGGACTTGCGTCTGAGGGCGGTTCTAAGCTGAAAATGCTCCTAACTTACGTGCAAAACCTCCCCACGGGGTAAGCACTGATATTTTTGTATTAACGTTGTGCTCGTGTATCAGATTTGATTTTTGTTGTTATTATTGCTTTTAATGTATGCGCATTTGTTGCATGTGTCTGTTAGTGGATATATTGTTGTTTATTTCCATTTTGCCACTCAAATACGCCACCATATGAGTTTAATGTGAGCTTTTTGTGAGGCATTGGTAGTTTTACATTGAAAATGGTGGAGATCGAGAATATCAATCTTTTAGATGTTAGGGTTCTTGTCGTATTGCGTACCCTCCTTAACTCAGTATCCATTGATGATTTGTTTCTCTGTGTCTTTTTTTATTTGTTTATTTAACGGGGCTTTGTATTCTAAGATTTTCTCTACTCTTCCGTTTTCTTCTTCTTACTATATATCTATATATTTACATTTTTATTTTTAATTCTTTAGCACAGCAATAAATTATCATGGAGGGTGCTCGTGTGAACAATATGTATTAGTTCATCTACATCCCACTTCCTGGAATAAATCTAAAATTAATTTTAATACACGTGTAAGGTTTTATAGTTGCAATTCTTAAATTCGGATGAGTGTGAATCGGTTTTGATTGGATGATGAAATGTGTCTCAATGGAGTTATTTGTGGAATCATTTACTACTGGAAATCTGTTGGTGTTTACTCATTCGCTTTCAATGGGTAACTATTAAATGCAGCTGCATTTGTTAGGTTTTTGTTTGTGTAAGTTTGGTCGAACATCATGTAGCTACATCGAGATTCTCTGCTTTTTTTTTTTCACTTGCTTTAATGGATGCTTGTGATGCTAAATTGCCACATTTTTAGGAATTTAATCTAGGATGAAGTCATTCAGCCATGTGAGAATCAAACTTTTTGTTGCCTCTGGAGCCGTAATATTGACTTCTGGCAATTTCTGCAGAGAAACTAGCACAGTTTGGACGCAATCAGAGTGATCTTTTCTCCAAATTTTCCAAGAATATAATACTGTTCTTAGTATTCTGTATTGGCGATGGATTTTTCATTTGTCCTTTTATATATCTTAGATTTTTTAGCCTTATAAATGCTCTTTATTATATGTGTGATTTTCTGGCTTGCAGTTGCCATAGAAATATTAGACTGGCATTGTGTGCTATGTGCCGTTTCCCCTAAGAAGCTTATTTCCTATGGTGAGAAACATGTTATTATAATTTGATTTACAATAGTCAAATTATTCTTCCTTTTATTGAAATTTGTAATGCTTATTTTATAAGTAGCACGCAAATTATAGTTTCTAAATTTTGATGAGGAAAATTTGTAGATTTTCCTTCTAATATCCTTTTCCATCTAAAATTGCAGTGACTTAGTTGTGCCATGTTGCTTCTGATGGGTGCTATGGTCTTAAACTCAGTGAACCTATTGATCTTGCCTTCTGCTAAAATTTTCCTACAATTTGATCTCTAGGGTTTTTTTTTTTTTTTTTTTTTCTGTTATTATTATTATTATTTTTCCAGGAATGAAAATGGAACCTATTATGCACTAGATATTGGAGAAACAAATCTTCGGATCTTACGTGTTCACTTAGGTGGCCAAAGGCATGGTCTCATTGAACATGATCTTGAACAAAGGCCTATTCCACAAACTCTGTTGAACAGCACAAGTGAGGTGGCTGAAGTTTTTCTGCAGCATTTTGAAATTCTTGGACCTCAACCTGGTAGACTAATGGTGTTCTATTTTTTTATCTGATTGCAGGAGCTTTTTGATTTTATAGCAGCATCGCTGAAGGAATTTGTTGAAAGCAAAGAATCTTCCATGAGTTCACTGACGGAGAGTAGAGAACTCGGCTTCACATTTTCATTTCCAGTGAAACAAACTACATCATCATCAGGATATTTAATTAAGTGGACAAAAGGATTCTCTGTTGAAGACATGGTTAGCTTAATTATGTTTGTTCTTGCAGGTCCTCCACTTGTTATTCACAAAGGGGAGGAAGAATAGCAAATATTTTTGGCATATTTTTCCTACAACAATTATATGAAAATATCAGTTTTAATATGATGGGTCTACTTGGTGCTCTTTGAAAATATCAATTTTGTATCTTTATCTCCCATATATCTAGAACCTATCTTTGTTAAGAATGACATGTTCTGGCATGCTTGTTTTGCTGCACCTATGTCTAAAGTGTGGATTGATATTTTGCCAGTTTTTGTAGGTTTAAATGATTTTGTTCAGATTTCATTAAATATCATAAAAAAAGGGTTAGTTTTATAAATCACTTTCACTATGAAACTAGAATTGATTTCAATGATTCATAGTCATCATAAGTGAAGAAGCAGCCATAATGCAGTAAGTTGCTTGGTTTTGCAGGTTGGGAAAGATGTTTCTGAATCCTTACAGCAAGCAATATCACGAAAAGGGCTGCATATGCAAGTTGTGGTTCTTGTATGCACTCATTTTCTGTAAATTTTGAGTCTTATCTGTTTGTGTAATGGTGGACATTGTCATGTAGGGCATATCCCTAACCATATTCGATTTTATTTTCACCTTTTAACGAGATTTGAATGAGCTTCAGCTGTTCAATCTTCCCAATTTCAAGGATAGAAATGCTGTCACACTTGCCAGATCCCAGTTGTTGGGATAATATAATTTCTTGCTTTGCTATATGTGCATCTGAAGTGCATTTCTAATTATTTTGATAGCTAGATTTGTGTGACTGTTATTAGTTTCTACGAGTGGTTTTGTTTTATTGTCGCAATATATTCAGACTTGCAGTTATTTAAAGTTTATCCTTGTTCTTATGCAGATAAATGATACTGTAGGAACCTTAGCTCTTGGCCATTATCACGACGAAGACACAGTTGCTGCAGTGGTATTTGGTACAGGTACAAATGCCTGTTACATGGAGCGTGCAGATGCCATCATTAAGTGCCAAGGGGTGGCAACAACTTCTGGAGGCATGGTACACATTTTGGCCTGTTTATTGAATTTCTCTTCATGAAAATGGCAGATTTCTAAGATTTTATAACAGTTCATAATTGTTATTAGGTAGTTAACATGGAATGGGGGAATTTTTGGTCATCCAATTTGCCAAGAACATCATATGACATGGAATTGGATGATGATAGTCCCAATCCTAATGATCAGGTTCGATTACGCCTCTATAAGGGATTTCCTAATTAAACCACCGAAACAATTTATCCAACTATAGCAGTGGATGCTGTCTCATGATAATCACGCTGCAGTGTTTTGAGAAAATGATATCGGGAATGTATCTGGGAGATATTGTGCGAAGGGTTATTCTTCAGATAGCTCAGAAGACTGATGTTTTTGGACTTGAATATTCCAAATTACACGAGCCCTCTGTCTTGAGGTGCGATCTAATTCTTAAGTCTTCCTTTCACGCCCTACTCTTATAATAACGTATCTGAGATCATGCAAGAACATTGGGAGCTCTCGTATTTCCCTTTCTACTCTATGTTTATCATTCATTACTTTTACATTTTTTTCATATGTTTACATTTTGCTCAACTCAATTTCAAAGTGGATGTACTTGTGTACTAGATTCTCGTGGAAATCAATTGCATGCAATACTCGACTGACATTTTACGTCTGTTACATTATTTCCGCGTGGATCATTAATTGGTGTGGTTGTTTGAACTTTGTAAAGGACACCACTAATGGCTATTATGCACGAGGATGATTCCCCATACTTGATTGAAGTTTCCCAAATATTAAAAGATACTCTGGAGGTGGACTGTTTATTATGTTAAAAATATTCCTATCCATAAGATTATGTTTCTTCATATTCATTTCTGTTTTTCCAATCTCCTACTTTTCATTTATTTCAGATCCCTGATGTATCTCTCAATCTTCGGAAGCTGATTGTGAAGATATGCGATGTCGTGGTCCACAGAGCTGCTCGATTGGCAGCTGCCGGCATTGTGGGGATTCTCAAGAAGATCGGAATTGTGGGTGGTGGTACAAGCAGAGGCGGCGGCAGCAACGAGGCTAAGATGAGAAGAATTGTAGTGGCAGTCGAGGGAGGTTTGTATACAAACTACACGATGTTCAGAGAGTATCTGAATGAAGCAATGGGACAAATATTAGGCGAGGATATTGCTGCTTGCGTCGTCATGAAGGTAACAGAGGACGGATCAGGTATCGGAGCTGCCCTTTTAGCTGCATCTCATTCATCATCGTCTTCGTCATCTTCTGTTGATGCATTCATTATTTGAGTAATATGCATAGATATAATGTGTGTGTACCTGTAAATTTGTAGAATAAGATATATGAGTAGATGCATATATATTGATTTTAGAATCATGTTTGTGATAGTTTTTCTTTGTGCTGTATAGCAGGTGGTTTCTATTGGATATAATTGTAATGCATATACTTAAATCAAATTACATTTGTAATTATATTGCCTGTTAGTTAACTTGGATCAAAATAATAATAATAATAATAATAATAAATAAATAAAGACGAGAAGTTAATTTGGACAAAGTATATTTTTTAAAGAAATAAAAATAAAAATGATGCAATAAATTACACACGTGACCAAATAAATATACAAGCAATTTTAAGTTCACAATGAATATTTCCATGATTAATCCATATTTTAAAGGATACAATAAACAAGTTATTACCAAAATACATATTATAATAATTAAATATCATTCATATTGAAGATTATAAATACAACCTTCATTTCAAAATCAAAACACACATTTCAATTTATTCAAACCAATGGCTACATTTAACTACATTAAAAAAAAAAAAAAAAACAAAACAAAACAAAAAAAATTAGGACTGAAAGGAGTATTATTTTTCCAAAACTCATCAAATAGTTATGTGCTTAATCTGAAAATTTTTGTTTGAATTTAATAATCAACATAAAATTACTTTATAATAAATTCCTTTTTAGGTAAAAAAACTAAATATATTAATATCAATTATATATATCAGATTTTTTACACATATAAAAATGGCAATAAAAAATTAAATAAATCAATAAAAAATTCAAACAGGGATATAATAAAATATATATTTAAATTTTAAAATTATTATATAAAAATAAAATTTATATTATAAATATTATTTTATAAAAAATAGAAATAAATAAAAAATATTTTTATAAGAAATATAAAATTAATCTTATAATAAATATTGTTTTAAATATAAATTAAATATTAAAAAAAGAGATTAAAAAAATTAAATTAATAAGTCTAATATAATATAATATTTAAAAAAAATTAAGAATGCCAACTTAAAAAAACAACCAGACGCACTCTTAATTTGTTATTTTTTAATTTTTGTTAACGGTCAAGAAAATTGAACGAAAAAAAAAAAGGAAAGCACGGAAATTTTTTGCATTAAATTTTAAAAATAATCAACTCTTAACTTAACGGTAATATTGCTTAATATTGCTTTAAATTTGATTTTGAACCATTTACTGGTTCTAATTTCTTCGTCTTTCCTTTCATTCTTCGTCTCCTTCGTTTCTTTTCTCCTTCCTCCTTCTCTCTTCTTTTGCGCCGCCGTCTTTTTTCTGGAGACGAAGTCCGCCGCCGCCCGCTGGAACAATTGGTGAGTTTCTTTTCTTTTCTTCCTTTCTTTTTCCTCTGCGCACGCTTGATTCCGATGAGAAAGCTTCTGGGATTCACTGGTGGTGGCGTTCCTATCTCCGGCTCCGGCGGGGCTTGTTAAACCGGTTGGCGTGCGATGCCAAGCCATTTCTATTGCCCGATGCCCCCGATTTTCCATGTTCTTTCTCGAAACCCTAATTTCAACTGTCTTATTCCTAGGTCCCATTCCCATATTCTTCCTCGAATCACTCTGGTTTTCCGAAGGATCGGCCCAATTGTATGTTCTTCTTTCCCTCCCTTTTAATCTCTTTAGCATTTTCTGGATGTTTGTATTTAACACCTTGCTATTTCAATTCAATCAAGAAGCAAGCCTCAAGTAATTGGAGGGTTAAGGTTTTGTGGGATTAGGTGGATTTGGATATTTCAATTTCAAGCTAGGGAATTTCAAGTCAAGGGTTGCTCATGAATTTTGTAGACTTCTCTATTTCAGAAAGCGCTTTGTATCTGGATTTCATAGTAAGTTAGAGATGGAATTTTCTTGTGCCTTATCCGATTGTTACAATTAAATTTCATCGGTTAATCTTTTCCTTCTCTTCAGTTTCATTTTTCTCAGAAACAAAAAGGAAAGAACGGTACAACTCTTGCTGTTGTATTAAAATTTGTTACTGAATCATTTAATTCTAGCCGATTTAATTATTGCATTTCATATTTCAATTTCAAGAAGTTTCATCTTCCCCTTTTTATGCAGTATTTTTATAATGAAATGCTTTCTTCATTTTCCTCCCTATTTTGCTAATGAACTCAAACGTGCCCTGTTATCAGATCGTGTTTTCCAGTGGATGGCTCTTGCAGTGTGCAACAAAAGAAACTAGTTTGGTAGGAAGTGAAAGTGGCATCAGATGTAAAATCAATGTGGCCTTACTGTGTGCAGAATGAGTTAAGAGTTTTATGAATTGGCGGCAGAAGGGGAGGAGATGGCTTTAACAGCAGAGATCTCAGTGCTGTCATAAAAGTAAGTGATTTTATTTTTTATTAGAACTATATTTTACTTAATGTTATTTTTAGTAAGTGTTTTAATTAGTTAATTTCATTTTTTCACTTATTAAAGTGGCCTAATATAGATTAATAATTTTTATTATTGATTTTTCACATTAAAATATGTTTTGAATTCTGTTACTATTTTCCATAGACAATTGCAGGTATGAGTTTGCTTTTAAATTTGATGAGATGCTAAATTGGGTGATTTCACAAATCATTCTTTTAAAGTGAAAAGTGAAATCTAAACCTTTAAGGGATTCTAGGCTACACAGTTGTATTTTCTTTATGAACTCACATTAAGGATAATGTGTTTAAGTATATGAGGGAATGTTTTGGGTATGTTTTTCTTTAGTTCAAGTGTTGTCATTTGTTCATTTCATATGTGTAGTTTTTTATTGTTGTTATTGGGTCGTCGTTTCCTTTTTTTTTTTCCAAATTTATCTTTAAAGTGTTGAACTCATGCAAAATTCTGTTAATGTTTTTTTTTCCTTCCAAATACGTCAAAATGAGTTAACTCTTGATAAAAACAATTTTGGAATTGAGGTTTGGGGTTCTCCTTTACAGAGTTACCGGGAGGGTGAGTTGGGTGATTTCACAAACTTTTCTTAAGTGTGGGGAAACCAAAATCCTAAATGTGATTTTTAAAACTATTGAGGTTTTGGATTTTTCTTTAAAAGTGATAGGGATGGTGAAGTGGGTGATTCTACAACCCATTCCTTTAAATGAAATGGAAAATCTAAACCTTAAATGTATTTTTTCAAAAAATAAAAAAATAAAATTGATCATTGTTTTCTTTTAAAGTCTGCTTTTCCACAAACCATTCTTTAAACATGGGGAAATCAAAATCCTAAATGTGATTTTTAAATATTATTTTTAATCTCTCGTAATTACTCTTGTCAGTCATAGTTGAACTACTGAGATTTTGGATCTTTCTTTAAAACTGACAGGTATGGTGAATTGGGTGATTCCACAATCCATTCCTGAAAGTGGAAAGAAAAATCTAAACTTTAAATGTGCTATTTCAAAAAAATAAAACAGATCATCGTTTTGCTTTTACACAAACCATTCTTTAAAGTGTGGGAAAATTAACATCCCAAATGTGATTTTTAAATATTCTTTTGATAATTGTTTATTCTCTGTAATTACTCATCTGTCATAATTGAACTATTGAGGTTTTGGATTTTTCCTTAAAACTGATAGGGATGTGAATCGGGTGATTCCACAATCCATTCCTTAAAGTGGAATGGAAAATCTAAATTTTAAATGTGTTTTTTCAAAAGAAAAAGAAATAAATAAAATTGATCATTGTTTTCTTTTAAAGTTTGGTTCTCCACAAACCATTCTTTAAAGTGTGGAGCAACCGAAATCCTAAATGTGATTTTTAAATATTCTTTTGATAATTGTTTAATCTCCGGTAATTACTCTTGTATGTCATAATTGAACTATTGTGGTTTTAGATTTTTCTTAAAATTGAAAGGGATGGTGAATTGGGTGATTCCACACCCTATTCCTTAAAGTGGAATGGAAAATCTAAACTTTACATGTGTTTGCTTTTACACAAAATATTCTTTAAAGTGTGGGAAAACCAAAATTTTAAATGTGATTTTTAAATATTCTTTTGATAATTGTTTATTTTTCGTAGTTACTCATATGCAATAGTTGAACTATTTAGGTTTTAGATTTTTCTTTAACGGATTGGGATGGTGAGTTGGGTGATTCCACAAACCCTCCCTTGAAGTGGAATAAAAAACCCAAACCTTATATATGTTCTCCAAAAAAATAAAAAAGTAAAGTGGAATAAAAAACCCAAACCTTAAATATGTTTTTCAAAAAAATAAAAAAGTAAAACTGATCATTGTTTTCTTTCCCCTAATTACTCTTGGGTTATCCTTTGAAACTAAAGGGGTGGTGAATTTGGGTGATTCCTAACACCATTTCTTGAAGTATGAGGCGAAACCTAAACCTAAACGTGTGTTTTTCAAATAAATAAAATAATTCAGTATTGACCTCTTTCTTGTAATTACTTACTTTTGCCCGCCAAAGCTAAACAATTGAGGTTTTGGTATCTCTCTTACAACTGACGAGATGGTGAATTTGGTCTATTTCACAAACCCTTCCTTGGAAGTGGAATCGAAAACCCAAACCTTTAAATATGTTTTCCAAAAAAATAAAGAAGTAAAACTGATCATTGTTTTCTTTCCCCCAATTACTCTTTGGTTATCCTTTGAAACTAAAGGGGGTGGTGAATTTGGGTGATTCCTAACACCATTTCTTGAAGTATGAGGCAAAACCTAAACCTAAATGTGTGTTTTCAAATAAATAAATAATTCAATATTGACCTATTTCCTGTAATTACTCTTGCCCGCCAAAGCTAAGCAATTGAGGTTTTGGTATCTCTCTTTCAACTGACAAGATGGTGAATTTGGTCTATTTCACAATCCCTTCCTTGAAGTGGAATAGAAAACCCAAACCTTAAATATGTTTTCCAAAAAAATAAAAAAGTAAAACTGATCATTGTTTTCTTTCCCCCAATTACTCTTGAGTTATCCTTTGAAACTAAAGGGTGGTGAATTTGGGTGATTCCTAACACCATTTCTTGAAGTATGAGACCAAACCTAAACCTAAACGTGTGTTTTCAAATAAATAAATAATTCAGTATTGACCTCTTTCCTGTAATTACTTTTGCCCGCCAAAGCTAAGCAATTGAGGGAAAGGATTTTCTCCACTGGTACTTTCAGAGAAGACTTGCAAGATTTGGCCCTCAGCCCTCCCAAAATTTGCTTGATTACTTACTATTTGACTTGGCAAGGGAAAATGTCTCTCAAAATTTAGAGCCACTGGACTCTGGCATAAAATGGGTATGATGTCACATTCATTGGCTACAATGACTCACAAAGGAAAACTACCACAACGCAACAGGTAAGTTTTTTTATCACCCTGTCTTTATCAAGGCACTCTATGATAATTATGCTTTCAAAATTGCTAGTGTATTCTCCTACTAACGGATTTGTTTATGTTATTTGGTTTAGTCGATGATTGGATGTGGGTTTAGGTTTGGGCATCTTGTGGTTTTTGTGGTTTGGAAGTAACAGCAATAATTAAATCAATCAATATGGCTGGTTACACCTCGCTTCATTTGACCCTCACTATTTTGTACAGGGATTGAAACTTCGGCTGCTCATTTCATCCAAACACTACCCAATGCGAAGATATAGCCTCAAATAAATGTTGGTATGTTGTTTTATCGCTTCTTTTTATTGTTTGGTTCTTCCTTGTTAGGTTGTGGCATGTGAAGAGTTATTTTTAGTTTAATTTTTTATAATAATTCCAATTCTTACATATTATGTTCGGCCAACAAAGGGATTGGGTTGTTTACCTGTTTGGCAGTGTAATGTTGGGCTAAATTGTGTTGGTGATGTGGTTGGGCTAAACATACTATGCTGGTATGTTTTTGTACTGCCTTTGTTTTGTTGTTTATATTATTTTCCATATTGTTTGTAGTTGTATGTTGTGTTTATATATGATATGGTATGCTTATGATGTCTTTTTTAGTTCTATGTTGTTTGTATTGTTATGCTTCATTGTTTGTCCTTATTGTATGTTGTGTTTATGTATAGTATGGTGCCACTTGTAGTATACTTTTGTGTTCCTTATGATGTTTTGTTTGTGTTTCGGTGTCATGCTTATATAGTATGGCCAATTAATGTGACATAAATTAGATTCAATTAATGCTGTTTACCTGAATTTGTTTGTATGACCATGTTGTGTTGTTTGTGTTGATCATTAGTTTCGGTCTAGTTCTTGCCTGTTATGTTATATCTATTCTGTATTTAAATATACTAAGCTTTTGGTGTCTTTTTTGTTGATTTTGTTGTGTTGTCTGTATTGTTTTTCTGTATTATTTGGGCCTGTGTGGTGTTTATTTGTCCTGCTTTTGTTGTGTAGTTTGTATTATTTTGCTTGCTTTATTCTTTGTCTGTTGTGTTTATTACATAATATGGTGTGCTTGTGGTGTCCTTTAGTATTTTATTGTTTGCATTGCTATCTGTGTTGGTGTTGTGTTGTGTTTATATATATATATATATATTAGATTCAATTTGTTTGTGTGACAATGTTGTGTTGTTGAGTCATTTGTTTCGGTCTGAGTTTGTCTGTTATGTTATATCTAACCTATGCATAAACATACTAAGTTTGTGGTGTCTTTTTTGCTGCTTTTGTTTTGTTGTTTGTGGTTGTGTGTTTTGTTATATATATGGTGTGCTTGTGGTGTCTTTTTGTATTGTATTGTTGTGGTACATTGTTTGTATTTATATGTATGGTATGGTGTGTTTGTGGTCTCTTTTTGTGCTTCTTAAGGTTGTTGTATTATTTGTGGTTGTGTGTTGTACTATTATTTGTGCTTATATATAGATAGTATGGTGTGCTTTTGGTGTTTTTTGTGTCTGTGTTGTTTGGTTTGTTATAATATTATTAGTGCTTATAATGCTTATATTTATATATGGTATGGTGCACTCGTTAAGTCGTTTTTAAGCTATGTTGTTTGTGCTTGTACGTTGTATTGTTTGTATTGATCCATTTGTCTCGTTTTGAGTTTTCGCTGGCCGTATGTTAATATCTAATTTATATTGTTTACATACTAAACTAAAGGTGTTTTTTTGGGTTGCTTTGTTGTGTTAATTTTATTTTGCAGTATTGTTTGTGTTGTGTTATAGTATGGTATGCTTGCGGTGTTTATTCTTAGGCTGTATTTATATTTGGAAGGTTATTCCTTTTTGTACTTGTCTTGTGTTTTTTTGTGTATCTGTAGTGTGTTTAATGCATGGTATGTTTATCCTTCCTTTTTGTATTCTTGGACATTTATCATTTTTTTTTTATTTATTTATTTTTATTTATTTATTTTTTTTGTGTGTGTTATTTTCCTGTATTATTTGGCATCAATATTATTATACTAATTTTTTATATTGATTTATTTTAATTTTAGTAATTGCCATAGTTAAATGATATTATTATTTTTTTTAATATTTGAAGAAGAAATGATGAGTAAAAGATAAAGAGATTAGGCTCGGGTATAATGTGTCTGATATTATCTTTTATTATTTTTTCTAACTAAAAATGTATGTGTTTATTTTATTTTGCTATGTTTGTTTTATATAAAAATTTGATAATTGTTATTAAAATTTACTGTTTACATATTGAAGTTGTTATAAGTTGGATAATTATATAGATTTGCATTTAATATGTAAATATTATTATTAAATTCATAATTAAATATTTTAAAGTTTTTAATTAAAAATTCCAATTTAAATACTTTTTGGTGAACTTTATCTTTTAATTTTTTATTTTTTTTATTATTATTTTTTTTGTAATAGGTATAATTTGGTATATTTTAAATTCTATGATTTCATAAAAATTATTGGGTTTGTACGGTTTTGATTTTTAATTGGATTCAAATAGTAGTTTAATATAGTAGTTGGTGAAAAAATAGTATATTTTTAAAATTATTTATATTACACTATTGTGATGTTATACGTATCACTAAACTTTTATGTATTTTTTAAGATGCATAGTTAAGTATTTGTCTAAATTATTTTACTACTATTTGAAATTTATTTTTGTTATATATGTTGATAAATTTTAATGATTTTTATGTATTTATTTTATTAGTTATGAAGATAAAATTTTATAATGTTAATTAATTTTTACATATTTACATCTTTTTAAAATATTTATATTAAATGATTATGAGTTTTTTTTTTCTTCTTGAAAAAATTATGATATTATGACTGTTCTTGTAAAATTTATTATTTTACTTATAATTGTATTTTTGCTTTTACAAAAAAAATTAAAAAAATAAAAAAATCAATCTACTTAACAATTATTGTTTGATGTGTTGGTTGTTGTTTTTTTTTCTTAAATTATAAAAACAAAGTAAATGGTCTTCACATTATTATAAAAGATTCTTTTATATATATATATTTAAATTTTTTATTTTTGATTGGTTAGAATATTTATAAAGGTGTAGTCCCTATTATATTTATCTATTATTTTTATTTCAAAATCAAATGTATACCTGTTTTATTTAAAAATAATCATGTTTTTAATTAGACAAAGTTAAAATTATAGTAATTTATATATAGAACTTAATAAATATATTTTAATTAGGTTAGATAATTTAAAAATTGTAAATATACTTTATAAAATTTTTAAATAAATTAAAAAAGTTTAATAAAAATAAAATAAAATTGATTAGAACGTTCCATTATAAGTATATTATATATTTAATACTAGTGTGAAGCGGCTTTAAACTGTTAACACAAGTAAAAAGCTTAACTCTACGCCATGTTGCGTGTGTGTTTCTAACAAATTTTTATATGCTCTCTAAGGGTTTGTTTGTTTGAAAGTTTAGATTTTAAATACATTATTTTTTATTTTTTATATTATACTAAAAATTAATTTTATATTTAAAACATCACATCAATATTTATTTATATTATATCATACAACTATTCAAATTCAAAACTTTTACTATTGAAACTTTTTCGAAACATCATTTGATTCTTTATGAATTTAAAACATGTTTTGTTTCTACCCCTTTTCTTTTAGGGAATTCAGCTTGTGTATTTCTTACAAGTTTTTCTTTCATTAATATTAAAATAAACTCAAATCACATCAAAAGAATTGGAACTGGAAAAATATTTAAGGTGTGTTTAGTTGGCTTTCCGGTTATATTACGTCATATGAGATTTACTTAAAAATTTATTTAAATTTTTTATTTTTATCTCTTTTCTATAAACAAATATATTTATATGTATTCAAAATTCTTTATTTATTTGTAAATTAATTTATATTAATTATAAATTAATATTTATAGTGTTTATATATTTGTATTATATAAAATTTTATTTTATTTATAAATAATATTATATATTTTATTAAAATATAATTATTAAAATAATTAAAAACATATTTTTAATTTTTTCAATCATATATATTATATCATAAATAAAATATTAAATTAATGACTCCTAATCCAACTTTCAACTCAACAATCAAACCTGGAACCAAACTCACCTTAATTATGATCAAGCTCAACATCCATGAGATAAGAGTTAGGATATCTAAAGAAATTCATTAATACATAATACTCCTTGTGTCAAATTAAACTATACATATCTTTATTTTGGATTATTGTTTAATTATAAAATAATTTTTTTTTTTTTTATCAATTATAATTTTTTCCTTTTTTTTTAGTTTTCAAATAAATATTCCTATTTTATCATCACACTATTACTGTTACACAAAAAAATACTAAAACTGTCTTTACACCACTTTTAATTTTGTAATAAAAGGGTGTGTTTGTTTGGGGGATTTTCTCTAAAATATACTACTCATCCAATTTTTTTTCCCAAAAAATATCAAATCAAACACCTATTTTTTATTTTTTTATATTATACTTAAAGTCAATTTTACATTCAAAACATCACATTAATACCTATTTATATCTGTCATGCAACTATTCAAATTCAAAACTTTTACTATTCAAATTTCAACTCAAAATTCAAACTCCAAACAAACACACCCGAAAATTGTCTTTACAATACTTTTAATTATCTGCAATTACAATAGTACTATTATTTTTTAAATTATGCTGCAAAAGTAAATATATACTTTCAAACAAACGGCCCGGAATATAGACATTGATAATTCAGTCCCTTTAAATTTCCCCAACAAACATTGCACATGAATGGCTTAGTAGAAACTTTTTTGTACTAGAAAAGGATTCAACAAATACAATCCCAAGATTTTCAAGAAAACAAGTAACATACACACAAGTCCAAAAACCAGCAAGCAAACACACTTATTATAAACTCCATAACCTCATAAACTTCGCAACCTTCTCCATTTTATATAGAAGTACACAAATACCACATCCCACATATCTTCGACTAATCTGAAGAAAACTATTCTCCAAGGCTTCTTCAAGATCAATACAGTGCATGCAGTTGATAATCCCACAGTATATCCCAAAGAAATAAACACATAAAGCCATAGTACCTCAGAGTCATTGTCTTCATGGTCATCTTCGTCTCTTGGTTTCGAAAATTGGGTTGGATCATAGCTGCTGCAATTGTTGGTCAGTGGAGGGCCACATAAACTGTTACCTACAAAGCTTGAGGGATCAAACCCTCGGATTTGGGTGCTTTCAGGTATCATTCCTGTCAAGTTATTGTAAGAAAGATTTAGAGAACTCAAAGAAGACATGATAGAGAAGCTACTAGGCATTTCACCATGAAGGGAGTTTCTTGATAAATCAAGAGATTCTAACTCCTTCATGTATCCAATATTTTTTGGGATTGATCCCATCAAGTGATTTCCTGACAAATTTAGCAATCTCAATTCCTTCAGACTTGCCAATTCATTCGGAATTTCCCCAGACAGATTATTATTTGAAAGGTCGATTCCAGTGACCATGGAAAGAATGGTATCATACTGCATTCTCCTTCCTTTGGCAGTGAAGAATACACTCTCCATCATTACCCAAAACACAGCACTGATAAACCCTTCTTCGTCGCCAGCCTTTTTTTCTGAAACTGTTGTGTTCACCATTGCAGTGAAGTTGTCAACACATTGAGGTATGGTACCAGAAAATTGATTGTTAGAAAGATCCAAGATATGAAGTCCCTTTAAGTAACATATATTCGAGGGGATCTTACCGCTCAACCTGTTTGAACTCAGAATAAGAAACTTCAGATAGGGAAGACTTGTCCCCATCCATGTTGGAATGTTCCCATCAAGATCGTTACAACTGAGATCAATCTTCCGTACATATGTGCAGCTCATTAAAGAATCAGGTATTTGGCCAGAGAATTTGTTCCCATACAAATTCAAAGACAGCAGGCTACTGAGTCCTCCTATGGAGCTGGGAATCCTGCCGGAAAAGTTGTTATCACCTAAATCCAGAAACTGAAGTTCCGGAAATTTCATCCAACAATCTGGTAATTCCCCACTCAACTTATTCCCACCTAGAAAAAGCATGATGATGTTGTATGTTGCATTTGTTGGATCACACAAGAATCGAGTTATACCTCCCATCAACAAGTTATCGGACAGATCTAGTGTGCTGGCATCCGGTATACGTGGCATTGGTCCACTGAATCGATTGGAGCTCAATGAGAGATATCGATAATCATCTTCAAAAACATTTACATCTGGAATATGGCCATGAAAATTATTATGAGAGAGGTTCAGAATGCGAATCTCCCACATCCAATTTGGAACTGTACCTGAGAGTCCAGTGTCAGATAAATCAAGAACAAGGATGTTCTTTTGTGTTTCAAGCCACGACGGTATCTGACTGCCTGAACCCAAGTTCCATGATCCCAGACCCAGAATTGAAAGTTGGAAGGGTGGAACCCAATCTGGTTTCACCTTCAGACTCAAATGGTTTCTAGAGGCAAACAAACTTTCCAAATTTGTGAGATTACCTAGGTGATTCTCATTCACAACCCCTACAAACATGTTATCCTCAATGGAAATAGCATCCAACTTTGAAAGTTGCCCCAGCCACTCAGGAATGTTTCCGACCAGCTTGTTTCTTGACAATCCAAAATAATTCAAGGATGACAATTTTTGTAGGGTAGTTGGAATAGCACCAGTAAGTTGATTTTTCTCAAGAGTTAAATGTTTCAAGTTTGTGATATTTCCAAGTGAATCTGGTATTTTTCCGGAAAGCAGATTTTGAAAGAAATCTAAGGTGCTGACAGTGCTTAAATTTCCAATATTATTGGAAAGTGTTCCGTCCAATGAGTTTCCAGAAAAATCGATGGTACGAAGGTATTGGCAAGAGTAGAGCCAATCTGGAATGGTGGAATAGAAATAATTGAAAGAAAGATCACTGTGTCGGAGATTGGTGGTGTTACTCTCACTTGGAATCGGACCTTCAAAGTTGCTATGGCTTAGATCAAGATATATAAGATTGCTAAGTTGAAAAATCCATTGGGGCACAACAGAGTGAAACTCATTTTTAGAGAGATCAAGAATTGTTAAAGAAGTAACATTAACAACATCCACAGGGGCAAAAAAGTTGAGATTGCAAGACTGCAGATGTAACTCGATCAAAGAAGGGAGTCTGTTGATCACCTGTGCCCAATTCCTTGCATTGCTGAGATTCACACCATTCATGTTGAGGTGCTGGAGTTGGTGGAGTCCCAACAGCCAATCAAGGCTGTCAGCAGTGAGGTATGATGATTCCAAACCTAATGTGTGTAGATTTGAAAGATTTCCAACTGTGTGAGGAATGGTTCCATGAAATCCAGCATTAGATAAATTCAAGTAGCTTAAGTGCATGAATAGTCCAATGAAGGAAGGAAACTTCCCTGAGAGGTTATTCCCACTCAGATCAAGAAACCTGAGATGATTAAGGTTGAGTAGGGAAGAATTGATCTTGGCATTTAGGTTATAACCTCGAAGATGAAGTTCGAGGACATGGCCAGTGAAATTGTTGCAAACTACGCCTTTCCAGTTGCAACAGTTAACTTCATCAGCCCAAGACGACAACAGATTGGAGGGATTTTCTTGGGATTGCTTCAAATCCAAAAGGGCTTGTTTTTCAATCTCTTGACACACAATCATAACATCTCCAACACATGAACAATAGTTTAGCTTCGAGAAAAAGAACAAGTAAAAGAAAGAGGCAGAGAGCAACTCTAAGGCAGTCAACATTTTAGAATTGGGCAAGTTCATAGTTGGTATTGTAGGAAGGGATCTTTGGGACTTATATAGAGATTGATCTTCTGAATCAGACACCAAATTTGGTTAGTCTGAAAGGAAGATGAAAGACTCGTATGGAGACTGATCTTCTGAATCAGTCGTTGATAAAGCAACTTTTCATGTTGAGAAAAAAGTAACATCTATCAACGACTTATTTGTTGTAAGTCTTTGTGAAATTTAATATTTTCCATCAACTGGTACTGATCCTTGGAGAAAATGGCAAAAAACATTTCACACGCTCCATTATTACTTTTGTCCTGCATTTATCTTATTAGTAAAATATATCCTATATGTTTTTATTTCTATCATTTGGCTGCGTGTGCTCGCGCGTGGTGTGATCATCACGCGCGGCCAAAGAACTGAAATAGTGACTTTTGCAAACATGTAGGATATATTTTGCAGTGATAATAAAAGTTACGTGGATATTTTTTGCAATTTTTTCCTGATTCTTGTCATCAGGATGATGATGATTCCACATATACTGTTTAATAAAATATATTTACTTATGAAAAATTCAAAAGTACATGTACAGATTATATTTTGTTACATTTTCAATTTAATGATATATAAGCAACATATATTAGCAGTCTAGCACGGCACAATGTGCTCTGTCAGCAGAGTCACTGGTATTTCTTGAGCACAAACATGAGACAAGAATATGGTAGTTATAATAGGGAGGTCTGGTGAAATTAAAAAATAAATTTCTGTTGGTTCAGACTGGATTCTGAGTTATCAGTATAATCTCTTATCAGTCTCCCTTTCAGAAAAAAAGATTAGGATTGGAAAAAAGATTCAAACTCAAGTCTGGGGACACTTACGTCCTCTCCTTGTCCCATTGCCATTTCACAAATTTACACAATAAATTCTATTTAAACACACAAAACACATCCTGAGTTATACAAAAAATGTGCTAAAATTCCAACAATCTTCAGCATATTGATATAAATAATTAATTTTGTAAATCTAAAAGCTGATGTCTAGTCTAAAATTGCCTTTTAAGTGGAGACCAAGTCTAAAAGGAACATAAAGTGGCTTTCAGTTTTAAATGTTGGTATTTTATAATATATCTGAACATAGAAAGAAAGATGCTTTATCAACTTTAGTTATGCATTTTCCCTCAAAATATTATAGGCGAATTCAATCTATAATTTTTTTTTTAGCACTTTCAAGATGTACATAAAGGAAGAAAAATTATATAAAGTCTTCCAAGAAAGATGAACATGAATCTAGCTAGTTTATTATTATTATTTTTTTAAAACAATACTGTATTCACACAACTAAATGAAAATAAACAGTGTTGATTTTCAAGTAAAATAAGTGCTTTATTGTAATGAATCTTGAATAAATGACAACTAATAAAAATAAAAGATCCAGCACCAGCCCTTGCCATTGAGCTCTCCAAGTGACCTATTCTTCTAAATTTTGTAGTTCCATATATACAATATTCTTCTCAGTCACTACATTGAACAGGTTGTGGGTGTAACCTAAGTTTCCTAATTATCCATAGGACGTATGGTTCTGTGTCATTTCATCGATCATCTTGTGGGCACAATCCAAGTTCCCTATATCCAACTTGAATATGTGTCCGGAATTTACAACCTCTATTCCGAATGATAGTTCTAGTTTACTAAACCTAAATTTCAATGAAAAAATAGCAGCACTCCGAAGTTACAAGGACTAGCTTACCACAATAAGAGATCCTTATAAATGATTTACATGATATATATTCTTAACATTCATATTTCTAGTCGAAACACATGATATATTTCATTGCAGAACAGTACTGTGTATTAGTTTGTTAATAATACCTTGAATAGATCTAACAGCAAATATACATAGAAGATCATCTACCAGAAAGCGCTGAACAATCGACATTTTTTTTCCCGAAAATCGAGCAGCTCTAGTAAATTTGGTGAACGTTCTCCGAATTTAGGAGCTTTATGCTTCTGAGGCATTTCATCGAACATGTTGTCTGCAGAATTGAAACTTCCTATATCTGGCGTTTTAACTATCATGAATGAATGAATCTAGAAGCTCTGTTACTTACTCTGATCAGTTTCATTTCATCGAACACATTGTGTGGATAGGATAACCAAAATTTCATATATATAATTTTTAATCGAGAAGCTTTATTCTTATGGTCATTTCATCGAACATATTGTGTGCATAATCAAAATTTCCTCTATCTTTCATTTTATCGACGTTTATGATTCTGAATCGTCGAACACGTAGTGTTCATGATCCGAGCTTCCTCATCATTAATCAAAGGAGAAATCCAAAACATGATGAATTGTGCATAACACCAAAATATGAGAAAAAGAAAATTCGGTTGCCATACCTGTAAACGTCGCTGATTACCTCCTTCTCCATCAATCCCTACCTACATTGCTCCCCTGCAATAATACGTTGACAAAATCAATTTTCACGAGCGTAAGTGAATAAAGAGGAAGAAGCAATACGTGCGTCGGTAAAATTATGGAGAATTTTTAATTACTCTGCTTCAAGTAGGTAATGTCACTGCACAGTTAGAGCCTCCAAGTCGAACCAGCTGTGATTCACCTTCTCTATGTCGTGTCGCTGTCGCAGGTGTTCTTACGACGTCGTGTGACACACATACATTCACCTGCATCTTCACATGGGATGGAATTCGTGTGCCCTAATTTCGAGACACGATTGCAACTCATCAGATGTATTAGAAGCCATGTTCATGAGCTTCAACATAATAAATTCAACAAGATCTTTCTTAATTTTCTTACAGCTGTGACTCTGAACTGATTGTTGCATTATTACCAGGTGAAACCAAATCAGTACTATGCATACATTCCCACCTGTCCCTCAGTTTCTCTGCAGGTTCTGAAAGTGGGGCCCAATCGAACCAGACCTGCCTGGTACATGCATGCACCATATTCATAAGCTCCAAGAAAATTTGAGTCGAGAGGAAAATTGTGAGGAACAGATCGATGTGGGCTCAAAGTTGCGATGATATTAATTAATTAATTAATTACAGAGTTTGGAGGATCCCACATTAATTGTTGATTGTTGTTTATCCTCTTCAGGACAGGACAGCCCTATGGCGATGGCCCATCACAAGCTGTCTTTTTCTTCCCTAATCTTCTCTTTGTATTGAATATATGATGATGATCTATCCAAATGCAATGCATCTTCTTCCTCATTCTCATAACCATTTCTTTTTCTTCTTCTTCTTTCTTTCTTTCTTTTTTTTTTTTAATCTCTCTCTCTCTCTCTCTCTCTCTCAATCATTCATGTAATCAATTGGCAACATCTTCGAGATTGTGTGTTCTATATGGCTTGTCTTGTAGGCGCCACTTGGTTGCGTCGAGTTGGATACGGCTGTGTTTTTTTGAAAAGGACGTGTTCATATTCTTTCTCCTCGATTGAGAAAGAACGGAGACATTAGGATAGACGTTGGTAGTTTATCCTCGACAGAATTTGTAATTGCCGCGAGATTATTTGTAGTAAACCAACAGCTAAAACATACGAATCGACATAGGTTATTCTAGCGACCCATGGGTTATTGTGTTGTCCGCGTATCAAAAATAGGCAAACAATATATAGTTTCAACTAACACGGTTAGCTTACGGTTTATATTTATAGGATTTGTTGTGTTAATATATACTGTGTAGACAATTATCAATTTTATTATTATTTTTTTTTAATTGTTGTTGTATCATGTATTATATATTATTATTGCAAATCCCATGTAATGTCACTGCACATATTTCAGTATATATTGTGTTATAAAATAGCATATGCTGAATTATAATATAATATATGTTGTATTATAAATATGATCGAAATATGTATTTCTATAACTTATGTTGATCTGGTCAAATGAGCAGAAGCTAATGCATGCCCATAAAATAATAAATCGAACCACACATTTATAGCGAGTAGTTAATGTGTAAGTAAATTGTTTGAAACACTATCTCTATCTTTAGATTAGATTATAGATTCCTTTTTTTGGACAAGTGTTGTATTGTATTGTTGCTGTTTGATGTCCCTACCCATCTGAAGATGTATTAATTATTATAGAGAGCTGTCTAGTGATCAAAGCAGGACATATATTACACCAAGAGACAAGACATCAACTCATGAAAACGACCCTCAAATTTTTGAAAGAAAACACCACTTGACACCAGGCCAACTCTTCAATCACACACACACAAACACATAATAATAATAATAATAATAATTATTAATACTTTCTATAATTCACATTTCATGATAATGTTAATGTCGTTGAGACATAACTACTTCACTTCTTTGCCTGCTGTCTGTATAGATCTCTGTCTTATTACCAACAGTTTACTCGATCTGCACCTGATCCATATATTGTCCGTCGTCGAAGAAGGAATTAAGGCGACGTAGAGTAGAGTTCGATCGATCCATCATATGCCCATCTTTTGCTATAGATACACTATGAACAAGTGTCTTTCTTTCTTGTTTAATTTCTTGGGTCATTACAAGTTTAATCGAGACAAAATTAGGGAAGAAAGAAAAAAACAGAAAAAACTCCGGCCTCTTCATCTTTCTTGTGATAATTGAGGATAAACCCCAAAATTTAGACACATCGAAGTAAGCCCATTTTGAACTTTGATCGGTTCAAATGCTTTTTCTCTCTGCATAACATTTTGAACATTAAGTATACAGATAACACATAATATAATTTTGTACAGTACACATGCGTATATATTTATAATAAAGTAATGTGTTTGATCTTTTTGTATGTAATAATTCGAAAAAAAAATCAGAAAATCAGCATAATAACAATTTGTCCACATTCAAAAATAATAATAATAATAATTATTATTATTATTATAAATCATTCTATTCTAAATTAATTACTATCTTAGCACAATATTATACATTCTAATCACTCATTTGTCGATAAAAAATAAATGTCTAAAACTAATGGACTCACCTGCATTGCCTCCAATGCATCGGTCTCGGAGTTGAAGTCGTAGAAAGAGCTAGCGGCAGTAAGCTTCATCGACAGAAACTGAATAAACAGAGATGAATAAATCATGTAAAATTTGGACAAGATCAAAATTTATATTTTGGTGTTAGAAAACTGACTTCGACTTGATTCTGTAAGGACTGAACATAGTTGATGATCTCGTCCAACATCACCGCCATTCCCATGGTCTGTCGATGAAGCCAAACATCAACTTAAATCAATCCAAGAAAAAGAATGCAATGTAAGAGAATTAAGTAGGATGAATGATGAAGGCAGGGCAGGGCAGGGCAGATGATTAAGGTTATACCTTGTAGCATCCGGGGACGATGTCCTGTAAGCATCTCAACTTCTCGTTGATCCTCTCTCTTCGGACCTGATACGAATATATAAATCTGTTACAAAGAATTCGTATTGTGGATATGTGTTGTGTATATTGTTAGCATGTTTTGTCATTGTATAGCTCTGCTACAAAGAACATCATTTGTCTTAAAAATATTCTTATATTTGTATAATTATAATTTACTTTACAAATGTCATTGTATTTGTATTATAAGAGACTACTAGAGATATTTTTGTCAATTTCTCTTAATTTGTACTACGTATTAATATAATAATTAATGTTCAAAGATCTACTATGAGCCGGAGGGAGTATATTATGTTGTGTTAACATAAGATATGCGCTGAAATCAATTATTACATGTGTTGTGTGAATTATTGTCACTATCGAGGTTCATATGATGTATTAAATTATACTCCATTAAAGCAGAAATCGTGCTCTTTGTTCATATTGTGTGTCGTCAGTTTATATAATATATATATTATCTTAACATAATTAATATACGGAATTTAATTTATATACCCTCTCTGCTAGACTATGGCTGTCTGTGGCTTGCCCTCTCTTGGCTCGGACATGGACAACTCCGGCTCCGGCTCCCTTTGCCGCGGTATTGCTGCGTTTGGCTTTCGTGTCTGGTCCTAACCGCTGGTGTAATAAGTAATAACCATAGACAGACAGAAAAGAGCAGATCAGATAATTGATTAGAGAAGATAGAAAAATTGAAGGATGAATATAATTAAATAGACCTTTTTGTGATGGTTGTTCAATGGTATTCTTTTTGTTTGATTGAGAATCTGATTGTGATGAGTGTCGATGAAGAATCCAGGAGGGTTTGATGATGAGAATAATGAATCTGAATTCGAATCAGAATCAGTAGCCTGCAGCTGCTTAAGGGTTTCCAGGCTTCCTTCTGCTGTCTGCTGCTGCTGCAACTGTTGTAAGAACAACTCGTCGCCCATAACTAATGACTTTATTTTTTGCTTCTTTTTCAGTCAGGGTTGCCTGCCTGCAACTTATCTTATAGTAATTGATATATATAGACATATATATATATATATAGTGCGCAAGGTACTCTATTTTGATTTATTTATATATAATTACAATACAAAAATTGACGATAAATATAATCTCGATCAATATATATATATAAAATATTTATATAATAACAATATGAATTGATCAGCTCTCATGTTATACTTATTAAATAAAAATACATGTGCTGTAACGGATGGCCCGGTGGTGTACGGATGGACACCCGACGCCTCCAGGTATTGTCTATGACTTGTTTTGTCGAATTTAATTTGCATGCTGTTATATTCGGTAAGAATTTATCCAGAGCGCAGATTTTCACGTTATAAAATATATATATATATGGTGTATGTCTATTTTATATGTATAGGTCATTACCACTACCATAGCTGTATATAGATAGATATGTATGTTATGTGTTGTGTGTATTGTAACGTAGTGTGTGTATGTGTATATATAATTGGATATGACATGGGATGGGCCAAGATTACAATGTCTGATCACTGACCAGGGTCTAGCTTTACCCTTTATTTTGGTTTTTGTCTCTTGGTGGGACTCGTTAGTATTTTAGAGAAAAATTTTGAAAATGGATAAAATTGATTTACTTTATTTATTTATTTTTATATTTTTGTTTGGACGACATTGATTAACTGGAAAATTTTGATCGTTACTAAGATGCATTACAAATTTCAATACGATATTGACATATAGTGTTTGACAGTTTATATGATATAATTACAACAATATATGATTTATAGATACGAATCATATAACAATTAATTAAATATAATAATTCTGTGTATAACACCTATGGAACTCTGGAAAGGCTTTGCCAGTTTGACATATAAAAAGCATATTATGGAATGAAGAAACACACTACTTACGATCTTTAAGGATTGTAAACACATGCATATTGTTTTAGATGATGTAAACTACAGATTCACCGAAAAGTTTAAATTTATTAGGTATATGCATTAATTATTTATTTATTTATTCACAAACAGAAGTTCATTAGTATATACATATATATATATATATGGAGCCAAAGATACTCACCTCTTAATCCTCCAAGCCGACACCGAGAAAATTGACCGGCCATTCCAGCAGATCAAGGCGCTGCCGCGCTCCCCTCTGATCGAGCACCTGCCGCGGTTCGCGCTCTGCTGCAGCAACAGGTTCCCCTGCAGCAACCCGTAGGCGCTCACCGCAGCATTCTCAAAACCAGCCATATCTAGCCTCACTTTCCACTTTTCGAGCCTTTCCGACCTCTCTGTCCTCTCCGACCCCTCGCAGGCTATGATGTTCTTGATCTCCTCTCCAAACATCATTTTCTCAATCTTCAATCTCTCCCCAGACGTTCTTGGCAAAACTAACTGCAAACAGTCGAACAACGCAGCGTAGAAGTAGATGGACGCCGATAACCTCTCCATAAAGCTCTTGCTATTGTGATCCGAATCCTGCTCCGTCACCACCATGATCTTGGGAGACAGGCACCACAGATTGCTCACTACGCGATAAAAATTTGGCGAATAGAATTCAGACTGCGGCGATAATGCAGCCGTTTCGCTACTCGGGCAATAGCCAGCAGCATTAGGATTCCTCCCAATATACTCCCTTAACACTCCCTCATTCGATTGCGCATCCCTCTGCGAAGAACGTGCCACAGGGCCATTCATTGGTGTCGATCCAGAGTTTGTCCTAACGCCATTGTCGGGAGCCAAGAGAGTATGCAACTTCAATGAGGAACTAATAGCAACAGCCTCCCCTGTTTTGACGCGCAACTTCCCGGCATCGAGATTATCCAATTCGCAAACCACGGGGTTAAACTGAAACGGGAAGTTCAATCTCTCGGCTTCTTGAGTCAGTAGCTTCGACATGTGTTCCAACGCCTCCTTGCTTCGGTGAACGCTTGTTATCCTTAAATGAGGCGGGCCCCCCGGCCGGCCGCTAAAGTCCCGAATAAGGCCACACCATTGCAGAGGATCATCTGCATTCAAGTCTATCACATGAACCAAATTTTCACCCACCATCGACTCAACTATCGTACGGTTGCTCACCACGGCAGCAACCCTCATAAATGGCAGCAACTCATAAAACAACTTCCTCCCAACAGCTTCCTCGAAGAAATCGCAAGCTTTGGTGGAATTCAGAACCTTGTAAGCACAAGGCAATGTTCTGAAGATTTTATCAGCTAAAGACTGAGAATAATACAGAGTGATTCGCTGCACGGCGTCGCCACAAGGCGAGGCTAGGTGCAATATCTGACCTAGGGCGACGTTAGCTACACGAAGATCTGCTGAAGCCACGTGATGCGCGCAATAGAATACCAAATGAATCAAATACAATCCTCTCTCTTCTGAATTTAGATCATTGAGCATTGCATAGGGTAATATTGATCCAGGCGACGTCGACATTAGAGGAAACCCTAGCAATTTTAAGGAAGACGATGACGAAGACTGGTCGCCTCGCTGAGCCATATCTACGAACACAATGAGAAACAAAACAGATATATACGTGTATGGAATATGTATCTATCTATGCACGTAGAGTTAACAAACTCAATCCACGCTTGATTTATGAACCAGTGGAGATCAAGAACAAATTAATGAACCAAGCGCCACACTCGCGACCTAATTACTGCGAATTAACTCCAATGAACCTTCCGAAATTCGAATCGGATGAAATTTCTGGAATCAAATACAAAATGAAAAAATTCCGGTTCCGATTACGAACAAAATCGAAGATATCTCCACGTCGCGCTCTGTTTTCCAACTCTGGAGCTAAAAACTGAGAATCAAAGCACGTAAATAACAGAGAACTACGCAGCGCAGAACGATCGGAAAAATTCTTCGAGCAGAGACACAGATTTTCTACTGAATGTACAGAAATGTAACTCCTGCGCGGGGTTTACATACATGTTGAAATGCACGAGGATACAACTTCCGATGCGTGAGGTTTCACTCGTTTATAGTTGGCGGTTTGGGGAATTTATTTGAAAGGATAGTCAAAGTGTAATAATTAGTATTTCCTTCACTTTCTGTTGTATGATACTGATACTGAATTTATTGAAAGAAAAAAATTTACCCCAAAAACTGGTTAATCATAGTCACATCAAAAATTGAATAGTAATAAATATATGACAACATTTTTGTGAGCGTAAAATTACACTAAATCATAATATTACAAAATATAGCATAATTAATATTGAAGAGATATAAAATAATATAATATAATATACATTTATAATCGAAAGTATTAGTACTACGTACTAAATTGAAAATGCGTGCATGCATGGGTGTAAAAAAAAAAAAAAAACAGACAAAACCTAAAAAATGTTGGCCGATTTTAAAATAAAATGATTTTATTTGATATGTGACAATATTAAAAGTAGTAGTACAGTGTTAAATAAAAGTAACATTACATATACAATACATATATGCTGTGCATGCTCAAAAACTAATAACTACTTGCTGCTATGACTATCCATTCTATCTATCGGTCATTATTATCTCTATCTAACAAACAATCACATTACATAATGTTATTACATCTACAAAAACTTCCAAAAGGCAATTAATAGATCGACATTATTATTTCATAAATCTTCACCAATGAACTCACCTCTTGCGTCCCACGGCCGGCTCTCGAACAATTTCCCAACCATGCTGCGCTTTCTATTTACAGTTCCTTCATCTGTCCGGTACTCTGGAAAGTAATCGATGAACGCTTTGCTCCCGAGGTAGTCGACTCCATTGAAGAGAAAATTCCTAACTATATCCTGCAGGAATTAATATAAATTATAACACAGCCATTTCTGTTTGCAAAAATACTTTAATAACTTTTGAAGCAATTTATCAACAATAATATTTTCAAAATAATATTACATCAAATACCAACTTTTTACTATTCTCCAAGAACTTACGAAATTTCTATCTAAAAGGAGACTATTGCATGTATATGAAAATTTAGTGGTCAAAGAAATGCAAAGAAGTAACACAGGTGCTGAATTATTGATCTAATCACAAATTGATTAGTACCTTCGCGAGAGTCTCCCCGACTAATCGGTTCAGTAGTTGCCGGCCTGGATCCTGAATTTCGAGTATTCTAGTTAGAAACTTCAAGAAATCATAATGCAAGGTTTGCCAAAGACACTGCACTTAGACTAATATTCTTAACTAAAGTTTATTGATTAAAACTCAACAACATTTTCAACTCCCTTCACAAATTCGAGCTCTTACATTGAAAGCTCGACTCAATTTAGCTCATTAACAATTCCAACTGGGATTACGAACTATATCACATTGATAGGATAACATAATTAATAGTTGTAACTGACTCTAACCTCAACCATGATTCTAAGCATGGCTCAAAACGATAAATATAAATGCCCACCATAAGCTACACATACACCCAATTCGAACCCCAAATTAATGTAACGAAATTACTTAAGTGCAAAACCAACCTTTTCTGCTCTCCACATAAGATACCTATGTTGTGCTTCTAGATTGATACTAATCTGGGAAAGGTCGGTTTCTTCCGAAGCTTGATGCATCAGCTCAAGCCATGACTGTGAAAGCGCATCATAATAAAAGATTAGATGGCCGTCGTGGGGCAAGATTCTTGTTCAAGAATCCAGAGATTCTTATCATTTTAAACCACAATAAACTGTGATTTTCACTACAATGTATTCCTGCATTTTTCCAACCATGATAGAGCGCCAAGCAATCACTATCATGATCTATATGTACCTTGAGATAATCCCTGAAAGCACAATACAATGTATCGTGATTCTGCTGGCTTGATGAAAATCTGGTCCAAATTACAATAGGTGAAAAAAAGTTCATGGATTCAGCAGTAAGCTTTCCTCCCCATGGAAAAAGCTGCATGAAATCTGTGTTAACATCACCGAACCAGGATATGTTATGTGCAAGCGATATAGCAATAATCCTTCCCTAAAAATCACTCAATACCACACTCACCTCGGTGTACTTAAGTCCAAGTTGAAATAAGTGTTTGTAGTACTTTTCCTTGTAGTTGTGCTGGGTGATGACATCATGCAATGGATTGAGGTCCCTGCAATCATTACAACTTCACTTGTAAGACCAAAATAAAAGCAGTATTTTCATTAGTTACCACCAATTACCTTAATAAACAATAATACACTACGATTGACTTCATCTCAGTGACAGTTTTATTTTCCTTACACAAGGTTTTGCTCTGTACTATGCAGCAGAACAGTTTTCTTCAATATGTAAATGCATAAGTTAGAAAAGTGTTAAAAGTCTACTATCTCATTTATGTGCTGGAATATAATCGATGATGTTTCTATATATTGTCTCTAAAGTAGCGTGAGGACAAGACATCTTAAATGCATTAAGCGATCAAGGATATTATTGTCTTGTAAGCGTATATCTTTTGGCTCAATTTAATGCGCGGATAGTGATCTTGTGTGAACTATATACATACATTTTTGTTTCAGAACATGAATAAGGTGACACAATTTTTTCCTAATAGGATAGATATGAGGCAAGGTGGCTTACAATACAACTATATTCATGTTTGCAGAAGTGAAAAAGTTGGCGCAAAAGATTGGAAGATCAAACTCCTGTCTGGGGAAGATGGCGAAATCCAACACCTGCATGACACACGTGAACATGAATTATGATGATCAAGTGAGCTAGGCAGATGAAAATAAGAAATCTACTTCTATATTTATAACTTCAAGCAAGATACATAAAACCAGTATCTTCAATCTCATGGCTTCTAATCAAGCAGAACCATATCTCATCTTTGCTTTTGATCTTCGGCTTTTTTTCATTTTTGATTTTTATTTTTTGGGGTGGAGGTGAAATCATATACAATTCATAAACACAATATCATAAACTGGGAAAAATCTAGAAAATAACCCAAGAGTATGCAGGAATTGTACACTAAACTCCAGGGAACAAATTATCTAGCTTTTCTACTTCAACAAGGCTTAATGCTATTGTAGAAATGCCCCCTTTTTAAGTGTCACTTTCATGTTGGACAGATTTACTGCAAGTCGCAGATAATTCAAACAAACCTGCATTCCATCACTTCCTTCAATGTACAAACTCCGGAGTAGTCTAATCTTAGGAGATTCGGAGGAACACATTTGAAGCTCTGTTTCCCCATCCATGGCCATCAAGCAATTGAAATTCTCCTGCAGAAGTTTAAGAGTTGCACTGCAGTACATTAGGGGAAAATTGATGAAAAAGAACATCGCCATATCCCAGTCGTTTTCAATTTTTCTTTAAATAATGTTGGATTTGTCGACCATTGCTGAATCCAATTTTCCAATTCCACAACTAAGAATCTACAATCTACAATATCTTACTTCACATATTCACAAAAAAATCTGATCCACGAAAAGAACATACGCTGGTAGCAAAACCTTGTAAAGAATACAGCATTTTCAAATTTTCACAGTATTGATACTACGGGGGGTGTTTGTTAGAATTTTACAATTATCAAACAGATTGTTTAGATTTATTATCTATCAATCTGCTTCAGGTATAGAAGTAGAACTATAAGAGTGGTGTTTGCCCACTATTTGATTCGAGAAAACGAAGAAATACCTGCAACGAGGAAGGAACTAGCTCGGCATGTTTTCCAGTTTCTTCCAAAGCAAAATCGACAAACTTTCTGTACGAACAACCCAAAGTCGCTTCTGCAGCATCGGACTTCATCACACAGTTCATTCTACAGCTCCTCGTGCTTGAGAATACACCGAGACTAAGAGTAATTGCAGTTCTGGTTTGTAATGGAAACTTCTTCGAAGTTGAGATAGCTCGAATTGACGAAACTGCGTACCGACAGGATTCCATCCCGAAGATGGCACAAAGTGCAGTTTGTACGGACGATGTACTGAAGATGAGATTTATCGGCGACGAAGAAGCGTGTTTTTAATATTTATTAAAAAGAGAATTTCATTAAACAGCGACTTTAATAAATACTAATTATTTTTATCGGAAAATTTTAGATTATAGACCTGATGCGGTTTTTAGTTGACTTCTTCAGGCACAAGTATGTGTATGACGAGTGTAGCGGGAATTTACATTTCTAGCCTTCATCAGCTCCGAGACGATAGATAAGACCTTTTGGAGGGGCAAAAGTGGAAAATCACAGTAACAACTGCCGCTTAACAACGACCCTCAAGCTATTTTGGTTTTGCATTGAGATATATATTATTCTTCGAGAATCCATTGCTCTCCGATCTCTACTCCTTTAATTTATCAAGAGATCTACAGAAAGATTAGTGCTTGAAGGACGATGCTTTACTAGCTGGGTATTTTTTTGCTGATTGTAGGCCTAATTTCGAGTTTTTTGTTTTGATTCCACAAAATAGCAAAACCAAAATGTATTGTTATAAAGGCTTTCTGTATTTTTCCTTTTATTGTTTTATCTCTAGAAATGATAAATATGTATTGGGGATTTAATGCTGGTTAGGTTAATCAAGTTTCTCATTGTTTGCTTGAACTGTTACTGGAATCTATTGAGTTTTTCGAGTCTTCTTTAGATTTAATCCAATGACCAATTCTTCCGTGCTTAACTGTTTGTTTATTTGAATCTGTGGTTATATGTAGCTGCCAAGTTTATATAGTTTGATCTGTTTTGGTGCTTTTTGTGCATAATTATTATCCAATGATTAAACATGAGAGAGGAACCTTTGGTGTTGAGAAAGTATATCTCTATCCTTGAATTTGATATAGCTAGGACTTCAAATTTGATGTTCTATGTGGATTCATGAAGATTAGCAGTTGTGTTTGAAGGACTTACATTTTTACTCTAAAGTACTTTGTTGGTTACCTTTTCTGCAGATTTGATCTCTTACCATTTACAGGATTATATGTTTTTGGCTAATAATTTGTCGATGCAGATTTGATTTGTTTTGTTACCTCTCTTAACCTTGTTTCCAAGCAGTCTAGTGTCCCTTTCTATTACCAAAACATTAGGCTAAATGATGAACATCAATCCAATTTCTTTGTACTCCATTTCTTTTGCATTAGCCTTCGTCTCATTCTATGTTCTAACCTATTTTCGCACTCGGCACCTTCAAAATCGATGCCCACAATCATACCCTATAGTTGGAAACCTCCTAGGCTTCCTCAGAAACCTCCACCGCTTCCATGATTGGGTAGGTGAATTACTTTCTAGCTCTGACTCCCTCACGATTCAAGTTAACGGTTTCCTTGGCCTCTCTCACGGCATTTGCACAGCCGACCCTGCAAACATTGAGCACCTCCTTTGTTCCAGCTTCTCTAACTACATTAAAGGCACTCGATTCAAATCTGGCCTCGATGAGCTCCTCGGAAATGGTATATTCAATGTGGATGGTGAACTCTGGCTGGCCCAACGCAAGATTTCCAGCCATGAGTTTAACACCAAGTCTCTTAAACGCTTCATCGCAGATATTGTCGAGTCTCAGCTCTCAAACCGGTTGATTCCTTACTTGTCTTCCATCTGTGACAGTGGCCGAGTGATCGATCTACAACATGTTCTGCAGAGGTTCACCTTTGATAATATGTGCAATGTTGCATTTGGAGTCGACCCTGCTTGCCTTGTTGATTCTGAGGAAATTAAGACCTCCTCAAACTCATTGTTCGTTCGTGCTTTTGATTATGCTGTGGAAACAAGCTCGAATAGACTAATGCATCCGTTTCCGTTAATGTGGAGGATCAAAAGAAGACTGAATATTGGAAGTGAGAAGAAGTTCAAGGAAGCTATACAGATCATCAATGACTATGCTTTGAGGATCATTCAGTTGAAAGAGCAAAACCAGGAGGGCAGTCAGGATCTGCTGTCGAGGTTCATGAATTCGTCGTCAACCCTTAAATTTCACGACGAAGATGAACAACGGAAATTCTTGAGAGATATAGTAATCAGCTTCATTCTTGCAGGTATGTCGAATCAATCGAATGGATATGCATGAGGTTTTCTATAGGTAATTTATATCGGATTGTCTTCTTGTGTGGCTATGATGTTCAAAAACTTATGACTGTAGGTTTGATTTTGATCCATGGTGAAACCCTATAGTGTTTTTTCTTGCTCCAAGAACTTGTTGCAGTTGGAACATTTGTTGTGTTGTGAAGTTCAAATTGAAGTCTAGAAGTAAACTACATAAGAAAAATGCTAGTGAAAATATCTGATTTGGGGGCGCTTTTTCATTTTCTTGATTTTCCAATTTTTGTAACAATGTTTGATCGATCCTTTCGAAACTCTGTTTCTCTCGACTGCAGGTAAAGATTCAACTTCAACAGCTCTCACATGGTTTTTCTGGCTAATATCGGGACATCCTCACTGCGAGCGTGCGATCCACAACGAGCTATCCTCATCATCTCCCGGGACTCTCAGCTTCGACAAGATGAAGGACTTGAACTACCTGCACGCCGCATTGACGGAATCTCTCCGGCTCTTCCCACCGGTGCCGATAAATTCGAGGCTAACGGCGTCCAGCACTACCTTACCTGATGGTACGTACATCGGAAAAGGTTGGTTTGCTGATTACTCTGCTTATGCAATGGGGAGAATGGAGCGAGTGTGGGGTGCCGACTGTAGAGAGTTTAGGCCGGAGAGATGGCTGGATGGAAATGGCGTTTTCCGGCCGTGCGATCATGTCAAGTTTCCGGTGTTCCACTGTGGCCCGAGGATGTGCCTTGGTAAGGAAATGGCTTATGTACAAATGAAGTATGTTGCTGCTGCAGTAATGTCTGAGTTCGAGGTTGTCGCCGTGGATGGCGGTGGATGTCCGGTGAGGATGGCGGAACCGCCGTATATATTGTCGCTTCAGCTCAAGATGAAAGGCGGATTGCCGGTGGAGCTCCGGCGCCGGAGGAAGTGAGGTGAGTGTTAGCAGGTATTTATAACGACAATAAAAGGTGAACGAGTCTTCTGCACTTGGTTATAATGTATTGGTTTTAAAAAAGTTAGTATTTAATTTGTAAATAAATAAAATAAATATACGATATATATGGACTTAGATTTGCATTCGAACATGACACCCCAACATCAATAAGTTGAACCTAAACTACTATTTTAGTTTGAATTATAAATGAGCAAAATCAATGATGTATCCATAACATATTTTTGGTTAAACTCAAACATGTACTAAAGTTTGTTTGTTCAATAGCTCAAATTAATCTAATTATATTTTAAATTTTATTTATTATTCTATTTATAAAATTAAAATATTACAGTTAGATTTGTCGATACAGTTCAAATGATGGATTACAATTCTTAACAATTTTGATTACCGTTAATAAATAGTTAGTTACAGTTTGAACAGTAAATTTATATATATTTATATATTTATTTTAATAATTTTCTTTTACATTTAAATTTTATTTAAATATATTTATTATCTATTTTTTATAAATAATTATATAAATATAATTAATTAGATTATTATAATACAAAAATAATAAATATAATAAGTAATTAAATTAAATTCTGAATTAAAATAAATTATAATAAATTAATATACTAATAATAAAATAATTTAAATTAAATATTTATATAATAAAAAATTATGAAAGTTAAAATATAAATATAAAAAATAATAATACTATATCTTTCATAATTTTTTATTTTTATTTTATTAATATTATTTTTTATTTTTATAATAATTAATATATAAAAAAAATTAATTATAAAAATATTATTATTATTATAAATATACAATTTGCCCCTTGACAAAAGATACATTTACACATCCACGACCACAGCCGCCGCAGCCCGGACGGTGGCACCAGGTTCTCCTCTTTCTTCTTCTTCCCAAATTCTTTCCGTTCGCCCTTTTTTTTTGGTTGTGTTTTTTCTAGTCTTGCTGTTTTTGTCACTGCCGCCGCCGCTTTTGTTGCTGCGAATCTCATATCTTCTCTTCTTCTTCAGGCCGTGTGTATTGTACCGTACGCTGATTGAATTTTATTCCCAAACTCTCACGGCCTACGTGTCCAGCGGGATGACGAGTTTCGAGTTCAAGTATAGTTGGGTCGGTAAAAATTTGGGTTTGAATTAGGAGGTACTGGTCATTATAAAGGTCTTGGTCCAGGGTGAGGTTTGCCTATTTCCTCATCAATGGCGGCAACGAAGTTATGGTTTCGCTACAATAGATTCACCGTCCGAACTCGAACGTATTCCACTCAAACCGTCGTCGGCTATCAATCGACCGGAGAGCCAACACTTTCCTCGGATCAATTTCTACTGGAGAAGATTTTGTGGTCGTTAAAGCGAGGTCAGTCAATAAACCCTAATTTATTTAGGCAGTTAAATCCACAAATTTATGCAAAAACTCTTTACGAATCACGCGATGATCTGCGTCTCGCCGAGAGATTCATCGATTCAGTTGCTTTACATTGCCCTAATTTTAAGCATTCCTCGTGGTCATTGAGCGCCGCGGCGCATGTGTTGGTGAGGTGCAAGAGAATCTCCGATGCACAGGCATCGATTCTGAGGATGATTAGGAGGAGCGGATCATCTAGGGTTGAGATTATTGATGCATTGTTAGGTACTTCTAATTCAAAATGTGGATTAAATTCATATGCATTTGAATTGCTTATTAGAACATATGTTCAAGCTAGGAAGTTCAGGGAGGCTGTTGAGGCATTCAGGCTGTTGAAATGGAGGAACATTGTTGTTTCGATAAATGCTTGTAATAGCCTTCTCGGAGGGCTGGGTAGGATCGGATGGGTCGATTTGGCGAGGGAAGTGTTTGAGGAAATGGTGGGAGATAGAACTGATTTGAATTCATACACACTTAACATTATGGTGAATGTATTCTGTAAGGATGGAGATATCGAAAGGGCTAAGGCGTTTTTAGCAGAGATGGAGGGGATAGGCGTCTATGGCGACGTGGTGACGTACAACACTTTGATCAATGGTTATTGCCGCGGAGGCGATGTTGAGAAGGGAGTCGAGGTTTTGGAGGTGATGCGGGGGAAGGATTTGGAGCCGTGTAATTTGACTTATAATTCGATCGTAAATGGTTTTTGTAAGAACGGGGAGTATGAGAGGGCGAAGACGGTTGTGAGTGATATGGTCGGGGTTGGGGTGTTGCCGAATACGTCGACGTACAATATTTTGTTAGTCGAGTGTTGTAGGAAGAGCGATGTGGCGGAGGTCGAGCGTGTTTTGAACGAAATGTCGCGTCGGGGACTTAGTTTCGATTTGATTAGCTATAGTTCGGTTATCAGGTTCTTTTCAAGAACCGGCGATCTTGATAGGATGGTGTCGTATTATAATGATATGCGGTCGAAAGGTTTGGTGCCGGATAAAATTATTTACACTATTTTGATCGGCGGGTTTTGTAGGCACGGCGCGTTGCGGGATGCGTTGAGGGTGCGCGACGAAATGGTTGAATCCGGGTGCCAAATGGATGTGGTGACGTATAACGCGATTTTGAATGGTTTTTGTCAAGAAAAGATGCTCGGCGAGGCAGATACGCTTTTGGACGAGATGGTGGAGAGGGGCGTATTCCCCGATTTTTGCACGTACACGACGCTGATCAACGGGCATTGCAAGATCGGGAATTTGGCGAAAGTGTGGAACTTGTTCGAGACGATGGTCGAAAGGAATTTGAGCCCGGATATAGCAACGTACAATGCCGTAATCGACGGGTTATGCAAGGCGGGTGAAATGGAAAGAGCTCTCGAGCTGAGGGTTGAGATGATGTCGAAAAGTATACAGCCGAACTACATCACATACGGCGCTCTGATAAACGGATTCTGCAACGGCGGTCGTTTGTCTGAAGCGTTTGATCTATGGAACGAAATGGCTGGAAAAGGTATCGAATCGAACGTTACGATATGCAACATGCTCGTCAAGGGCTACTGCAGGCGAGGCGATCCCGGGAAGGCTCGCGGGTTTCTCGAGACGATGAAATCGAGAGGCGCGTCCCCGGATCGCGTCACTTACAACACACTTATTCACGGGTACGCGAATATAGACGACAAAGGATTCTTTGATCTGGTGGATGAGATGGAGAATGACGGGATCGAACCGGATGTGATAACGTACAATGTTGTGTTGGATCGATTTTGTCGGGACGGGAGGATGCGAGAAGCTCGTTGCGTGTACTCGAAGATGATCGATCGCGGCGTGCAGCCCGATAGAGGTACGTTCAGGTCGATGATCGACGGGTACGTGTCGAAAGATTGTATGAAGAAGGCTTTTGAGATCCATGATGAAATGCTGCGGCGGGGGTTCGCGCCGGATGATAAGTTTTAGGATTATAAGATGATGCAAGAAACTGTCTCATTGAATGCTGACCTCATCAAGTGTTTCAGCCATGGCTGCACTGCACTGCATTGCACCAGGTTTCGTAAGCTTTGTTCTTATGTCGTGTGTTTTTTCGAGGGTTTTAAGGCTAACGTAATAGTTGTTCAGTTTCATGTGAATTGCATATATCCGTGGGAAGGAACTTGGCCGGTCCGGAAATTTCGAGCCGGACCGGACCGGGGCTGGGAGAACTCGACGGGGACGGCTTCTATAAGAGGTGAGCTTCTCTGTGTATATATATTTATTTGAATGTGAATAATGAAAATGTGTTTAATTTGTTATGAAAATTTTGAAAATTATTGGGTTGAATCGAAAATCAATTACTGCTTCCCTCCAATTATGTCCTCACTTTTTTTTTTTTTTTTGGTAAATTTGGGTTTACTCTGTACTAAGAAAGAAAATGAGCATATAATTGTCCCATTTGGTTTACATAGTGTAAGGATTGCTTACTGAAATTACTAAATTACATAAGTATAAATTTATTAATGTTTTGAAATTTTGAGAGATTATTTGTTTACCCAATCATTTTCTATTTTAAATTTAGTGACAGAAAATTGCTAGATATTAGTACTTTCAAACTTTTGTAGAACATTTTTATATATTTATACTATCAGTTTCTTCTAATAAGTACTACTTTAAAAAATCATCATTATTATAAATTTTGCTTAATAATTGATTGATCCGAAAAAATTTGTATCATTCTACGGAATATTTTTCATCACTAAATTATTTAAATTAATTTATAAAAATTTACACATTGTACAACGCACTAATCGCACTAGTATTAGATAAAATAAAATAGTATTTGATTCAATATTCTTTCTAAAAAAATGTAACTGTAGATGAATAATATTTAAAATGATTTTTTATTATGTAACGTGGACGCTCTTATTACTTTAAAAGATCACAATCAAATATTACTTTATATATATATATATATATATATATTGCTCCATCAAACTCTTAATTTTATTATTATTTTTATTTATTACAAAATTCCCATATAAAGAAAAGAAAGGAATAAATTAAAGTGCCCCTTCAATTTTTCCAAGTAGAGTGGTCAATGTTAGACGTCCTAGTCCTTCCTACCTACCTACACCTATACATTATTTATTACTGTATTTATCCGATTGATTGATTTTGTTTATTTTAGATTTGTTTAGTGATATGTTCCACTGAGGGTTTTGATTATGAAGACACCCAACTGCCCTTCAATCATCGATGACATGTATATGCGTGGACAAATCATAGCCCTCCACTTATCATCTAAAGATAACCTAATTCGTGTGATTTTATTTTATGGGACGGGACCTAAATGAATTGCTCCATAGCTAATAATAAACAATACTCCCTATAAAGTTATTGTCACGATATTTTATAATTATAATAAAATAAAATATAATATGTGGATACACACATAACATAAAATTATATCACCAGAAACAGTCAGCCTAATCATTGAATACTACGTGTTATGTTGATGGAAAATGATATAATGTCAACATCAGAGCTACGTTTTTATTGTTAAAATTGCATATCACATTATAAATATACACACAACAACACATATTTTGACACTTTTCATCAGACATTAATTTTTTAAAAATATTTCACATCAAATATTTGCATCCTATACACAACTTTTAACCATATCCAAAATTTTCCAAAACTTTTATCCAACTGTAGCCTAAATTGTTAAAATTTTCAATAAATGGCCAGTACTGCAATAAACATATGCATTTCAACAACATTGGCAAGGTTTCTCTTTAACCTGGAACAAGAACTGTTCAAACTCACATGAACATCCACTCTCTCTCTCTCTCTCTCTCTCTCTCTCTCTCTCTCTCTCTCCCCCATCACATACATACCTACATACCTACATACATGTATATATACACATTTTCTAAGGACCTAACCAATCTTTCCAATGACCATTGAACCAAAACCTCACTCACTACATGAAAACTTTTTGCCACTTTTCAACTCAAATGTAAATATATATATTTCAATAAAGTTGCTTAGCTTACTTACCTCCATTGTTGGGATACTTTGGGGCAGAGTGCATTTATTTTGTACAGCCACTTCAATGCCCATAAGAATCCCCCACATCTTTGTCTCTTGGATCCCTTTTCTTTCACAGACCCCTCTGCTATTTTATTACCCTTCTGTAACAACAACAACAACAACATGACAAAATATGTCAAATCAAGAATCATCTGGGTGACAGAATTGACTTTTCTTGAAATCAAACCAAAGTGACATGTCTCCCAACAGAAATTCAGTCTGATTAACAAGAAATTACAGGAGTAGTTCACATTCAATGCAACATCACTTTATGAATTCTGGGAACAAAATAATGCTCCCCGTCACCATTAATGGCCCAAAGATAGCCAAGACATTTTTTTCAACAGAAAGGATTTGATTATCAACATGATCATGTAACCCTACACCAGAAGGATCCTCACCACCATTCAATCATTCATAATGTTTGTATTAAAATAATCCCACTGATCAGACTAATTAATCATCTTTTTCCATCCACCAAAAAAGAATTTTTTTTCCTTTTCAACTAGGCACCACATTAAATCAGAGGATTCAACCTTTTACCACTGAGATGAGATCATTCACCAATCCCAAAAGTGCAAACAAATTTAACTAATCCAATAATAACTCACATTCAATGCAGACAATCATATGATGTACAGAAAGAAAGGAACAAGTTTTTCAGAGCTACTTACCCGTGGCAGTGGCGGAAATCAATCCTTGAAAATAACTGAATCCGCTATCTCCATTAATGGCTTCAAGCAATCAGGCGAGAATTTCCTGGCAAACATGTATGAGTAACTCGAATTCGATTCTCTAAGCCTGTAAATCAGCTCAGGGGACACTTCAGGAGGGTGATAAGTGTGCGGATGCCCATCTACCATATCCGTCCAATTCACTCTTGTCAGTGTATAATGACTGCAACTCTTCGGATCTTGCATAGATAGCAATGTGGGGAAATAATGCTCCTCTGGATAACATGACTCTACATTTAAACATGGCAGCTTGAATTTCCGCCATAGCTTCCTGTCCTTGATCACCATTAAAGCATGTTTTCGTGTGAGCACGAAAAACTGAGAACCTACCCGAAATTCATTGAACTGTACTTCGGGGACCATAACGTTCTCCCCTCTTGCGTTGTACCGATCGGGTAGAGTCGGCTCGCTGTCGAGAATCTCGATGTAGCTAGGCAACTCTAATCCCCTGGCTAATTTGGATAGATCGAACAAAAAATTATGGAAATAGGAAAAGGAGTGGAGCGGGATGCAGTGCTGCGAAATTAGGGCAAAATAAGCGTTCGCCGGATCGTCGAGCATCGCAGTGGCGAGAAGTCTGCGCGCGGCAGAGATTAGCGTGGGCGAAGATCTCTGAGTCCTCCTCGAGGGGATGATTTTACCTCTGAAAACGCCGTCGAGAGGCGGGATTCTGACGGAAGGATCGGCGTGGACATACACATTGTAGTGATTCGGCGTCGCATTGGAGAAGAAACGCTCCCACAGGGGGGCGAAATGCAGCGGCGAGTTGGTGAGGAACATGAAGGCGATTTTGGGGCGGCGGATGGCGGAAGAGAGCCGAAACTTGGCGACGGGGAGGCGGGGGAAGGGACGCGTGCGTGAGAAATTGGCGGCGTCCATGGAAATCGCCTTGTGGAAGATGGAGAGGTCGTCGAGCTCGTCGGGGAGGGAGATGGCGATTTGGCGGGGAGGGAGGAGGCGCGGGGCGAGGAGGAAGAAGAGGAGGATGGGCAAGGAGATAAGGAGGGTTACGGTTGTGATAAAGGCGGCGGAGGTCATGGCTATGGCGGAAATTAGGGTTCCGAAATTGGGGATTTTGAGAGGATGCCACGCCGGAGAAGAGTGGAGGAGAAAGTGATAAATGTTGTTGGAGAAGAGAAAGGCAGGCAGGCAGTGTGGATGTGGATCGCCGATAATGATGCCATCTAACGATAATCTTAACGACGTTAACACGCCGTTATCTTCCTTTCACTTTTTATTTATTTTAAGCTAATAATATATTTATATCGTTCCGGGTACAGAGTTAGTGCTTATTTTAATTTTATAAACTATTTTGAGATTAATATTTTATTAAAAATAATACTCGTCGTCCCATCAAATTTTGTCTCCTAATTAAAAATAAAAATAATTATAATTTAATAATTATTATTATTAATTAAAATTAAAATAATTTAATTAAAAATAAAAATATTTAAATTTTAAAGTATAATTAAATATATAATTATGATTAACGGGTGCACAAATTATATGGTACTTAGAAAGCATAATTTATTCATATTATAAAGTTTATTTATAATAGTACTCTCTTTGTCCAGCTTCGATATATTTATTTTTTTGGGTGATATTTGAATATTTTTGTATAAAAAATATTTATCCAAATATTTTTTAAATATGACCCTTCGAGCAGAAGATGGGAAATTTTTTCAAATATAAAATGTGTGTTTTTTCGCTATCAAACTTTAAAATTTTTTTATTTGAATTTTGAAATTTTTTATTTTTGATTTTTACAATTTTTACTATTATAAAATATTATATACTTCATGGTGTAATATAAAAGTAATAGTATTTGTGTAATATATTGTAAGTTAAGAGGGTATTTATCATGTGATGCAGGTAATACAATTATTAAATTAGTAAATAGTAACTTTGGGACAAACGAAAATGAAAAATAGTAACCTTTTAATGGGAGGGAAAGAGTATTATTTTTATATGAAACCCAAATCAAAATTTATGAGACCAAATCAAAACAACACTATTTTGTTTTCTTGCCTTTTGTTTTGTAGATTTGAATTTTAAATAATAAAAATATTAAATTAAAATAATTATATAGTATAATATAAATAAATATTAATTTGATATTTTAATTATTAAATTAACTTTTAATATTGTTGATGCAATTTTTCAACAATAAAAAGTAAAATCCGAAAATAGGAAATTATCTTCGAATTTGATATAATTAGTGTCGAGATTATAAATCTCTAAACACTATAGGATACATGAATAAAATAGGAAAATAAAACTACAGACTGGAAAAATAAAGTGGTGATCCCCAAAAGCAATTCTCTTAAATTTGATGTTGATTGAAGATGTTTTGTCAGAACATACCCGAATCATTAAATAACCCCTTAAAGAAACGGTTTGAACCTCCGTCTGGTCGATTACAGCAACCGTTGTCAACCGCCCACCAGGTCTTCCTCTGTTGACACGTGTGTTAACCGACTCACCAACTGCTCTCGCCAGTTACAACACTCAAATGTCTCGGCCGACCGCTTCTGAAAACCTCACCGCCTTAAATGGGCGGCTGGTCCCGACCGACTACTCAACGGTCCAGCAATAACTTCTGGCTTCTTAGACTGGTCGCTAAACCAAACGACTCATCGGCCACCTATCAAGCGACTGATTTCTCCAATTGGCTGAACAATGAATCATCCAGACGATTCAATGGTCGCCCCAACCAAGCAACTGAACTACTGTTTACTTAAGTAGGCGACCAATTAACAGACATTTTTTCGACCAACCTCCGTATCAGCCGTCCTTCTTTGCCCGACTTCCTATTTCGACCGACCTCCGTATCATCCGTCCTTCTTCGCCCGACTTCCTTTTTCGACCGACCTCAGTACAGCCGTCCTTCTTCGCCCGACTTCCTCTTTCAACCGACTCCCGTATCAGCCGTCCTCCGTCCGACCTCAGTTGGTCCGACCGCTGGCCAACCGACTACGGACCATCCGACAGCGAACCAACCGACCGACTCTATTTGCCTTATCTCCTTAGATGGACAACTGGTTCAACAGACTATCCTCTTGACAAACCTCCGCGTCTGCCGATACTTCTTTTTTGTTCGACCTTTGTCTTGACCGACCTCCGCGTCTACCGATACTTCTTCTTTGCCCGACCTTCGTTTTAACAGACCTCCGCGTCTGCCGATACTTCTGTTTTGCCCGACCTTATCACGTCCGATCTCAGTGCCCGACCTTATCATGTCTGATCTCCGTGCCCGACCCTATCCTGTCCGACCTTATCATGTCTGATCTCTGTCCCCGACCTTATCACGTCCGATTTCTGCATCCGACCTTATTACACCCGATCTCTGCTTTCTCCCGATGAAGCCTTTTCCTTACTTTTCGTACTCTCTTTTTAAGATCCCATCGTTTATTTGTGCTCAACAAATATATTATTTCCTCGGTCTGAATTTAAAATTTTATTTTACTACTTTTGTTTGACTTATTAATATAATTTTTATATTTTAATGAGAATATTAATACAACACTGATATTTATTATCAAACACGATTTATTAATTTTTTTCTGGTAAATGCCAAAAAAATAAAAATTGGATATCATCGTCATTGTTATTCTATAATTACATTACATACACGTGTACAAATGTACGAAACATGTAGTCCAAATTACGCATGGGGATCCAATGAACCAATTTAATTATTTTGACACGTACTAGTCTATTATTTTAATTTTCAAAACAACAATAAAAATAATTGTTGGCCAAAAAAAAAATCTATTAATTCAAACAGCACAATAAACTCATATCTACGATCAAAATGCAAATTCATTCGACACATAATAATCGTTTGTTAAATGATCCAACTAAGAATAAATATACATATTGGTACGAAATATAATATAATATACAAAATAATTGATAATTCAGTTTGGCTGCAACTGGCCTAACCTAGACAGAATTTACTATCAATCCACCTCCACAATTACTTAAAAAATATTTTATCGATCTCAATTCAAAGTATATTTTTACCATCTCTGTTTGTTTCGCTTCAAAGTATTTATTTCATCTTTTATAAAAAGTAATATTTAATAGACTAATACTAAAATATTTTTATTTTTTTTTAAATTATAAATATACAATTATACGTACAATTATTGTACATATAAAATAAAAGAACAAAAATGTAAAAATTATTATAACCAATAAAATACTAATATTACTTTTTAATTTATTACATAACCTAAAAAAAAAAAAAGGACTAATATTCACCACAACCTAAAAAAACAAAAACAAAAACTCGGTAGAAATGTACATATTTTTTCAATTAATATTCAATTTTATTTGACCCTCGTCAAAGAAAGCGTGCTTGGACGAGAACATAGAGACAGCCTCCACTTTTCCCTGGAACTCTCCAGAGCCAAATTCTCACCGTCGGATTTGAACGATCCCCACAATCACCGCCACCATATCAACGGCTAAGATCTAAAGCTATTTCGATCTCCACCGTCGAATCCAATCTTATATTTACCCAAACCTAAAAAGCCGTTTCCTTGCTGACTAGTGTTACAGCCTTTCTTCCCAATCGTTCTCCCTTCCCGTAGGATCTCTGCTGCTTCGATTCAGAAATCGTACGTCCTCTTATAATTCGATCCATTCGAGTTGAGTTAGGCATTTGCGAATTCGATTCGAGATGTTTGGGAGGGCGCCGAGGAAGAGCGACAACAGTAGGTACTATGAGATTCTTGGAGTGCCCAAAACAGCGTCGCCTGACGATCTAAAGAAGGCGTACAAGAAGGCGGCGATTAAGAATCATCCTGACAAGGGCGGTGATCCTGAGAAGGTATAGTATTGTTCTTCACTTTATTTCTGGAGTTATTAGCCATTTTTGTTTCCGTTTGATTTGTGTTTATTCGCTGGAGATTATTTGGCGTTGGTGCTGTGACGTAATATTTGAAATCAATTGCGGAATTCGTGTTGCATTTTTATATGATATTCGATTATACTTGTCGGATGCCTACAATACATGTGCAAATGTATGTTATGAGAATATTTGGACGTCCTTGTTTTTTTTTTAAATGCGTGATGAATGTACAGCTTCAGTATGTAGTTGAGCTAAAACGATGTTTGAATATCATATGAAAATTGACGTGTATTTTCAACTTACTTTCGGAAAAGTGGATAACTGATTATGTATGAAAAGAAAATAAAATTTGATGCATAGTAGTAAGAAGATTGTAGATAAAAATGATGAATAGGTTTTGGTTCAGAATTTTGTTGAAGTGAATTTTTATAAATTTAAAATCTGAATAGGCGACAGTGATCAAACAATATTGATGATTATATATATTTATATTAGAAATGAGAAAATGCAAATTGAAAATTCAAGTGGGATTTCAGAACTGTAGGGAATTAACAACTATTAGAGCTTCAGCCATTATAACAAAATGTTGGGGCATGCAATATCATCAATTAAAATTTGATTGTGTTGCTGCAGTTCAAGGAGCTTGCTCATGCTTATGAGGTTTTGAGTGATCCCGGGAAACGTGAAATCTACGACCAATATGGAGAGGATGCACTCAAGGAAGGAATGGGAGGTGGCGGGGGTATGCATGATCCATTTGACATCTTTTCATCTTTCTTCGGTGGGAGCCCATTTGGTGAGTCAGATATACAGATACTGCTGACAATTTTTTTGGTAGTGAAGATTTTTGGGCTTTGGTTTTAACTTAAAAATGTTTTGATAACCATCAGGTGGGGGTAGTAGTAGGGGACGAAGGCAAAGGCGTGGAGAGGATGATGTTCACCCACTCAAAGTCTCTCTCGAGGATTTGTATCTCGGGACCACGAAGAAGCTCTCTCTGTCACGCAATGTGATTTGCTCAAAGTGTAGCGGGTGGGTTCTTGGATTCCTGATGAACTTAGTTTGATCGATAAGGATTTAGAGAGTATATAGGCTAATCACTTGTTTATTTAATGAACAATAGGATTCTACTTGAGGCCTAAGGGCCTGACATAAATGGACCTAAAAGATGGATAATCAATAATACAATTTAACTGAAGTGAAATAGTGCTTATGAATCTTTTCTAGTTATGGTAATGTGCAATATAATTGTTTTGTGTTAAATGATTCGGGTCTGTTTGCTTTTCGCATGACAGCAAGGGATCAAAATCTGGAGCTTCAATGAAGTGCTCGGGCTGCCAAGGAAGTGGGATGAAAGTCACGATACGCCAGCTTGGCCCTGGTATGATTCAGCAAATGCAGCATCCCTGCAACGAATGCAAAGGAACTGGAGAGACCATCAACGATAAAGACCGATGCCCTCAATGCAAAGGTGAGAAAGTTGTTCAGGAGAAAAAGGTGCTAGAAGTCCATGTCGAGAAGGGCATGCAAAACGGGCAGAAAATTACATTTCCTGGCGAAGCCGACGAGGCGGTATGTTCTCTAACTCCATCTTTTCATTGATCATTGCTGGGGTAATTGAATTTAAAGTAAATTAGTTAGTACCAGAGCAGGAGTTCATGTGGTTCTATCTCTCCATCGTCACCCATTTAGTAGAAACTGTTTCGTGAATAAAAAATATGTGAAAAGAACCATCTACATACAACGAACTTCTTGTTATCAATATACGTATAAGATGATCGATGCATTTGGCTATAATAAATTCTGTTTTTATTGCAGCCCGATACTGTGACTGGCGACATCGTATTCGTGCTTCAGCAGAAGGAGCATCCGAAATTCAAGAGGAAGGCGGAAGATCTTTTCATCAACCACAGGCTGTCGCTCACGGAGGCCCTGTGTGGCTTCCAGTTTATAATCACGCACTTAGACGGGAGGTTGCTTCTCGTCAAATCACAGCCCGGAGAAGTAGTGAAGCCCGGTTTGTACATCCATCTTTATCTTCCAGTTGCTATGTTTCGGAATTACTTCGGAGATAAATAAATAAATCAATGGCGCAGACTCGTACAAGGCGATCAATGACGAAGGAATGCCGGTGTACCAGAGACCGTTCATGAAGGGCAAACTGTACATTCATTTCAACGTGGATTTCCCCGATTCCCTAAGTCCGGATCAAGTTGAGGCCCTGGGGAATATACTTCCGGCAAAGCCTCAGTCGCAGCTGACGGACATGGAGCTGGATGAATGCGAGGAGACGACGCTGCACGATGTGAACATCGAGGAGGAGATGAGGAGGAAGCAGTCGCAGTATCAGGAGGAGGCCTACGACGAGGATGAAGATATGCGCGGCGGAGGAGGAGGAGCTCAAAGGGTGCAGTGCGCGCAACAGTAGTAGTAGTAAGTAAAGGTACACACTGCAATACACTACACTACACTACTCTTTCTCCAATAATTAGAATATAGTTTTTTTTTTTTTCCAATCCAACCAAAAATATATATGTATATATAGTAATGTGTTACATGATTTTGAGTTTCAATGCACCAACCACTAACTTCAACTTCTTCTTCATCCCTCGTTTATAATAGATCAATAATGTGTGTAGAGGCAAAGATGAAAACACAGATAATCTACCCTTGATGATGAATGATGGTCAGAAATAAATCCTCTCATCAAAGTCACCAATTCATTATCATCAGCCTACAATCCAATCATCTCTCGGGAATATTTCATGTCATGCAATCCTCAATGGGATGAACAGGACTTTGGTTTGGACTTGTTAACGTAAAGTTATGGGTTTAAATTTCAATTAAATTCCAATGCTATATATAGTTTACCTAAGTTCTTGTCGAATTTAATTTGTAGATTATTAAGTTCAATCAAAAATTTATCCAGAATCCACCTAAAGTTGTAGGTTCTATGTTATCAAAAAAAAAAAAAAAAAAAAACAATACTAGTGTTGTTTAAAGATAATTGGATTTTGAGGTTGAAATTTTTAATAATATTTTAAATTTGAATAGTTGTGTAACATGTAATCACGATAACTTAGAAAAACCCTTTAAAGTGTTTATCACAAAGTTTTTGCATGGGAATATTTCCCATAGGCTCACAGCTAGCTGTTTCACATCCAACATGCATAGAATAGAACCAAATGAAAAATAGCATCAAATTCCATAATAACAACGAGCAGTGATCCAAAATAATTATATACACTGTAGACGATAGAATGCACTTAGGTGGACAATGATGATATTTCTCATTCTCATCGCCACATGTAAGTTTTTTTTAACTTAACAAAGACTATAGATCATCAAATAACTTTCACTCGTGTTAAGAGGAAGTTAGTTATTCAGATCAAAAGCCACAAACCCGACACTGTAAGCGCGCAAACACAAACACGTATAAATAACGAGGGGGTTTAAGGAAGAATACCGATCAATAGTCAAACGGCCATCTCGACCTGTTGTGTCCCTCATTCGAGGCCGCTGAGCTGCTTCCACGGTTGTTTTGATTAGAAGAACTGGAGGACCAGAAGAACGAGAACGGATTCCATCGGCTCGAGTTCTGAGAATTACTCGATTCCCTCCTCGCATTGTTGCTGCTGCTTGGATTCCCAGACCTTTGATTCCAGACAGGCCGGGAGTTTCCAGAAACCTGGGAAGGTAACTCGACACGGCAAACAGGGCAAGAGTTATGCTCAACGAGCCAAGGAACAATGCAGTCCGAATGGTAAATATGATCACACGGCATTTGTCTTGCTTTTGAGCCGAGCTCAAACTTTTCTTGACACACGGGGCAGTGGGCATCTGTATTGAGATGGCGCTGGGTAATTTTAATTGTCGGCATAGCATCAATTGCAGAACGCGGCGCTGGAGGCGGGCCCCGCCTATCGTTCATGCTTAGCTGCTCGATTATTTCTTGTAGCCCATGTCCCATAAAGAACTCGCTGAAATCACCTCGCCTATGCCTCATCCCGGACCCTCCATTGAAGAAGATATCGAATGGATCATAGTCAGGGATGCCAGCTTGAGATTGACCACCATGGAGTATCAAAAATGGGCCGGGGGGTCTGGAACCAATTCCCACAGTTCGTTCTGGGATCATGCCAGGACGTGCTCGGACGTCAAAGTTGGAATCCCTTCCCATCATTCTTTGCCTCATCACAGAAGCAAATGCATCCATTATACCGAATCTTGGATCATGGTAACGTTCCGTGAATCCAAAATTCGGAGCATCGCCGCCAGAAGGAATGCCCATAACTTCAGGGAGCTCTTGTATGAAGCCTCCATCGCAGTACGGGCAAACCATATTATGACCTCGTGGTCGAACTGGTTGGCCACATTGATAGCACCAGTGTGTATTTCCGTTGCTCGACATTCTTTTTTATGATATGAATATCTGACAGGGGAATTTATAGCTGTATCTTCAGTACCTGCATCAGTCCTGCACCCAATTGTGCATGTAGTTGGTCATTTCTATGAGTAAACTGACAGGGCAGTCATTGAGTTCAATATCATTTGAATAAATTTTGACTCAATAAATAGACAATTGAACAAGTATAGAAATAAAAACAACTTAGCAAAAAATTACAAAATGAGTCTCTCTATGTAATCAGCTTTTTAGAGTTTTCAATATAAAGGGTAAATTATATATAAGACTCCTTTGTCTTTTAGTAAAAATAAACAAAACACCCTTGCGTGAAACCTCCTTGTGTAGATGTAAAGTTTGCACGAAGTACCTTCCTTTTTTTATTTTTTATTCTAAACAAAGATCTACTCAAGTTTTACACAAATAAAAAAATTGATCAATTATTTATTTATTTATTTTGTTCAAAAAAAATTATTTAAAATATTTTAAGTTTTTATTTGTGTAACACTTTGTCGTAATTTAGATCTTGATTTAGAACCAAACATCGGCTTTGGACAAAAAGGGTGTTTCGTGCAAACTTTACATTAACACGATGGGTTTCACGTAATAAATGTAGCACAAAGTATTTTATGCATTTTTACTGAAACACAAGAGAGCCTGGTATAATTTACCCTATAAAATCAACACTTGTACATAAACTGAATCCAGATCTCATTTCAAGCTAACACAGATTTACCACAGTATTATTCATCTGGATAAACTTCAATTTTAAATTAGATAACTTGATCAGCTCTAACTGTCTACGAACAGTTAATCCAGACAAAAATTAGGACAAACAAAAAAGTATCAAAATTATCACTACACCTAATGTTAGTCAAAGACTACCAGAAATTTGCCCCCTGTCATATGTTTGACGCAGTAATTTTCATGTAACTACATTCTTTTTTACTAGTTTGACCAAGCAATACATTCAATCGAAGTAAACCAATCTCCAATACAGTACCTAGCTGAGAGACGTTTCAACAGCTAATTAACTTCTTCGAAGTTCTAACAATAAGAGCCACAATAATCATTCAAGGACATCAATCCTCGGTGCAAGTCGAGAGGAAGTCATCCCTCAGCACACATACAGATCGAAATTACAGATAGCAGCAACCGATTAATCTACATAATTAAAACCGATTCACACAAAAACCACCGAACATAATCGATTCCAACACGATTTACCAGATGATGGAATACTGACCTCAGCAGCAGATTTATTAACAAAGGTTTTCAACAGAAAATATCTTACTCAGATTTCAAACAGCAAAAATGCTTAAAAACGCACAAATCCTACACAGTCGCGAAATTCGAGGGAAAACAAAAAAGCAGAAACCCCAGCTCATCTACAAGCGAAAATTACTGACTGCAACAACAGATTAATAAAAGATCAGCATTAAATCGAACAGAAACTACCGAGTAGAAACGATCTGAACAGAATTCAGCAGAGATCGCGGCGGATAACCCTGAGAAGAGAGCGCCGAAAGCGAGGAAATAATGGAGGATTGGGAACCTGCGGTTCTAGAAGTTACAGCGACCAATTGAAAACATTTTTATATCAGCAAGTGATAAGGGCATAAATGGAATTTCACTTTCTTAATATTTTAATGTATTATTACGAGTTTAGTGTATAATGGCACAGACAGAATTCCAAGTCCAACTACCAAATATTCAATAGGTTGCGTTTGATTGCGTTTCAAAGGGTTATGGTATTTTTTTATATGTAATATTTTGAATATATATTTAATAAAATATATTGACCAATAAAATATATATATATTTTTCTACATATATAAACCCATATATATATAATATTATAATATATATCATTCACATATAACAAAATCAATCACAAATATTATATTTTATAGCACATAAAAAAAAAAAATCAACTCATTTCAGTGAACAAGCTTATTTTATTCTAACAATATATTTTTATTTGTTTATTTTCATTCAGTCTTGCATATTTTTAAGAGTTTACTAATTATTTAAATTTAACTAAGGATGCTAATAATGTTTTAAAATTTTTGTAAGCGAATTTATGTGTTTTGCATTTTATATACTACCTCCGTCCTTATATCAGGATTCTATTTATTTTTTTGTGGGTTGATATTTGTATAATAATTATTATATCAAAATGTAGTATAAATTAAAAAAAATGCAAAAATACTTTATTAATATCTTATAATACTAATGCTGATAGAAAGATATTTGTACAAATATTATCAAGATATTTTGAATGTTAATTAGTACGCAAAAGGTAAACGTGACTTTTAGAAGCGGATGGAAAGAGTATTATATTGTATTCAGCTGACTATTATATTATTATGTGTTGTCGGGATATATTTTGTATATTATATTATTGTTATGTTTATATTCATCAAAATAAATAAACCTATAATATTATAGCCATAGCATTAGTAAAGCAGAGACATAAATTACAAAAATGTGCAATGAGTTACAAAATTTAGTTTTCACAATCTCACAAATTATCATCTAAATCAAGTTAAGAATAATGACCACCCTACTAACTAGAGCTGACAAAAACTGACCCGACACGAAATAATTGGGTTTAGGTTAAATATTTCAGTCCAATTATGTATACGGGTTGACACGCACCTGACACGATAGTAAACGGGTCGGGTTAGGGTTGAAGCTCTCAACTCGAACCCGACAAGACAACCCGATCATAATATATTAATATTGATTAATATATTCATTATATATATAAAATAATCATAATTTAATAATTTTCTCATAAACTAAGTTCAATTTTAAATAATTCAACCTAATTTACGCTCAAACCAATAAAAACTAACATAACATGATAACACAACAAAAAATTATTTAATTTGAATCAAGAAATTCGACTTAATTATGTATACGGATCAACACGAACCCGATGCGATAATAAACGGGTCAATCCGAACCCAACACGATAATAAACGGGTCGGATTATGATTGAGTAATTTAACCCGTTTAAAGTATTCAACCCGATACGAATCAACTCATTGTCAGCTCTACTTCTAAGTACAGTTTATTAAATTTGCACAATATAAATTATGCGCTATTTAAGTACATATGAAATTATATTTGCATACTGACATAATTAAGATCCATCATATTTTTGTGCAACAGTTTAATTAATTTTTTACAATAAAATTATTTGCAATAATATGAATCACTACACAAATAATTCCTACAAAATAACATATATGTGTACAAAACAATATGGTACTAATTACTAAATAACATGCATGTGTATAAAAAGTAACACACTTTACTAAACATGTTTAATACTCCCTCCGTCCCAGAAAATATAGGACTATTACTGTAAATACGAAAATTTAGGTAAAATATAATTAGTAAGTAATTAAAAAGTGTATTACTAAAAATAATTATAGATTAAGATTAAAATAAATAAATAATTTAATTAAAATTAAGAAAATTATAAAATTTAAAATTTAAATGCGATTAAAGTGCATAATTATATTTCCAAAAATAGAAATGACAAGTCATGTGGAACGGATGAAAATAGAAAATAGAGACAAATTATATGTGGGACGGAGGAATATATATGTGACATAATTATTTATTTATAGATGTATAAAAACTAATATGTCCCCATAAATATATATATATATATTTATATATTTATATATCTATGTCATTTTAATACAATAGGTGTAAAAAAATCATTTATATCCAAACCTACATTAGTGTGTGTTTGTGGGTTTAGAAGGTAGAATTTGATTTTTGAATAATAAGAATTTTAAATTAGAATAATTGATTTATGCATATAAGTAAGTGTTGATATTCTTCTACATGTGAATTTAATTTTAATATAATATACTATTATATATAAAAATAAAATTATTTTTGATATTTGATATTTTTTGATAAAAAATACTCCTTTACTCGATACAATAGTCCTGTTTACCATTTTTGTCCGTCCCAAAATAATAGTCTCATTTTCATAAATAACTATATCACTATAAAACTACCCTTACTTTTTCATTATTATTATACAATTGTCACTGCTTTTTACACTAATACACTCACAAGGGCAAAAAAGTCTTTTATTCGTACTTTTTACCTATACTGATATAATATCAATATTCCTTATATTTCGTGTCAAACACAACTAGACTATAATTTTGAAACGGAGGAACTACTAAATAATAAAAGTAAAATAACTTAAAAACCCATAAAGAAGAGTGTAAGTTTAAATGTTTCTTTATTGTGATAATTGGGTCTATTATTCTCTCTTATTATGATTATTTGATATTTTGATTAATTGAATAAAATGTTTTGGATACTATTTGACTTTTAATTACTGTTTAATATAATTCCACACCAAATATATAGATAGCTTTTAGAAAATTATAATTCAAGCACAATAAATGAATGTACTGATTCAATCATATATTATTTTATAATTAATATTCCCTCCGTCATTCAATTGTGTGCTTATTTGACCGAACACCGATTTTTAAAAAAATATGTAAAAATAGAAATTTTTACTTTTTTTTAGTAAAAAAAAATAGTATTTTTTTACTAAAAAAAACGGAAATAAATTTGGATGACAACCAAAAAAGGAAAGTGAAAATAGATTTAAATAATAAGAGAGTATAATATATATTGTATTATAAATATACTGTTATATATAATATATATTGATTAATCGTATAATATATGATGATCCGTTCAAATCAGGATAGATCGATTTTCATAGATGTATGTTTGAGAATTGATCAGTTTAAAAATGAGAATAATAAATTTTTTTAAATGTAATTAAATTTTTATTTTTGTTTGGTGTTTTAATTTAAAATGTTTTTTTAGTGTGAGATATGAGAATATTGTTGGTAATAGAAAAAATATTTTTTTTATTGAATTATTAAATTTTGTGAGAAAATGAGTATAAATACTATTTCATCCGTTTGATCTAGCACCGAAGATACCTGAATTTAGAATAAGTATAATTAGTAAATAATTAAAAATATATTTGTAAAAATAATTATCTTATACTATAAATAATTATAAATTAAGATTAAGATAACTAATTAATTAAATTAAAAATTAAAATTAAGATTAAGATAACTAATTAATTAAATTAAAAATTAAAATGAGATTAAAATGTTGAATTATTTTTCATAAAAGAAAAGTGACATCCGACGTGAGACGAACAAAAATAGAAATATAGACACGGTAGGTGAGTAGGTGGAACGAAGGGAGTCTATATATTGAGAATCATGTAGAAAATTTTTTGATTGGGTGAACAATTTTTTTTTTTTTTCAGCCGTTAGCTTATTAAATAACTTTTAATTATTTGACAGGTCAAAAAGTCCTAATTCTGTTTCATACTTTGATAATTACACTATCAACTAATATAATAAATACCTTACAATTTAAAAAAATATATTATACAAATGTTATCATTTTTATATTATATAATACTAATAAAAATATTTTTGGCCTTTACACTACAAATCAACAAGAATCTAAAATGAAATTTATGTTTCATTTTTGTTTCAAACACATTATTACAGATATTACTGCTACCAATAAAAATATACTATTGTTTGTAATAAATCCATAAGTCTAGTTCTAAAGAGGTTATTTGAAGTTTTGTAATAGATTAAGAAATAATAGTATTGATTAATAGAAGTACTGTATAAATTAATTATTTGTAATAAAATATTATAATACATATGTTTCATTCTAAAGAGGCTCTTTGAGGTTTTATAATAGATTAATAAATAATAATCTTTTATTGGTTAATAGAAGTTCCTAAGAAGTTTTGACATTTTTGTCATTTATTTTTATGTATAAATTAATTGTATTTATAATAGTATATTTGTAATTTAAGTAAAAATTAATAATATTTGTAGTATTTACTAAATAGAAAATAAATATTTTATAGAGGAACAGACAAAAATAACAAAAAAACTATTTTGAATTAGAACAAAAAAAAATATTAAAATACTATTTAAACACAAATTTAAATTAAATATATAATTTAAAACCAAAACCAAATAAAATATATTTAATTATCATTTTATATATAAATAACTAATATAATATTCTCTTCTTTCCAATTGAAAGAAGCTTTTTTGTAGTTTTGTACTTCATCCATCCCAAACACATGTAACATTTTCTTTTTGGTATGTCCCGTCTCAAACACCCTGCAATATTTTCAAAATAAGAAATAATTAATTATATTTAATTTATACCCCACACTTTATCCTCTCACATCATTCAAATACAAAAATAAAATATATATTTCTCTCATCATCATATCATCTAATTTCTAAATTATTTTACTTAATACTATCCACCTAAAAACACGTGCCAAAAGAAAATATTGCACCTGGTTTGGAACAGAGGGAATAGTAAATTAAAAAATAATACTAATATTTTATTGGTGAGTAGAATAAGAGATTTTGATATTTTTGCCATTTGAGTATAAAATAATGATATATTTGTAATTTAAGTAAAAATTAAATTATATATTAGTATTAATGTATAATTATTTTTTTCAATATAAAAATGATATTTTAAATGAGATAAATAAAAATAATAATAATAAATACTTTAAATTAAGACGATGGCATGGGATGGGAGTATCATTATTATTTTATGGAATATTTTAAAATTATCAGCTAATTAATACTCCCTTTATCTCAAATACTATGTCCAGCCGTTTCTGTCCGTCCTACGTACCATATCACTTTCCTTTTTTGGAAAATGATTACACACTTTAATTTCATTTTAAATTTTTTAATTTTATTTTTTTTAATTGTAATTAAACTAATTACTTATCTTAATCTTAATTTATAATTATTTATATTATAAAATAATTATTTTCACTAATACATTCATAATTATCTACTAATTACACCCCTCCTAAAATACCGTGTCCACAGTGACGACGACGAAGGGAGTATAATTTTTACCAGATACTTTATAACAAATAGTTAATACCGATTAATCAAATCAGTTAAAAGTTAACAACCTGGGCTTCTTCGGACGACCAGTCAGGACTTTCTATGGTCACTTAAGCAGACCCAAACAGGGAGTTGAAGGAGGGGGACTTATCCGAGGCTGAAAAGGGGGCTTTTTGGATTATTTGCTAAATATAATTTTTATAGAAACAAAATAAAAAATAAAAAATAAAAAAACAGAAAGTTATAAGGAAGTCTGTTTGGATGGATGCATGGATAAAGATAGAAATATACGGAGTAATATATAAACTCATTAGTGATTACCTGTCAATCAAATATCCTATCCAAACGGACTCCTAAGATATGCTGTTGTGCGTACAATGAATGAACGATGAAATAGAAAAAATATAATAATAGTCGTGAATATAATTTAAGAATAAAAATCTGTAGAAAATAAATATGCTTTTTTATTTAATAAAATAAATAATTTAATTGAAAAATATAATAGAGAAATAGAACGTATGCACATATAAAAAAATAATTTTAAATTTATTCACTTTATATTTTTGGATAAATTTATTTTTAATATTAAATACGAAAATTCGAAAAATTGTATCAGTATAGTAATATAAAATTAATATTTTGTATTCAAAATTGAATATTTATAAATAAATAATATATATTATATTTTTTAATAATATTTATAAAATATTATGTCACTAAAACATACAATATGAACAAACCTGATTATAATCAATTAAATGAAAATTAAGTGCATAATCCCATGTTCCATGGGAGAAAAAATAGATTTTTGTTAGTAAAGAGTTGAAATATAGTTGTAAAAAGAATTTATAATTTATATATAAATAAATAAAATATTGGAATATTAATCATATTTTAATTAATTAATTAATTAATTGCTATTACATGGACGTCAAGCGTATCTACCCCTCCCAACGACTCATGCATGCATGAATATACACATTTTATTGCGTAGTCCTATATTTAGGGTTTTCCGTCCAATCAAAATTTTTTTTTTCATGATACAATTTTTAATATACTCCCTCAGTACCGGAACAAGGGTGACGTTTATTTTTTGCACATAGATATTAAATATTAGTATTATAATGGATTGTAGTGAAAATGACGAAAATACCCTTATTACTATTGTATAATATTAAAGTAATGACATTTGTGTAATATAATGTAAGTTGGAAGCATATTTATTATATTAGGTAGATAGTACAATTACTAAGTTTTGGAACGGACGAAAGTGAAAAATGACAACCTTTTAATGGGACGGAGATAATATTTATATTTATATTTTTTTATAAAAATTAATAATTTAATATAAAATATTATTATTTTTATATATTGATAAAAAGAAGTAAACCTTAATCTTTTATTTGAAAATTTTAAATATCAAGATTTAAAACAGAAGCCTGTTAACCATTCAAATTCAAATAAAAATTCAAGTATAATAATAAGAATAACAATATTCTAGAAGTTTGTTTGGATTTGATGGATGAAGTTTAGAAAATCAGTATACAACGATGATATATCAAATCAAATATCATAATCTCTTGTTCCGTAAGGGATGGCCTGGTGGCGTAGGGATTTGATGTGTGATCATGAGATCATGGGTTCAAACCCTCGACACCTCAGGTTATTGACTTGAATTAGCGCCTATTCCATATCAATTTCAAACTAATTATTTGGGACGGTGAGTATAAATCAAATAGTTATAGTTTTTGCTTCATTAAATATGATATATATACAGGATCAAAATAAAATAGATGTGCGCCTTATTATGCTCCTCACTCTCACTCTCTCTCTTCTCACTCTCACTCTCTCTCTCTCTCTCTATTCCTAAATTCGCTCTCTGTTCTCTTCTTACTTTCTGATTTCTTTCGTTGATTTGATTTTGATTTGAGCCTTTTTCTGATTTATCCTCTCCTCCATCCATGGAGGATACTTATAAAAACCAGGAGAAGTTAGATGAGAAGAAAATTAATTGCAAAGGAGTGGCCATGGAGGATGGAGCAGGATCGGAGGGGAAAATTTTGATGAAGCTGAAGTTGCCGCAGAATATGGCGGTGGAGTCGGAGGTCGCCGGAGAACCGAAGATGCATAACTGTCCGCACTGCGATCGGAGTTTCACCACCGGAAAGGCTCTGGGAGGTCACACGAGCAGCGCGCACGTAAAGTCGGACAAAAATTACGTCAGGAAGAAGCTGAAACCGAAGAACGGGCGAGATTCCGAAACGACGGCGCCGGCGACGGAGTTTGTCTGCAATGAGTGCGATCGGAGCTTTCCGTCGTTGAAGTCGCTGCACGGACACATGAGGAGCCATCCGAAGAGAGATGATAGAGGATTGAAGTCGAAGACCAAGGTTAAGATTAGTTTTTCTGCAAACCCTAATTTCTCCAAATTGGGGAAAAATTGTGGAGACGACGGCGAGATCGAATTAGGATCATCAGAAGATACAGAGGCTCCGTCGAGCAGTACTTCAAGTCAGAATCCAAATTTCAAGACGTGGTCAAAGACCGGAAAGCGCGGCCGCGCGGCGTCGCCGCCGCGTAAGGCGGCGGAGTTGGAGGAAGCCGCAGAAGCTTTGGTAAAGCTAAAAACTGATTACTTCAACGTGCCACCGACCTATAAGAAGCTGAGGGTTTCTGAAGACAAATTAAATCCTCCATCGCCGCTGAAGACCGAAGCCCTAATTGAAATTGGGGTAAAGGAGTCATCCGCCATGGCTGAACCAATCCGCAAGAAAAAATCGGATAAGGCAGAAGCAAACCCTAATCAGAAACACACATGCGACATATGCAAAAAATCTTTCCCAACACATCAGGCATTGGGAGGGCACATGTCGAGCCACCGGAAATTCAAGATCAGCGTCGAGGACAACGCCACCACCTCCGCCGGAAAATCTGCGGCGGCGAGTCATGAACACGTTTGCAAGGTTTGCAGGAAAGTCTATGCAAGTGAGAAGGCATTGGGAAAGCACGTGAGGAAGTGCCATGGTGATGCTGAGAAAGAACAGCAGCAGCAGCAGCAGCAGCAGAATTCTGACCTGATTTCGATGGAGATGGAGCAGAAATTGGTGTTGAATTTTGATCTGAATGAGGTTCCTGAAGAAGAAGAAAAAGCAAAGGGTGCATAGACTGGCAGAAGAATTATGCAAGATTTTAAGGTAGGTAGATTTAATGCTTTTTAATTCCTTTTTGAAACCTTTTAGTTAAGCTAATGGATTTGAGTCAATCTGTTCTTGTTTTTGCTGATTCCAAGGATGATGATGATCATGATCATGTATTGGTATTTCTGGAACAGTTTGGATCTAATTAGGGTTTAATTTGATGTCAATTAGGATGATTGATTGGTTTAATGTTACATCTTATTAGCAACAATATGCCAAAACAAACAAATTAATTAATATATGGTTCATTTTATGTAAAATTTGTTGCTTTAAAGTAATCCTCTTGTTTAATTTGGTTAATATACAAAATTCAAGATTAGTATGTTTATTTTGATATGGTTTTTGCTTACACAAATATACAATTTAGCTCTAATTCAACACAAAAGAGAATGATTAGAGTACTATAATCAAAGCGATTTTTACTATGTTGAATTTTTCGTGCACTAACTAATATTACTATAGACAATATACTTCATCCGTCTCATAACTAAATATTCATTTGTTTTTTCACGTGGTTTTAGAGATATTAGTATTATATTATTTGTAATATGCATTAAGTAGAAATGACTAAAATAACCTTATTACTATGTTTGATATAAATGTAATGACATTTATGTAATATATTGTAAGTTGTAAGGGTATTTGTAATGTTAGGTAAACAGTACAATTACTAAAAAAAGAAATGGATACTTTGTCATGGAACGGACTAAAATGGAAAAATGGATACTATGTTATGGGACAGAGGGAGTATTATTTATATTAGCGTAATACAAATATTCGTATTAACAAAAAGAGAATGATTAGAGTATTACTCATTTGATACTGTTCATTTTTTAAAAAATATCATATAAAATACACTTTTTTCTCACAAAACATCAAATCAAATACTTTCTTTTTTCAAATTTTCAAAAACCTCCAAAGACAAAAAAAAATAAATAAAAAAATCTCTATCTAAACAAACTCATAGTCTCGTATATCATATACTATTATTGATTATAACACATAACATACTTATATGCACAATTATAAAATTTTTACAAACTATTCTAGAATCGAATTAGCTTGTTGTTATACAACAAAGACAAATGTCCACATCAAACTCTTAAAAAGTTTATTTGGTTTTAACCTAAAATCAAAATCAAAATTATTTAGCTACTAATACAAGTATACTCCATTTATTTGAAAATATGATTTGTTCATTTATATTTTAATTAATTTCACCATACAAAGTATATGGTAATAAAGTGATGATAAGTGAATACAACTAAATAAAAAATTGTATCTTTAAATATTAGTCGCACACTATTTATTAATTAGATTTAAGAGATTTCTTAATTGCAATTGATTTTATTTCCTTATTCAAAATCTCTTTCCTAATATTGCTTTGACCCTGTCCCAAAATATAGTAACTGATTAAGGAACTGAATTGAATGTAGGGATGCTTTGAAAATTTATTACCTAAATTAGTTAGATAGCCCAAACAGTGTCCGACATTTGTTTTTAGCACAGAAATTTAGGTGAGAAACATTAAGTAGGATACTTTAAGATAATTTTGATATTAAGTGATGTGATTGGAGAGATAAATAATTATTTATATTTTTTATTTGAGTGATGTGATGAGATAAAGTGAAGTGTATATTAATATATGTATATAAATATTATTAATTATTTCTAAATTTGAAAATATTGCAGTGGGTTTGAGACAAACAAAAAATGAAATATTGCATACTGTTTGGAACTGGGACCGAGTATTATAATGCATTTAATGTAAATTGGTTTTTTAATTTTCTTTTATTTATTTTTAGTGATAATTAATTGAGCTATTACCAAAAAAAAAAACAAAAACAAAAACAAAACAAAACAAGAACTACACATATTTGCCAAATTTATTTATTTATTTAATTTCATTGCTACAACCATGCGAGCTTACAACATTCCAGTTCTTTTCTTTCAATTTTGAATTATTTAAAAACAACCGATTAAACTAAATTCCTTACTCCCTTCGTCCGATGCAAGGTTGTCGTTTACTTTTTGTACATAGATTTTTTAATATTAGTATTATAATGGGTTATAATAAAAAAAAGACAAAAATATCCTATTAGTATTATGTAATATAAAAGTAGTGACATTTGTATAATATAGTGTAAATTGGAAGGGTATTTATTATGTTAGGTGGTAGTACAATCAGTAAATTATGAAATAATAACTTTGTTTTGGGACGAACGAAAATGAAAAATGGTAATCTTTCAATGAGAGGAAGAGGGTATGTTTTTTCAATTAAAATTTAGTTAGCAGTGCTTGTACCTGGAATATCTTTGTAACGTTTTAAAATCGATATAAATATATATATATATATATACATTCGCTTTGGTCAATCAACACATGTTTATAAAGAAGATAATATATATTTGACAGTATATGTTAATACAATATATGATACATATTTTGGAGCACAATATAGTTTCTCCGTCCCAAAACTAAGTATTCATTTGCTTTTTGCACGTAGTTTTAGAAATATTAGTATTATATTGGAATATAATAGGAATAAAATAGAAATTACTAAAATAACTTTATTAGTACGTATGATATAAAGTAATGACATTTGTGTAATATATTTTAAGTTGTAAGGGTATTTGTAATGTTAGGTAGAAAGTACAGTTACTAAAAAAAAGAAATGAATATTTTTGTTACGAGACAGACTAAAATGAAAAAATGAATACTTTGTTGTGGGACGGAGGAAGTATTATGAATTTAGTACAATATATGCAATAATATTATTTTTAGTATGTTAATTTTGTCAAATCAACAGTTATGAAACTAATATGAATTAATTAAGATTATATGCAAATTAATGCTAACTAATACTCCCTACATCCAACCGACATATGATACATTTTTATTTTTAATCCATCACAACCACAATGACAAATTTTTATTGGGTAAAATATTTTTTTAGTCTCGTAATAGACGCTTATCATTTTAGTTCCGTAAGTGGAGTCTGTCGCAAACTAGTCCTAAAAGTGAAAAATTTTCGTTGTTTTAGTCCTCTGGCGCCGTAAACGTCCGCGTGGCTCGCTGGAGGCCACGTGTCCGCCGGGTCAGCGACACCTAACGGACACGTGGATTTTATTTTTTTATTTTTCATTTTTTTAAATTTATTTTTAATTTTATTTGCTTTTTTTAATTTTTTTATTTGATCCAATTGAAAAAAAAAAAAAAAAAAAAAAAATCCACATGTCTGCCAGGTGTCGCTGACCTGGCGGGACACCTGGCAGACACGTGGATTCCGGCGAGCCACGCGGGCGTCTCCGGCGCCGGAGGACTAAAACAACGAAAATTTTTCACTTATGTGACTAGTTTGCGATAGCTCCACTTACGAGACTAAAATGACAAAGGGTTTAGTTATGGAACTAAAAAAAACAGTTTATCCATTTTTATTTATAGTAATAATTAATAATCGTAAACATAATTAAAAGTTTGGTTTTGGTTTGAATTGAGTTTTTAATTTGATTTTTAGTTTAAAAAGTATTTATGTAATATTTTGTAATAGAAAATATTACAATTTTGTTAGTAACAATATGACTTGAACAATATATATATATATATATATAGTTTTTATACCAAAAAACTCATCAATAAAAAATTTTAAGTTGTGTTTTTTTTAGTTAGGTTAGATATGAGGAGTATTATTGTGTCAGCTTATTTAATTTTTTGTGAATAAATAAAATGTACTATATTGTTTAGATGTGTATATATTGTATTTTTATAATATTTGGTGATCCCAAAATCGATTAGGTAGCTCGCAACAACAACAAACTCAAATTTACGATCAAACTGTAAATTTTGCGACACAACATACATACACTAGTTGTTTGCTTTCAAATCAGACTACCAATACACACTAGTTACGACAAAAACAAAAAACACAAAATAATTATTAAGTAAGTTCGACCAAAACGAGATTCACGAATAAAACATTTTGAAGCATGAGTATAAGATGAACACACTCGTAATTAAATCTTAATTATTTGAACATGTTTATTGTAGATATTTATTTGCATTTTTAATTGAAAATGTATTTTCAAGAATTTTATTTTTGAATTTTGGAATATATTTATTGCAAAAGTTTTTTTTTTTTTTTTTATACTTTTTTTGGTATTTAAATTTGTAACATGGTAATGGTAGAAACTTTTATACCATATGGAAAAAATAATGAAAATACCAAAAAATTTTGGTATAGTGCCGTACAAAGTTTTTTCGTAACAATACTATAATAATATATAGTTTTAATCATTTTGGTATTTTTAGAATTTCAATATAATAACAAAAATTGTCACACTCCATATGTCCTAAAATAAAAAATATTTTTTTTTTAAGATTAAGGGGTTTACGCACTGCACACTTTCGGACAGCAGGTGTGGATTCTCACGCCATATATATATATATATATATATATTTTGTTATTTTGATTCGTTTCAAATAATTTTTTTTTAAAAGGTAATTATATTATTTATTTAATATTAAAAATATTTTTACCATTTATAATAAATTGCATAAATATCATTAACTTTATATTACCATTATTAATAAAAGTATTTTTGTTGTTTTATCTTCATTTGTTCTAAATATATATAATACTAATATTAAAAACTTTACGATGTATCAGTATATATCAACAATCGGATATACGGTATACATTATAAATTTTAGCCGTAACCAACGAAATTTATATTCATCACAAATGTTTATTGTGCAAATGTTTATTTAATTTATGTGCATTCAAATTTATTGATGTATACTAATGGTTACATTTATGTCATTATACTTAACATTAAAAATATTCATATATTTATAAAATTTTATGTACAAATATTTTTTTATTATTATAAGACACTAATGAAAGTAATTTTGTAATTTTTTTTTAATTTGCACTACGTTTTGATATAATAATTAATATTCAAATATCACGCAAAAAGCAAATGAAATCTTTAAAGCAGGACTTCTAAGTTTGGCAAAAACTTTACAGAATAGTGCATTCGAAGAATAATGATTATGAGTTCTTATGTTATAAAAAATAATATTAAAATATTACTGATAAAATATACTCCCATCGTCTTCTTTTGAAATGGGCACTTTGGAGTTTTATAGTAAATTAAAAAATAATAGTATTTTATTAGTTAGTAAAAGTGTGTAAGAGATTTTGATATTTTTTACCTTTGACATTATGTAAAAAAATAAGTTTATGTCTAATGGTATATTTATAATTTGAATAAAAATTTAGTGTGTGTTTCTTTGAGGATTTGGATTTTGGATTTAGATTTTTTAAGATTTGTAAGTATGGATTTTTAAGTTGTGTTTGTTTGAAGATTTGAATTTTGTAATGATTATGTTGGAAGAAATTATTATTATATTGAAAAAAGTAATGTATTAATGAGATAGTTTGAAACGAATAATATTTAAATATTGTTAAAATAAATAAAAGTTAAAAAGTAAAGTGACTTTGGAATTGATATTTTAAAAATAATTTTTTTATAGAAAAATTTGGAGATATTATTATTTTAAGGGTTTGTTTGTTTGAAGGTTTTGATATTTGTTTAGGGGATTGAATTTTATATTTGGATTTTTTAGGATTTTGAAGTATAAATTTTTAAGTTGTGTTTGTTTTGGACGTTTGAATTGTTGGACTAATTTTATATTTGTTTATTTTATATTTTCAGATTTTGTTGTATTATTCTATCAAATTTTTTATATTCATCCAATTCTTTTTTACAAAAAATAGCAAATCAAATACTTTTCTATTTTCTATAATTAGATAATAAAAACTTATAAAAATTCTTTTTTACACAAAAATAGCAAATCAAATATTTTTCTATTTTCTATAATTATATAATAAAAATTTATAAATTTAAAATATAAATCATCAATACATAGTATTTAGTTTTTACTAATAATAATATTATTTTAAGTTTATAAAAAATTAATAATATATAATAATAAATATATTTATCCTAACGTGCTAATCAATGAATTCACCAGCAACGCCAAATTCTTTTTCTTCTCCTTTCTTTTCAATTCTCTCATTTTTTGTCTTTTTCACCCAGCAGTCTTTACCCACCGTCCCTGTTGCTCCGCCACCTTCTCCATTCCCCACCAGTTAATATATATATTTTTTAAAAAAATAAAAATAAAAAATCGTCGATTCGAATCGAAAACTGCTGATTTGAGTTCAGACAAGGCCGGTTTTGGTTCGGTGACGGTTTTGGAACCGCCAGTGTGAAACCGGAAAACCAGTTTCGGTTCGATGACGCCTGTTTGAAATCGGCGAACCGACGTGTCCAACGGTCCGTTCGAAACCGACTGAACAAGTTTGGACAAGAGAGACTGCGACCATTTCTAACAAAAAGAAAGCCTATGAATCAACAGCGGCCATAGGTTTTAGGTGTGGAATTTTTAAATTTAAAGTCTACAGTAATTATACGATATTTTCTATATCCAATCGGCCAAACGAACACAGCTTTAGAGTATTTTGGTATTCAGTGCAATTTTTTTTTTAAAAAAAATTACTTTGAAATAAGATGTAAAAAAATAATAATAATAAAAAAAAAATACGAATGAAGTATTAAATTAACACTTATTATTGTATTAACATGCATTATTAATTATATATGATGCATTTTGTTGTATTAGCATATAATATGTATTTTGAATTTAATAGTGCAATCATGTATTACATTTTATTAATATAAATAATACCCTCTATCACCTAAATTTATACTACGTTTCTCACCTAAAAATGTTCCAATTTTCTGACGTAGGGAATACATTAACATTTTTATTGTGCTAATATATATTACGTACTATAATATTGAATATGATATTGTATAAATTATATATTATATATATCTACTTGTTACAACAAAAGCCAACGTGATTAACGTGCTGAATTTGGGACAAAACGTGATGAATCATAGAGGCAATTAATTTCAATGTCACACAGTTACCTCCCCTCTCCAACGTCATGTCTTTAATATAAATATATATATATATAATTATTATTATTATTATTCTATTTTTTTCACTCACCAAAAAGACCCCCCTTTATATACAGAAAAAAATGCAAGCAAGAAAACGCCTCAGTTTCAGCTAAATTGCTGATCATCATCGTCGTTGTCCGGCTGGCACCTCCGAGGGAGGATCACCACCACCCCCCCCCCCCCCTGCTATATACAGCATGCATCCTCAAAACCAAAAACAATCTGATGCCAAATTAACGTCGGCTGGCTGCCTGCGAATTCGACTCTTAGAATTTTACCTAAACTCCCTCCATATAAGCACCATAGTCTGAGTCAAGTCCAGTCCTTATCACCGATGATCATGAGCATCTGCTTGCGTGGATTTACAATTGTTCTTGTCTTTGGCGCGCTTGAAGTCGTCCAAACTTCGATATTCTTCTCTAAGAAGTCTGTCCAGTTCAGGATTCTTTTTCACAGTTTTCTCTTCTTGATCCCCCCGGTAGTGGTGAAATGCCCTGCCAAGATCGAGATTTTATGTTCAACAGCCTCCTCCTCCTCCAAATTATTAGTAGCAAAGGGCAGGGCAGTTTTAATTACCAGTATTTTTCCAGGCCGTAGAGGTTCCCTCGGTTATAGAAATCAAGTGTAAGCTGTTCAAATTCTTCGTACAGCTCGTCTTTGAACTCCTTCTCCAACCCATAACTGATACAATAAAACAAATTATAGGTTGAGGCAATTATGGTTGAAATAGAGTCGGTCGAGGAAAGTAGAAACCTGCCTGTAAAACCTGAATAGGCACTCGACCCCATAATTGTAGCCAGCACTGGCATCTTCAAGAGCCAATTTCTTGAATTCGTTGTACATGGAGTCGACAAACATGGTCCTTAGAAAATAACACCAGAACCTGTATATTGTGTTCATCTCCTGCAATGAAGAGAAGGGCAATAAAATTGATGTCAGTAAATGCGTTCGTTCGTTGTTATAAAATTGTACTTTCGGAACAACAGCACATTCATTATCGTTTCTTTATATGATGAGAACTAAGAACCAACTCCAAAAGGTACCTACCTCACTGCAGCCAATTCCTAATTTCTTCCGATCACTGAGGCACCGTTTCTTGTATTTCTTGTACCTGAGTAAAGGAAAGTTATTTATCATAAAAGTCAAAGTTTTAGATGATATTTATAGTGAATGTTTAATCCTACAGCAGAATTCAAATATTAGTATATTCCAGCAAATAAATATTCTTTCGAGATCTATATTTGTAGCCTAAACTTCATGTAAGATAGATTTATAGATATCCTTACAATTGTTGCTTGAAACCATTTTCCTCCAAAAGTTTGTGACTCAGATGCTGAAATCCAGGAAATGACTTCGACGCTAAACCAACAGGTGAACTGCTTCCTGACAGATTACTCTGAGGTGAAGCACTCAACTTTGAATGCCTGATCCTGCAATTTTCCCAAATGTGCATTTACAAGGAGAAAAGAAAAAAATAATAATAAAACAATGTTGGATGTGATTTAGAAAAGCAGGAAAGAAGAAAAGATGTTCACCCATGACTATCTGGAGGAGTAGAACCAAAGAAAAAACCAATTGCATCAGTAGGTGGACTTTCAGATATTATTCCAATAGAGTTTTCGCCACTTCCTTGTCCTTTAACACTGCTATAGAACAGTCGTTGCCTATGAATGGAATGATGCTTTGAGTTTCCTCTACTTTGCTTTTGTCGAGAATTAGAATCTCCATGGCCTTCGCAGCCTCTTGCTCCAGCGCACTGAGTGGACACCTTTGAGTTCGAAACATCAGCATTGCCAATGGAGCATGTGGTGCTTTCATCCCTGCATCCCCGCCCTGAGTTTAATTCCTGAAAAATGAAAGAATAATGCGTTTCTTTTTACGTTTCTTAAGGTTGTGATCACACAGAAATTCATTAAAAATCTGGCAACCTGCTCATAAAAGTAGAGGCTGTCGCTAATAGCAGAAGCAAGTTCACAAGACATGGTTTTGGATTCTTCACAGGGTCCTTCGACTGTCCCACTATTCTGCAGTGTAAAGCAATTTGGTCAGCAATTCTACAAAAGCCCCTCATGAATTCTCTCAGCCAAAGTGCCTAACTCAATGTCAAAGACCACTCCAACCAACCAATGGAAAGACATGTAAGAAACAATAAGCAGAGATAATTTCTATACATAAAGCATCGATGAAACAATTGAGAATTTATATGTATATCTATATGTATCCTGCTTACAGAAAAGAGGTTGTAAGGCGCCAAAAATTGAGAGCTGTTAAAGCCAGACAATCACCATTGAAGGACAGTAAATTGAAGGAATGCAACCAAATAAGAATGAATGGTACAATTTTATTGAGTTTGAGGCCCTCACAGAATCAACTACTCAGAGGAAGGAAATATTTGTCTTAGTCCAGCTATAGTATTCTGAAAAAGAACTTCATTTTAGGAGATAATACAACTGGATATCAGCAGAGATAGACATAAAGTACTAGTTTATTTATCAAATAACAGCATCTGGAATTTATTCACAAGTGGTGCAAGATATCATTAGTAGATAATTAAACCAACAAAATTATCCTACACAGTGCCATAGATGATGAGTCTGATCCATATGGAAGGTATATGTTTCATATGGATCTCAAGTGTTCTTGCAGCAATTTCGAGGTATATTTCAAACTAGACATAAAATAATCTTTTTGAGGCTCATGAACGTGATCCTGATGAAGGTTCAGAGGATATATCAGCATCACCAAACAGTATCAAAGAGTAACTAATATTAGTAAGCAAGAAATGCTCCCAAAGAACCCAACCAGGTTTCGCGGACTGACTGACCTGAGTGATAATTACAAGCCGTTCAACAGTTCGATCATTAATAGTGATTTCATCATCTTCTTCATCAGCCCTGCAAGACATGGCATAACAAATCAAAGTAAGTCAAAACGCCTCAGGAGTATGCAAATTTATCCATGTACGGGGAAAAAGGTGAATAACATATGCAACAGAAGAATCAGTAAACAACAGCACGGTCATTAAATGTAAAATTAAATTCACTGAACACTAAAGAAAAGCACAGACAAATAAAAATTGAATTATTTCTGATAAAGTTGCAGATAGATTAAGCCTCGAATACCTTCCCATGGTGGAAGTGTGATCATTATTAGTCAACCTCTGCTCTTGGTCAAGTTCTTCATCAAGCATAAATGTGCTTGAAAAATCATTAGAAAAGTCATCCAACTCAGGACTGACCGACTTAATTAAGTCACCTCTTTGTGAGCCTACTGAATTTAATTTAGTATTGTTGGGCTGAAAATCTAAGTCTTTGATCGAATTATCGTCTCCCGAAGGATGCTTTTGTGTCTCAACGTTTGTAAGAGCACCATCATTGGCTTCCTCTATATCATTGCTAACAGGTTTCTTTATTTCCCCCACATCAACAATAGGACACCCACTTGGTGGAGGAAATTCTGATGTTCCTGTGGACACCTCCCTCTGGTTTTCATTGTTATCAATATTCTGCACGGGATTTGCATCTGTTAACAAAGATCCAATGCTCGGAGAAGTTAAGATCCACTTTGACCACTCATTGCGTCTCCTAACCTTCTCATCCTGTGGAGGTAGAAATCCAAACCTCAATAGTAAGTAACAAGAGAGACACAAAACTTTTAGAGGGAAAGGAGGGGAAGCTAAAATGAACATATTGTCAAACCTTCACTTCAAGAGTTTCTGAAGCCTGCAATGCGTCGATAATAAATGGAATATCAACCTTCATTTTTTCAACCTACAAAATTAAAATGAAAGAATGCAAATATCAGGTAAATAGTAAGAGATTAAAAAAAGAACGAAAGAAAAAAGTTAAGGGAGTCAATCAAGGAACTTAGACAAGGATTTGAAGCAATGCCCGCCCTATTATCAAAAATACCCGTCTGCCAACAAAAAAGCAAAACTAATAGTGCTTTTAAAATCCTACGAATCCTCAATCTCAAAAAGGATGACAATCATCAAAGCATTCTACAATATGAAGAATTTGCTAAAACGTTACTCTTTTGAAGCCAGCAATTTTTGATAATGGAACCCATCCTTCATTGTCCATCTGATAGATCAAGTAGTAATCCCTGTCCAGATTCTCATCACTGCAAACAATGAAGCAACCCTCTGATGTCACTATCACTGAATTAATATGTTAGAAAAAGCTGCATCTTTATATATGTTATATGGATTCCACAAAAACATTAGCATATCCATGCTGCCATCTAACTGCTGGAAGTTAAGGTTGCGTGATAATTAAAAAACACAACTCAACCAGATCCCAAAACATAATAGGGTAAACAATGGAAGGTCATATTGCCTATTGATAGCAGGCTAAAATCAAGTGTACAAGAAATAGCTGAAGACATAGCAGTAGGATTTAAATTTTATTATCATATTTACGACACTAAATCAGTTTAAAACTCTCACCTGAAATAATATTCAATTTGCTTTACAACACTAGCCCTCAAGGCTGCAGTTGGTGAGGATGACACGGGATTTCCTGGACTCTGAGGAGGAGGAACATTATATGGTGTCCAAGGAACTCTAATAGAGCCGGGAGGAGGGGGAGGAGGAGGAGGAGGATAGAAATACATTACACCTGGTGGACCTGAACCGGGGATGTCCTTGTTAGAAATCTCACCTCAAAGAAGTAATATATTAAGAGAAAAGTCAAACAAAAATAAAAAATAAAAATAAAAATGACAACAAACTTGATAGGGCAATATGTTAAGCAGTGCTAAGACAGAAAAACAATTATTTCAATGTAAAAATATATATATATTTATATAGTAATAACCTTGAAAGTGTGACCCATCAACAAAGCCTACAGGGAAAAACATAGGACCAGGCCTATTCATAATTCTAGGCCCCATATTTTGCTGCAAATGTAAGTTACTATAACCAACTGGCCGTTGATTATTCAAAGAAGGATTTGCCTGTCCACCATTTTTATTTGTACTTGACCTTCTTCCAACAGAATTTGAATCATAGGAACTCAAGGCAGGGCGGGGTGCAGGCTGAGATCCCCCATTTACTGGTTTAGCAAAAGCTTGTCCTGGATCACCACAAGAATCTACCATTTGAGTATCAACTCTAGGGAAAGGTCCTGGGGGAAACCAATAAGCATATGGAGGGGGAGGGGGAGGGGGAGCAATGGGTGGAACAGGACCAATAGGATGAAAAACTGGTGGAAATCTTTGAGCATGATATGGTAGGCGAATGGGAAATGGAGGTAAACCATTTTGGAAATGCTTAGGGCCAGCATTGTTATGATGCACAGAGTACGGTCTGCGGGGGGATCTAATTCTACCACGTCCATGGAACTTCTGTTGCTCAACTGTAGCCTGCAATACAGACAAAATTTAGAAAGTTGGTACCAAAATAAACATTTATCGAACATGATCAATCAACCACGTGAAATAATTAATGTTACATTCAGCGAACAGCAGAAATAGCATCTGAATCAAAACCTATCCTAGTGTACAGCTATCAGAAATGTATGAGATGCTTCATGTTTCATAATTTCAATCTTGAACAATGCAGCAGCAATTGAAAAAATATTTTTTGGTACACATATTCATTATTACGAAGTTCATAATCCAAGAAAAGACCTTTTTCTAGGCATAACATTGCAATTCATTCCCGTTGTTCTGTACTCTAAAAAACAACAACATTTCCCAGTCGACATGCCAATAGTAAACTGAAACGATTTATGTCCTTTCACCTTTGAAGATACTCGTGATCAAATCGTGTCCGCTAACTTTCCGTGTAGAAATTTTAAGTAAACATATACAACATATTAAAAGTAACATTATTCCTATTCACATTAAAGGAATGTATCCCATTCTGTTCTGTATAAAAACAAGCCTTTACTGCATTGGTATTTCTTGATTCCGACTAGATGAAATCCTAATAATGATAATAAATAAACAGACATAGGATTTGCACCTACCGAAGCGGCAGTAGAACCATCCATCAATGCAAATGGTGGCGCCGAAAGCGACTTGGACGACTTAGAATCAACGATCTCATGATTCTTCGACTGCTGCGTTTCGGAAAGCGCCGGCCAGGACACCGAATCAGTAACCAGAGGGCCAGCGGTTGCCGTTTTCCACAGAGACTTAGGAGGTCCACCTACCATGGCCAGCTGATTATCAACCGGACCACCACCACTACCACCGTCATCCCCATTGTCCCCCTTCTCCATAGCCATGAACAAATAAATAGTCGAATGCGTTTAATCAAACACAAGTAAGCGTAAAAATAGCAGAAACGATCAAAGATAAAAATTTGATAACCAAATTGTATGGGAGCGTAAATTATCAGGTACGGCAGCCACCACCGGTGGCGTTTTGGCGGGTGGAAGGGGAGTGAGAAAAAAGTAATGTGCGTGTGCGAGAGAGAGGAGTGAAGAGAGACTAGGGTTAGCAGCCTTTCACTTTCTAAATTACAAATAGTACATGTCATTTTCATATGTTTGTAAAGTTTTGATGGGTTTATTTATTATTTGGGCTATTATGTAAAATCTAAATCTATAAAAACTTAATAGGGATGGCAATGGGTTAAAGTTTGGATCCAACTATATAAAAATTTAATTATATCTTGATTTTACAGAAAAAAATAATAATAATAATAAAATAAATATGTTCAACTGAAATTTAATTATATATTGATTTGATTTAAAATTTACAAATAATAATAATAATAATAATAATAAATAAATATGTTCGAAATTTATCGAGTTGTACATGCATATTAATGAACCGAACCGTGTTTGGCTCACCCGATTCATTAAAATTAATATTTGACAATCTATATTTATATATGTATTAATTAATGAAATAATAACAAAAGTTACTTAGTGGTAAAATTGTAATTTTATTTATATTTGATTAAATTTGTTCATAAATTTATGTATTTTATTAAAAAATAATGCTACACTGTTGGGAATTATTTATCTATTATATTTTATGCTATCACATTATTCAAATAAAGAAAAAAAAATTATTGCATTAGACGGAGAAAATACATTTGTATTTAATTTTCTTTGTTGATTTAATGAGTTTTGTTTCTTCATGAACTATGAGTGAAAATACATTTGTATTTAATTTTCTTTGTTGATTTAATGAGTTTTGTTTCTTCATGAACTATGAGTGTTCGGAAGATTTATTGCTATTGTCGATCAGTTATGTTCGATTTTTAGGACTCGAATCCTTTTGCTTTAGAGGCTGTTGGACTAAAAACTCCTAAATTTGAGTCATTTTACTTAAAAAAATATATATTCTTTAAATATTTAATATTATTTTTTAAAAAATTACTTTTTATATTTACAATTAATATTATTTTTTTAAAAAAAAATAAAATATTAATATACAAAAAAATTAAAATTAAAAATATATATATACACACACAATGTCATTTTATGGCGTTGCTACACTGCAGCAAATACCAAAAATTATGTTAGAATTGGACGCTGGATTGGAGGGCATTAACTCCATTGATGAGCTTAGAAAATACAGCCTCTAAACGTCAAATATGAATCAATCCATAAGTAGTATATCTTACCATTTTAGAAAAGTGCTGAAGTTATAGCTCATTTGTGATGTTTTCGTTGCCAGAAGAGGAACGCCCCGGTGCTGTTGCTGTTCCCTGCTGGAGAGGACATCGTCGGCATCAACCACCGCTGTCCGCCGTTGATTGAATTGACTGGAGTAGCTGTCGTCTTTTTATTTTATGACTTTGGTTATAAACAAGTTATGTATAGAGATTTTTTTATAGTGATTCATTGTGTTTGCTTTTACAAAATCTAATCTCAATTTTTATAAACTACAAACATATTCCAAAACATTTAAATATGTCTCCGGTCTCACACATGATTTAGCTTAGTATGACTTATTTTTTCGAACTTAGTTTGTAGGGTATTATATTCAGTCAAAAATTTACTTAAAAGGCATTCGAATAATAATAATGACTGCAAAATTTTACATTATAAAAAAATTTTAAAATAAATTTAAAAAAAAAATGAAATATAAGTAGAATAGACTCGTCATCATCAAAATGGGTGATTTGCCTTATTACTATAAAACATCACATGTATCATAAAATAGGTTGGTAGTGCGAGAGTGAACTTGTGGCTGTGATACTATAAATTTTAAAAATAAAAAATAAAATAAAAAATAAAAAACATAAACAAAATTCTACAAATCATTTTACATATGATATTCAGTCCAATTGTTGTACAATTTATACCTTACAATTTTTCTAAGCTTTTTTACCTGTTATATCATTTTGAAATTCAACGTCACTCTTGAATTCAATGGTTACGCAACAATAAAATAATTAAAAAAAATAAAATGATGAAATTGATAATTAATAAAATTTGCCAACAAAAAAGGTAAAGGAGAATAATCTGTATAAATAAACACAGCGAAAAAGAAAGAAGAACGAAGCAAAGTAAATATTCTTTCATTCTCGCAAGCAAAGAAAATAAATTTGGTTATTTATTTATTAGCAGTATTTTACTTTATGAATATTTCATAATTAAATAAAGAGAAATACTATTAAAAATGAAATAAATGTAAGCATCTGATTCTGATGGGACCCACCGCGGCACCTGTATATATATATAACCTTCTCCGCTTTCGTTGTCTACGCACTCACTCGCACGCCATTAACGTGATTCTTCGAAAAGCTTGCGACGGAAGCAAATGGCGCGTCAGCTGACGGGCGATCAGATCTCCGCGTTCAAGGAAGCATTCGCTCTGTTTGACAAGGATGGCAACGGTTAGTTCTCGAATACGTCTATACGTACACTTGTTAGCAAGTTTCAAGTAGTTTTATAAGTTGAGTGTGCTAAACACATCATTTTAACTTATGAAATCATAATCGTTTATTTCACGTAAACATTTTTGTAGTTTATAATACTATAAACGGTGTGTGTATAAATTGGAGGATTACTATTTTTCTTCTTGCTCAATGCTGATTTGTAGGCGGCGTTATGGTTTTTGTTTTGAGTGTCTTCGGCTTGGTTTTTACGGATCTAGACGTTAGTTGACTGTGAATGAAGTGTCTTTCACTGTCGATGTGGTGTTGCGCCGGAAACTTATCAGTATTCGTCGATTTTGGGGGCTTAGGTGTTCAAATGTATGATTACTTTTACTCCGGCGCTTTTTGTAAGGTGTTTTTCATAATATGGTTGCTGGATGTTTTCCTTGGTTGAAGAAAGTATAACTTATCGGTTAAAGTGAACTGAAGAAGGTTTTGGATAGATATTTTCAACTATTCACGTTCACTGTATTGTTGCAGTACAGTAACAAAAATGTCTGATCTATAATTTGTATTCGATATTCATATTATTATGAAATCATACTATAATTGAAAACTTCGTTTAGTCTTTTACAAGTTAAGCATATCATCTCGGAATTGAGGAATCTCGGGCGATGCTTCTGGAATGCTTTCTTGGTGAATAATGTTTTTTTCGTTAACAGTCTTTGGTTGCTCGCGTGATTACTGATTAGTTATATACGAATTGAGACCTTTCATAAACTTGACGTTTTTAGTTAATCAACAAAAAAAAAAAGAGGACGTTTTTAGTTAATCAACAAAAAAAAAAAGAGGTTGTGTTTCACTTTGGATCTAGCGGAATTTTCATTTAGACTTTAATTGTTTTTCTCCATTCCATGAATTACTTGAATATGCAGTGTACGAAATCCTACGTCTGTTGTTTTAGACCCCAAGAGATTCTGGTTATGGAGCTGTTGCTATTGTTTGCTATATGCATATTTTCTCCGTGAATAGATGATAAGCTTCTATAAGGCCTTTTTCCACTCTTGCTCATCAAGTATCACTATTACCTAGTTAAGCATGACTTTCACATGTCTTATAATCTCATTGTGGATCTGCCACAGGTTACATCACCACCAAGGAGCTTGGGATGGTGATGCGCTCTTTGGGCCAAAATCCAACTGAAGTAGAACTTAAGGATATGATCAACGAAATTGATGCTGATAACAACGGAACAATTGACTTCTCTGAATTCCTCAACCTGATGTTACGTAAAATGAAGGAAACTGACTCAGAGGAGGAGCTCAAGGAAGCTTTCAAAGTTTTTGACAAGGACCAGAACGGATTTATCTCTGCATCCGAACTTCGCCATGTGATGACTAATATTGGGGAAAAACTAACTGATGAGGAGGTCGGTGAGATGATCCGTGAGGCTGATGAGGATGGTGACAAGCAGATCAACTATGAGGAGTTCGTCAAGATCATGATGGACAAGTAGGTTCTAACTCTCCCAAATTCCCAACTTAAAACTTATTCATATTTGCAGTTTTTGAGTACATAATTATGCTCTGTGCCCCTTGTTTTCATATTGTCTTACTGTTTCCCTTCTGAACTACAATCTTGAAACTCCATTTTCCACCTCATTTTGAACTTATTAGCTATTTTGGTGCTGTTCTTATTGGTATGTATTTTCGTGTTTTAATTGGAAATCTATGGAACAATTGAGGTATCGGTGACTTTTCTTATCCTTTTTATCTCATAACTTCTGACAAGAACCGGTTATTGAAATATTACTCAATCCCATGTTAATTGTGGCCCTTCTTCTTGCTCTCACTAGACTAACACAAATGTACTCACAATCTATAAAACTACCATGTGTTAAAGGGAAGCGAATGCTCATGGATGTTGGCGATTTAGTCGGCAATGTCCCTTAAGTTAGGCCACCATTGAAGGTGTCTAGTGATCAATAGCAGCAGCAGTAGCAGAATCCTATTCTGCTATTCCAACTCTTGAGTATTCATCTTCCACTATGTTTGTTCCAAGAACCTGATTCTCTCCTGCTTTAAACTTCTGAATTAGAACATGGATCGAATACATTTATAGCTTACAGAAAGTTAGGGTGTGTTTGTTTTGTAAAATAATTTGAATGGATATTTTTTTACGTGATATATTAATATTTTTGGAAAAATGTTTGTGTATTTTTTATTAAAAGAACACATCCTTAGGATCGCTGACTATATCTTGTTGGCTTTATATAATTATGGGCTTTGCTCTGCACACAATTTTGTTGTGCAAATTATAGAAGGCGGAAAAGGATGAGCGAAGAAAGAAGAAGAGAAGCGAAGCAAAGCAGCAGCTACAGCCAGGGTAATGGATCAAGATCACGAAAAAGAGATATGTTCCGCAGCTGTAGATTCCTGTAAGGTAATGTGTGTTTTATTGTACTATTTTATAAGATTGATTGCACAATTAAATAATCAATCGTGTCTTATCTTATCGAGCATAGCAAACATGGCTGAAATATTTTATCGCTGTCCTCCGAATTTAGTTGTCGCCGGCCTTAAGTAGCGTTTGAAGATATATTCTCCCGTGAATATATATGTTGGATAACAATGTATTGTTATCATGTTGTAACATATCTGCTGTTGAAATAAATGGATTGTGTATATCAAATTTATCAGTATAGAGTTGCACTCAAAATAAGAATTCATTGCATGCTTATTCTTCAACTCTAGATCTTACAATATTCCCATATTTTCCTGCAATGTAGTACTCAAAAAATTTGCTCATTATATTAGGTAGTTAATATGGTAGAACAATTTAAATTTGAAGATTCTTTTAACATTTTTATTGTTATAATTATAACGCCGCATTGTGGTATTGTGGTTTTTCAGTTATACTCACACTCTCACAGCATGCATGTCATTTTAGGTAAATTTTACAGTTTAAAATTACTTTTCACTTTTATTACATCTAAAATTAGTGTTACAAAAAATTATGGAAATATAAAATTAAAATGCTTCTACTTTCTTGACTTCTTTGCTTCTGCTTCTTCTGCCCTGCACATGCTATTATTTTCTTCATGATAATCAACAATGTCCCAACATTATTCATAAATTATGCGCATAAAGAAAGCTTTGAAGATACAACACACAAATACAAAGTAGAGCAGATCATAAGTCGAATAAAATTGTTGGAACATACTCATAAGGAAAACTTTCAAGATACAATCATACAACACACAAATACAAAGCAGAGCAGAGCAGAGCAGATTACAAATCGAATAAAATGGTTGAACCGATGGATGGATGGATGGATGAAGCTAATTAAGGTACTGCCGGCGGAGCTGTTGCAAAGCAAGAAGCGGCACATCCGAAATCACCGAGCCAGCAGCGCCGGTAGCACGCAAATGCTGAAGCAAAATCTCTGCCCCCACAGTCGACGCCACACTGCACCATGCTCTGGCTGCATCCTATCAGGCATTGCCTCAGCGTCGCCTGTGCATCGCTGCTCGAAGCCGACGCCAAGAGTAGTACAAGTAGTAATGCCAATAAGGATGCTGGGGGTGGGGGGGTGGACGAGGAGGAATAAGGGATCAAAGCCATAACTGAAGTGAAGTGAAGTGAAGTGAAGTGAAACAAATCAATAATTTCAATGATGGGAAATTAGTATTCATATGTATGTATAGTGTGAAGAGTTTGTTTGGGGATTGGATTGTAGGGTAAGTATCGTGGATCAAGTGTTCACTAGTGGCTATATTTGGTACGTAGTGGAGAATCTTGTGAAAGTTTGTTACGAGTCAAGTTTAGTCATCACCAATTTTTGGCTGCCTTTTGTTCTTTTTTTATGTCCTTTGTTCAACAACAACACTTGTTTGAGAAATCTGCCTCTGATTATTCATATTTTCAATTTTATTTTTATGCTATTCATCCTTTTATTCAAAGCATTACAATTTATTATTTTCTATTCTAACTAGATCTTTTTTTTCTATTATTCTTTGTAGAAGGAACTGGTACTCGCACTACCCGTTCTGGTAGAATGGATTCAAGATCCCCTTGGCTTGTGGGTTCTCTTATTTTTCGATAGTGAATAGAGTTCTTTCCAATTGGGTCGTTGCGATTACGGGTTGGATGTCTAATTGTCCATACAGTAATGATAGTATCTCGATGGCTCACTTTTTCGGCAAATAATTTTGAATCAGAGTTCTGGATTTTTGTGCTAAGCCTTGAACCTCTCCTACCAAAAATAAATGATCTGACTTACATTGTTTTATTCAAAGCATTACAATTTATTATTTTCTATTCTAACTTTCTGTGTATTATCAAACTACCTTAAAATTCAAAAATACTTTCTATACATATTTTCAACTAAAAAAAATATATATATTTGTTGTCATTCTTTTTTTTTTTTTTTTCCTATAACGTGGGAACCCGTAGTATGTACGAACATGTCACATGTGTGACAGGTGGACCCGAAAAAAATAAAACATATATACATATGTTTTTTAAAAAAATAAATGTGTCTAATTGCCAATCACAATTATCTTTAAACTTCCACTTATTTACATAAAAACTATTGCATCACATTAATACTATTAGATTAAAATTAAAATATAAGAACACACACAAAATATAATAAATTAAGAATTAAATGATGATAAATATATATATATTATATATTATTCGATACAAAATATAGTTAATCATTTCTTATTTTGAATATCTATCATACTCAAGCTCTACCCATTTCGTGTAAACAAATCAAGTCAAGGTAGTGTAAATCAAAAGGAATTGGGAAGAGCCATAAAACTACTCAAGCAAATTTTGCAAAGTGCTGCAACGTTAAAGCCACAAATTGCAATAGCAATAGTAATGCCCAAACTGACTGTCATGCACCAACCACACTGACTCCATACACATTATATGTTCAGGTAATGAAATGACATTTCCCAGACACCAAAACTCGAATCATACATTGTATGTATGTATGTCTTCTTATATTTATGGTCGGGTCAGTACACACGGTTGCTCACTGTTTGATACAGCGACTGGAGCTGCATGTTCCATTTGTCTATCGCAGTGTATTTCTTCATTTCCTTCGACCTGTCGCCACACTCCAACAGCCGATTCACTTGATCAATGTGCCCGTGAATCCGATTGTCCAAAATCAGAGAGACCAATAACTCCTCGACATCTTTCTCTGGTACATTAAGCTCCTGCACATCCAACAAATGGCATGAATGTAGGTTAATTAACTTGCCCCGTCCCTCTATCCAAATATCAACAAAAGATGATTAAATATAAACCATGGAAAAAACTAATGAAACTTTCCTTTACTACAGTTTTGATAGTCGATATCTAATCAAACTAAATTGTAGGGATTAGTCGAACAAATTATGGTGTGTTTCTTTTGATGGGTTTGAGAAAATTTTGGTTTGAATTTGATATTAGAATAATGTATGATGGGATATTTTGTGAGAAGAAAAAGTATATTTTTGTCGAAAAATGCTGAGTTGAAATAGTCCAAACATGAGGTTTGGGGCAAAAGAAACAAAAATAAATGTATCTGTTGTTTTATTACCTTTGATATAAAGGGGATGCGAATTCTAGTGTACGGCTTGATGAGCTTAAGTAGGACTTGAGTCCGCACATTCTTCAGAAGATCTTCAATGTAATTTCGAATGAACGGATCATCCATAATCGTTCTTCTGTTACTCTACAGAATTCAAACCAAATCAGTTGGAACAAAGAAAGAATAACATGGATGGAGAAGCAAGCCTTCAAACATGGTGATATTATACAGTAAGGGCGTAAAATACCTTCAGAATTTTTTCAAACTCCAGAATCTCATTCCTTTGATACGCTGCGATAAGGTTAGTCATCGCCAGGATCTCAGGGTCATTTTTGTAACTACAAAGTAAATGTATGTGTGCCGTTACCAGAAATTTTTAATTGAAAGCAATGTCAAGGTGTCGCAAATTCATTAGACTTACGGTTTTGCCTCTTGACCATCGAATGGATTGACCTCTGATTCCATCAGCATGTTTGCCAGGACCAAATACCTATGCACAGCCAACTTAATTGAATTACATTGGAGTTCAAAAGCGGAGCATATCTATAATAATAAATTTGTTAATACCAAAATTACAGACGGCTTAAATCCCATTAAGTCAACGAAATAGAAAGGGTAAGGAAAGAAATTAGCACGATCAATTCTACAGGGTTTATATTAGTCAGCTAACAGTGTTTATTTAATGTTATCACTGACATTAATGCTTCGAGGAATGCATTCACCCATCATATTTGGATATAAAAGATTATGCATAAACAAATACAACAACACGTGGCCAACTACCATGCCTCTATTCCTAACAGTGTTTATTTAATGCTATCGAACACATTAACCAATCATATTTGGATATAAAAGATTATGCATAAACAGATAGAAGAACACGTGGCCAACTGCCGTGCCTCTATTCCTAAAATGATAGCCAAGTAGATAAGGATCGAATGCATACTTTAGGCATTGAATGCGCCTCTGATTTCCAGCTTCGTCATAGTTCTTGAAAGCTTCAAAAAAATCAGTAGCTGCTTCTGCCCATTGTCGCTCTGCCATATGCATCTTTCCACCACATTCACGAATGATTCCCATTATTCTGGGATGAGGAATAGCAGATTTAACAGATAATGCCTTCTGATATAGTTCCTGCAAAAAAAATGGTACGCAAATTGTTTGAATGAATCATAGAGATGCTTAGATTGATAACATCAAAGAAAATGAAATTTATAGATTAGGATGTTATTCAAACTCACTTTCAGTTTTTTGTTGTTTTTAGTCTCAGTGTACATTTGGATCTCAATTGCATAAACTTCAAGTAATTGTGTGCCTTTCTTCTGATCATCGGTACCATCTTCCTTCTGGCAAGACTTATGGAGCTCCTTCAAAATCTGGCAAAGAACATATTATTACATTACCATCAACGAGATAACAACAAAGACTGCTCTACATTCTAAAAACTTAGTAAAGCACCTTACTCATCCTCCCGTATTCACCAATATCAAACCATATTTTGCATAATTTCAGATTTGTCTTGAACCATAGCCTCTGCAGTAAGCAATCCACTATGAAATTCTGAAGACTTTTATGCAAATAAAAAAGAGATTCATTATATTGAACTGAATTATGTAACCTCATTCTTTGCCTCTTCAAGGGCCTTCAAGGTGGTCTGATAAAACTCTTGTAATAGACCAAAGTTCTGACCGGCAGACCCAGAAATAAAATCCATTATATTATTTATGCACTTTTCACTATAATTGCGAGTCACTGCAGATTTAATATAAGTCAACATGTCTCTGTATGCCTCCATCATTTCTTTGAACTTCCCAAGCTTATAGTAAAGCTTAACAGTTTGTTTTAAAGCTTTAAATCCCCTGAAGAGAATAGATATTGTGCAGCCAATAACAGTAATTAATTCATATTGATGATGTCTTGACAGAAGTAAATATATATGTGTGTGTGTGTCCGCAGGCATTCTCATCCAAATGTTTATCTGATATCACATAGCTCCAACCCACATAACTCTACGGAACTAAAGTGTAATAGATGATGTAACATGAACAAAAATGCTGGACTAATAATAATAACAATATAGGAACAAATTAAATCAAATCAAATGGCTTTTCGGTAGGCGACAGTCACCAGTAGACCCTTTGAACCATGATCCTAACTACACCAGATCAGATTATGCATAAAAAGGAAGATCTTATCTGAATCATCATTTAATCCCTATTGGATTATTATATCACAGACATGCATACTGTTCCTGCAACATTGTTGATCGTCCAACCAAATTGGTACTGTTTTCGACACCTCTAATAAATGACATCTTACTAAATTAGTGCTAAACCAATCTGAAATCAGGTTAAGTAGGCAAGTTATTGATTGATTCCAATCAGAATCATACCATTCAGCCTTTTCAGGCTCCATTCGAACAACTTCCGCGAAACCTTCCAGTGCCGCCACAGGATCTGTTTCAACCAGGCCTACAGTAACATCACATCATATATGAGATGACAGAGATTTAATGCAATCCAAGAGCAGAAAAACATCCAGGGAAGGACAACAAGATTTCTTAGCCCTAGCAACTAAATCCGCACTATCCACAGTTCAACGAGCTATAACAAATTGAATTTCCTGTCAAGATGATCGCTTCAGTTCAGTCCAAGATACCTAATTCCCATATACAACCCAATCTACGAGTGATCATACAGAACACGAACGACTTACCACACACGCACACACATATCCATTCGCCAAACGCACTCAAACATAAACTTATCATTCAAAATCAACGGAATTTGCAGCAAAATAAATTAATAGGTGAAGGAAAAGAACGAACAGTTCAATCAAAAATTAGTATCCCCAAATAATCTTACCTTTGGAATTGTAATACTGGTTCTCGATATCAACATCTTGCTCCTCCGGCTCCTCGTCCGAGTACTCAAAACCATAGTCCTCCATATCAGCATCTGCACCACAGTTTACAGTAAAGTAATTCGCACATTTCAGATTAGGGGAAAACGCAAGTAAATGATCGAAAAAAAGTAAAAACAATAGAAAATCTAACCGCAAAAAAGCTAATAAACGAAAAAAACCATCGAAAAGTGGAGCGCATTACCGGAAGCCATCGCGAAAGCGAATTCCCTCTCGGTTCAAGATTCCGCGTGAGAGCAAGAAGAGCTACGAACGAACGAAGCGATGTTTGTCGCTGCGGGGGAAAGGTAAGACCGACGGTTCGTATAAATTTTATTCTTATGGGCTTTAGCCATTATATGGGCCTTTATTTGGCCCATTTCCCAAATTATCTGACAGCTTTTCTATTAAATTATCTGTCTAATTAGTAATTACATTGATTAGATAGCCAGCGGCCCAGCAAACGTCCATATATGTCTATAATTTATTTTTCTTGTATTATTAATTTTATACTGTATTTATATATATTAATATTATGTCAAAGATTTGTTTTTAATTTACCAATATTATATTTAATATAAAAAAATCCAATTCAAATCTTAATTTTTTATTAAGTAAGAGTTTGTTTGGTTTTGATTTGGCATTGAAATATTGATTTAAAATAATATTGATTTTTATGCGTGTTTGTTTTGGGGTTTGGATTTTGAATTGAGATTTGAAAAGTTAAAAAAAATTTGAATTTGAATAGTTGTCTGATTTTTAGTATAATATAAAAAAATTGAAAAATAGGTGTTTGACTTGATGTTTTTTAAGAAAAAAAATTAGATGAATAATAGATTTAAAATCCAATCCCCAAACAATCACACCTTGTAGAAACCAAACTCACCTAATGTAAAATAAAAAACGAATATAGGTTCGACCAAAAGTTTACTCAATGTTCACTTTCAGCTAACTACTATGTTTCAGTGTAATGAAAAAAATTAAAAAATAAAATGATACAGTGATTTAGTGAATAGTGATAGTAATGGAGTGATGCATGTAAAAACATAATTAATAAATTTATTTTTATTAACATATATTTTATTATAAAATAATATTTTTTTTATTGAGATTATATTGAATATTTGCTTTTTAGTGTGTAAATATTTTTAAATTTTTCATTGTTAATAAATTATTATTGAAATATTTATTTTTGTCTTTTTATTTATTTTATAAGAAAACATATATTTTTATTGATAGCAATGCATATTTTTTTGTGATCAAACTTTTACATTTAGTTTGGATAAAAATTTTAAATTTTTTAAGTTTTAAATAGTATTTGATAATATATTGTATGAAATTTTTATTTCACAAAATGTTTATATGAACAAAATTTTGACATTAGTCTATTAGTACACAATATTGTAAACTTTGAAAAAAATTTCAATTTAAAGTTGTGTTTATTTATGGTAATAATGAAATTTTGAATAAAAATAATATCCAATGTTATGTAAATGTACTTTAGATGTAATGTTGTCCTATAAATATAAAAAACAATAAGTTTTTAATAAAATATTATAAATAAAAAATATATATATCTAATGTGATATTTTAAAATAATACTAATATCATAAATAAATTTGAAAACACGTGAAAACAAAATTAAGGGGGTGTTTGGGAAATAGCGTTTTGAAGATATTTTAGTTTATTGAACAATTTTTAGTTGTTTGACCAGTCAAAAAGCTAATTTAGGTGTTTGATAATTTAGTTTTTTTAAAGAACTTTTTGGACCCAAAAAACTAATTCTGAAAAGTTCATCTACCCAGCGTTTTGAAATAGCTTTTTCATTTCAATTTTGGTTATTTCTTATTTACCCTTAAAATTTAATTATTTATTTTTTACATATAAATATATTTTTATAACTGTATTTATTAATTATTTTAAATATATTTAATTTATTAAATTATATTTTTATTTTTATTTTGTAAATTTAAAATCATTACTATTATTAATTATTAGATATAAATTATTTTATTTGTAAAATATATAATTTAAAACTAAATCAAATAAAAAAAAGGTTATTAATTTATTTATATATATCAAAATAATAATTAACATAATAAAAATATATATACGAAAGATTTATTATTTTATATTTTACATAATTTCAATAAAAAATATTATATTTTTTTAGTAAAGTTAATTTTCTCGAATCTAAATAATAAAAATAAAAATAAATATTTTATAATATTTTTATAATTTTCAATAATTAATAACAAAAATTCTTATAAATTTCAACCCAAAATGAATAAAATTAAATATTTTTAAAAATAATGTATCAATTTCTTTAATAGTTATTTTATGTATAAACAGCTAATATCAAACAGTTGTTTTATCGAACACTTTAATGCAAACTGCTAATTGAATCAGCTAACAACTAACAGTTATTTGAATCAACTAACAATTGAAAGCTATCAGCTAATTGCCAAACGCACCCTGCATGTAAATTTCACTTGCAGTTTCTTTTAGTTCAATTCATTAATTGTGTTGTATTGCAACTTTATAGACTTTTATGCAAGTATCACAGACTAATAAAAATAACACTGTTGATGATGAATTATTATTATTAGAAAAGAAATTATTTTTTTAATAATATAACTAAAATTTATCGATTTTGTCTCAATATAAAAATTTTATTAATTTGGGTCTTAATATAAGCAAAATTCATTAATTTTAGTCTCAATATAACCAAAACTCATCGTTTTTTGTCCCAATATAAACAAACATTATCTTTTTTGGTCACACCGTCAACAAATTGACGGAAAATGCTGCAAGATTGTGCAATTTCTTCAAATATAAATATAAGGTTTGATTTTTCTTGACGTCAGCATTTTTCGTCAGTTTGTTGACGGTGTGGAACAAAAAAAAGATAAGGTTTGATTATATTGAAAAAAAAAAGGCAAAATAGTAAAAAATCCCCCTGTGGTTTTTCGAATTCGCTGAAAACCCCCTCTGATTTTAAAATTGCATAAAACCTACTCGTGGTTTATAAAATATTGCATACTCGCCCCTGCCTTCAAAATTGGACTAAAGGCGTTAATTTTTTACTTTTTGAACCGTTATACTTATATATTTATTACTTTTGACTACTGATTCTATCTTTGACCATTATTTTTCTCATACATACATACGTATATACACACATACATTACACACATACAGACAGACATACAAAGACCCACTCCACCTGCTTTCTTCATTCTTTCTTTTTTTCTTCTCTATTTTTTTTATCTCTATTTCTTCTGTGTTTTTACACATAAATATACACACACATACATTTGTATTCTTCTTCCATCTCCTTATTTCTTCTTCCTCTCTGTCTGCCTACTGTTCTTCTTTTTTTCTTCTTCTTTCTTCTTTCTTTTTTCTCAATTTTTTTTCCACTTCTGTGAAGATTCATTTCAGTTTAGGCAATTAGTAATTTATTATGTTTGTTAGATTCATAAATCGATTAAAACCCTTGCCAATTGAAATTTGAGAATTTTGAAGTTTAACCCAAATTAAAAAAATAAAATAAAATTGTCTAATTGAGGAATCTTGAAAAAAATATCTGATTCATATATAAATCAGTGATTTTACACACATAAAAAATATATATATATATTTATTGTAAAAGGAAAAAAAAAAAGAAAAAAATTCATATATGCTATCCGCCATTACCAACACCACCTTTCTTAATATTTCAGACATTTTCCTTTCGTCACTTTCTCAAATGAAAATTTTAATTTGAGGATTACATATTAGATTGATCCTCTTACTATTTTTCCTTAGTCGAGCTCACCTCACTCCAATCCACTGTTTATTGCAAAGATTTAGGAACTGTCGACTCTCATTATTGTGGAGGTGCGCCTCTGCTGCCCTATTCTTACTGAACTTTTATCGAAGAAAAAGAAAGCAATTTAGAGCTGGAGAGAACAACCATGGCAGAAAGATTGGGGAAGATGAAATAGAGAATGGAGGGTAATTTTGTAATTTTCTTCTTTATATTAAGTGAATTTTCAAGAATACACGCATTAATGGCGCGTGCAATACAATTGCCGTTAAATATTAACGGTGATGGTATTTTTTGCAATATTTTCGAAACCACAAGTAGGTAATATGAAATTTTAAAACTAGAGGGGATTTTTAGAAAATTCGGGAAACCACAGGGGGATTTTATGCTATTTTGCCAAAAAAAAAAAAAGATTTGATTATATTTGGACAAAAAAGATAAGTTTTGGTTATATTGAGACTAAAATTGATAAAAATTTTATATTTGGAAAAAAATGATAAATTTTGGTTATATTTAAACCAAAATTAATAAATTTTTTATATTAAAATAAAAATTAATAAATTTTAATTATATTGAGACAAAAATGATTTTTTCCATTATTATTATTATTATTATCCAAATTCGAAACTCAACAAAGAAACGAAAAGACGACGCCGTTGTATCGTAACGCCAGCTATGGCAACATTCGTCATATTTATGGCGACACGTGATATCTAATCTTATCTTTATATATATATATAAGAGTATAATATATAGACACGATTTTAAAATAATAATAATAATAATAATAATAGCTATGAATTATATTTATGGACAAGTTCGGTGAACGTCGCAGTCACAAAATATTGGGTATATCGCCAGGAGATTCTTTACACTTTTCTAGATATAAGAGGAAATAACCGATACCTATATTTTGTAATTATAAGAGGATTGATTGATTAATTAATTAATTCCAGTCACTTGTTAAATTACAATACATTTTAAACCGTCAAATATTGTTATACCGGCAGTAACCCGACAGCGTATATTATGTGATGGATTTAAAGTAGGGATGACAATGGGTCGGGTCCAGCCGAACTCGAGATCCGACCCGAGTACATATGGTTGGATTCGAGATCCGAACTGGATCCGATTATATTCGGATCCGATCATACCCGAACTCGACTCGAATAATATTTGATAAGACTCGATGGATTCGAATTTTTTTTACTTTTTTAAAATTTAACTTAAAATTGGAATCGAATCCGGACTCGGACCCGAACCCGTCATATATTAATCTATATAGTATATTCAAAAATATTATAATAAAATAATAAATAAACAAAACTAAAAACATATTTTAATATAATTTATATTATTAAAAATTAAATTTTTTATATATATATAATTAATATATTAATCGGGTCCGCATTGGATCCGGGTCCGGGTAGAGTCCACCATTGGATCCGAGATCCGACCCGGACCCAGCCTGATGCCCGTATAATTGGACCCGATTCTAAATAAATGGATGGGGT